TAATTAAAAAATTGCAATTTGCATAGATGTCTTTATCATACGACTTCAAAAGTTCTATATTATCCAATACATTGTACATTGTATTATTACTTTTACACTTGGCTTTACATAATTTAAATTCAGACTTGAATATATTTTCGTTATTGTAAGTACTTATATTCAAATTCAATAATTCTGAATACTTTTCCCATAAATGTGATTTTACTCTTTGTAGTTCTTCAGCATTTAATTGACATATTTTGTGAGGAAGTAAAAATGATAAAACTATTTCTATCGGAACAGTATTTTTATTAATTCTTTGGTTAAAATCTGTAATAATGGGATAAACCAATTTTTTTATAATAATCTTCAACTGTATCAGATGGGATGTGGGGCTATAAGTTTGTTTCACTGAAAGTCTTGGCATACAATTAACTATATTTATTTTTTCTGAAATGTTTAGAATGGTTTTCTAAATCCTATTAAATGTAATGTTTACTTGGCTTAGTACTACAAACTATTATATCGTACCTATACACAAAAAGATAAGATCAATTTTTTATTATTATTTATTAGTGTACCTGTGATTTTAATAAGTATAGTGCATACAAATCGTTATACTGCATAGTTCTGATTGATAGTTTATCGTAATTCATTGGGTAGGTATGTTATTATTGTTATAAGCTATTATTAAATTTATGGGTATCGTATTTTGTATTAAGTCTATTCTAACCATAGGCTTTTGATTTTTAACTTTTGTAGTCGTATAACAAATATATAAAATTAGAACTTAAGTGTAATACATTTTAATATAATAAGCTCAAGGGGGGGGGGGGGTATTTACCCTATTGGCACTCCCTTGGATCCGCCACTAGATGAAATTACCTAAATCTTCATAATTGATTTGTCTAAAATCAGTGCTCGAATTGGGGGGGGGGGGGCAGGGGAATGGAACTCCTCCACTATTTTTTTTTTTGCGTACCCCAACTATATTTTTCACCAGAACGGGGAGACACCACGTTCATCCTAATTGATGTCAAAAATAAATTTTATGTGAATTCCAATTTTCGTCAATTGGAAAATTAATTTTACGATTTATAATATCTAAACTATTTTTATAATTAAAGATTATATAGTGGTTATGATAAGGGACAACGTCGTCATTTCTAGAAAAATATAAATAGTAATGTCTGTGAGTTTGGTGTATTATACTTTATACATTGTACGGTTTGTTATTAATATTGGCGTTCGACGATATCGTCATTTCGGAAAAAAATAAATGTCCTCACCACGACCTTAGACTAATCTTCTAAGGCCGTGGCCTGCACTAAAGAGTAAAAATAGATAAAAACAAAAACCAAATATATGATTATACGAGTATCATTCGATTCATGAGACTGCTTGATCGCCTACAGTTAATTAAATTGTATTATTATACAATAATTAACATTATTATTTTATTTTTATTTTCTATTGTAACATATAGGATGTTGGTATTGCTATCAAAATATATTATATTTAGAATTTAAATATTTGTTTAGCTGAAAAGTGGTATTCAAAATATATATTGAAGGATGCTGGAGGGGTGAAGAGGGACGAAACCCCCCACGGGTCTGTGTCAAATAATTGCGCACGTGGAAACTTAATTTTTCCCAATTCGAGCACTGTCTAAAATGCAGGCCCGTACTGGCTACCTTTAAGAGAGGGAAAAATATATTTATAGGGCGCCAACTATAATTATAAATATACCACTTCAAAAGAAAAATTAGTGTCTATAATCATAATGTCTACCTATGATTGTTTTGTTTAGAAACTTGAAACTACCACCTGAAGATGTTAAACACAAATTATGATTTATTCTGCGATTTTTAACAAAATAAAAATAAAAATAATATGTTTCATAGTGTTTTATTCAGTTTTTTTTTCCATAGTAGGTAAGTTGTTTTAACAATTAAGAAAATAAATTGTGCAGTTACTTTTAAAATTTAATTTAATTTATATTTGATATAAAAACATAAACCGTAACAGCTTTTTAATTAATCAAAAAAAAAGTACACAAACTTAAGAATTAACTTATATCTTTTTATGTGAGTAGACGTTGCATTTCTTTACTGTTCAAACATAGAGCATTTATGATTTGATCTCCATCAACTTGATTTACTATGTCTCTTTCACACTGCATTAAGAATAATGATTCTAAATTGTCTTGCACAATAGTGGACCTTAATCGCGTTTTTAATAATTTTAATTTTGAAAATGACCTTTCACAGGTCACTTGTGGCAGAGGCAGAGTCAATAAATATTTATACGCTTTGTACAATTCCGTGTATTGTAAGGAATACATGTTATAATCAGTGATTATACGCAATGCGCATGATAGACATACATTACACTCTTTTACTTTACACAACTTAAAATCGTCCTCATTAGCCCATTCATCATCATCAACGGTATCGATTTGACTTGAATCTTCATACGTACTCTGTAAACCAACTTCACAAATTAAAGGCCAAGATGTAGCAAAAGAAATAAGTTCTTCTTTGAGCTTTGGCTGATCAATAGAGGGTAAAAGTTCACATATTTTAAATAAAGCATTAGATGATAAACCATTTTTTCTTATATCATCAAACCTTTGAGGGTCGAAACATTCTAAATCTGTATATAAAATCCGATGAGCTAAGAATCGTACCTTCTAAACTATTTATAATAGTGTCCATTGTAAAATTAAATATTTTTATACAAAATTGATCGATTTCTTCTGTGGAAACTTCTTCATCTCGGGTTAATTCACCGTCCATACGTTTCACAGTGCGTTTTCGTTTCTTCGGAAGGTTTTCTTCTATTTCAATATCACGAAGAAGCTCCTTTTCATCAATTTTTTTAACTACAAAGTCTACGAATGTTTTAGCAGCTTTTGTTATATCACAAAAACGGTTTCTAACCGATTGTAAGCTTTTATGGGCACTAGAAACATGACGCCAAGCTTGAATGTAATCTAGATGTTTTGTTTGAAGGTAATCGGATAGCGGTGTTATTATTTTAAATATCTGCAGAAACATCATTGCGACTAAAACGGTTTCATAAGAGCAAAACTTTTTCATTAAACTAAGACTGTCGTTTCTAATTTTTGAATTAAATTGGTTAGAAATTGATATTTCGTATAGAGCTACTAATAGTTGAATGTAAGCAAATTTTGACTCATTTTCTGGACTTAAATCACCTTTAATCCAAAAATCAATCCTACCAAATATTTTAACAATTGCGTCATTTCTGCTTCTCCACCTAGTTGCTACACTAGCAGCTAGTTTTAGCGATGGATTTTCTTTATGGTACACAGCTAACCTTTTATAGGATTCCTTAAAAAATACGAATGCCTCTTGAACAAGATTAAAAAATGACATACAAGGAGTCAAACATTGAGTTGTATCAGAAAGAACTAAATTTAATACATGCGCATAGCACCATGTATGAACATGATTAGTGATTACTTCAGACAATTTAGCGGTTACACCATTGTAATGACCACTCATGTTAGCCGCACCATCAAAAGCGTTCGCCACACAATTATTCAGTGGTAAATCAAGTTCAGCCAATGTATCCTTTAAAGTTTCAAAAAGTGAATTCCCAGACGTCGAAGTTACGTGTTTCAGCCCTATTAACCGTTCACATACTTCATTATGTGGTACATATCTAAGGACAATCGAGCATTGATCATATGATGATAAATCCATTGTTGTATCCATCATAACAGAAAATATTTTGGCTTTTTTAACTTCTCTTGAGATCATATTTTTAATTTCCTTACCAATCAACTTTATTATTGTAGTTACTGTAGTTGCACTGAGAAATGTAACTAGATTTCCTCTTCCAATTTTAGTAGTGGTCTTCAATGCTTTCATATTTATATTTTGTGCTCTATCATGATGCTCCTTACTTAATTTAATCGATTTTTCTATGTGAGATTTCAATATATTTTCAGATTTCGACAGTAATAAAATGATTTCCAAGAAATTGCCATGGTTTAACGAGGAATCATCTAATTTATAAGCTGCTTCACTTTTGTCGCCTCTAAATGGTAATCCTTGCTTACCAATTAATTTTATGACTTCAATAATCTGCAATAGTACACATCGCCTTTCATTAACTTCAATTTTTCTTTTTTGCAATTGTTCACCACACAATAAATGTTGAACCGTCTTTTCCCTTTTTTCTCTGATGTATGCTTTGACCGATGAATTATGATGTTTTGATATTTCGTGTTCTTTAATTCGTTGACTTGTATGTTTCCAGTCATTGAATCCAGAGCAAAACTTAGAACTTTCATCGCTATAAGCTAAGCATACACTACAAAAGAGCTTCTGATTGTTTTCATCATATGTCAACCATTTACGATTAAATTTACAATCCCCTTGGTCACTAAAAAATATTTTTTCATTAAATGGTAAAGAAATTAATGAAGAATTGGTCGGTTGAATTGGATGAAAAATAAAAAAGTTGACTATATCAATACTTTTCGGCTTACAAAAATAGTTTATAACTTCATCGATTTTTTCATTAGCGAATAATTTTTGCACAATTTCTCCAGTTATATCTTGATGATATTCTTGTCTTATTTCTATTGTTTCTACCAATACTTCTTTTGAATTTTCATTGATTTCCGCATCTTGATTTTTATATTTAAGAAAATCTATATTTGATTCTTTTACTTTAACTTTAGTTGTTATTTCATGTATTTTTTCTAATTCTGCTAACTCTAGTTTTTCATTCTGATTTTTGTTGATCTGATCTCGTTCATCTGGTTTTGGGTTTTCTAAGGAAGTTTGGCTTGATTCTCCAACAACGTTATTTGTATAAAAATGAGTTATTTTTTGAGAAGAATTAGCAGACATTTGAAATGCTTTCATTTTCTTGGCCACCCGAAATTCGTAACCACTCTTCTTTTTCTTTTTTGAATCCACAGAAACTAAATATATTAAAATACTTGAAAAGTGTACATTAACCTTATCTAATCTAAATAAATAAACCTTAACTAATCAAAATTAAACTATTGCGATTCAACGTGACAAAACGCCCTCGTACGCCATTGCCCGAAAATAATAATAAAAAGTTTTAATATTTTAAGTATCGTTCAATGACAAGTATTGAATTGAGCTCTAATCAAATCAATAATTAATGTTCTTTATGTAAGCCATAAGGAGTACGATCAATTCACTATAATAAGTATAAATAAAATGCGACATCTCGATTCGTTTGAGAATTTTGTAAAAATTACGGCTATGTGTTTATTTTAACATTTAACATAATATTCCAATAATAATTTTAAAATATCCAGATTTTGAAGTTATAAATCGAATTTCAAAAAAATCTTCAATGGGATGACAGTGGCATCTATTCATGGTTCTATTTTATATGGTCTGTGGAAAAACCGAAATAAACACAATAATCAATATACACACACGTCTTACATCGATTACGGTGTTCGGATTTCACAAGTCATATCTATAACTAGTTCAATAGTTATAATATAATAAATGATAACAAAACAATTATTTACATAATATTACTGTAACAGTAGTAATACTAATACTTATGCATTATAATTTCAAAATATATAATTTGTATAATATAATACACATATAAAAAAATAGGTACACTCTAATATATAGTAAATATATATTAAAATTATATAAAAAAAATGGGAAGAGGGGCGCTAATTTCTAAATTGATCATGGGGCGCACTGGGAAAACTCCCGGTGTCCCAGTGGACCAGTACGGGCCTGCTAAAATGTATCTCTTAATGCAAGTAAAGCTAACATGTTGAGTCTTTCTTCTGTCATGGATATTTGGTGCCGGTTTTTAATCAACTTTAAATGAAAAAAAGAAAGAAAAAATTATTGAATTATTAAACAAAGGTTTTTTATTTGTGTGATTTGTGTTAAGGGTCCAATTATGATGTAGGCCCATAGGTTTTAGCCTATGTAGCCTGCACTTAAATCCTACCCTGATGTATAATATAGTCATTCAGTCGGATTATGTAAATTATTTAATAAGTATAATTGACAAATTCGATATTTTTTTAATGACTATTGCAACACTTTTCATAACGTGCAAAAACATTTAAGTATAAAATCTATGATAGTAAATGTATTCTTATTATTTTTTGTTATTGTATTAAAACTCTTTGTCATGTTTATTATATTTTATCAGCAGAATTTATGGGGATGAGTTTACAATAGATCTTTTATAACCTTTTTTCTTCATATGAAGTTTACAGTCATCCAAAAATGTTCATTAGATTACGATAATTATTTCAATTTTTTTCCAATTATATTTTATGCTTTAACGGGCTGCGATTTTTTCTATATGAAAAAATTTAAACATAATTAATCAACAAAATTTATTTATTGTTTAAATTATTTCATAATTTTTTTAATTTATTGTTTAGTATTATTATTTTATTAATTTTTCCCCTATGTTACTTAAATCAAAAAATGTATTTCCCTATATTGCATTAAAATGACGTTTATTATTTAATAAATGAATAATATTTATCAATGGGCTATTATTTGCTGTTTCATATTTACATATACGTTATATACGTATATCCTAGAGCAGGGGTCTCCAACCTTTTTTTACCGCGGGCCAAATTTGATATACGCTTTGGCATCGCGGGCCAACATTTTTAGAAAAATAGATAGGTTATAAAATTGAGCAATAAATAATAATAAATAAGATTTATTTAAAAAATGTATGTTTATTTATATAATTTTTTTTTATTTTATAATTCAAAATTTCGTTTTATTATGATAAGAGTAAGTTATTTAGTGAGACGTTTGGAACTGCTTGTCTTTTAAAATGTCTTGATAGTTTGCATCAAACTTTGTGGTTCCAATTAGCAGCGTCGCTTGTAAATGTTCGTCACTTAAGTTAATTCTGTACTTAGATTTGACATATTTCATTTTTGAAAATGTCTGCTCACATAAGTATGTTGAGCTAAATATTGATATCATTTCACGCGCATGTTTTTTGAGATTTGGAAATGATTCCTCTGGCAACATGGCGTAAAATTGTTGGAGACTAGCTTCCTTGAAATAGTCTTTGAAATTGTTGTTTGATATGAGCTCGATAACTTCAAACTGAAAGTCTGTCGGTAAAGTTTCTATTTTTAATGCAAATGGATTTTCAAAAATTCGATTACGGTCTTCTGCACTTTGGAAATCTCTAAACCGGGTCTGGAACTGCTCTTTTAAATAGGTGAGAACTCCAACAGCAAAATCGGTGGGGAATTCTTCATCATTTTCAAGTTTGAATTTGTTGCATGTTGGAAAATGGGCAAGATTTTTTTCTATTAATTGATTTGTGAATAGATTTAGTTTTAATTTAAAAGCTCTAATGTAGGAATATGTATCTGAAATCAACGAGTTAGCTCCTTGCAACTTTAAATTTAACTCATTAAGGAGCTGAGTTATATCGACGAGAAAAGCTAATTTCTATAGCCATGTCAAATCAGTTAACTCAGTTATAACACGATTTTTTTCTGTCATAAATGTGTCGATTTCTGAACGAAGATAAAAAAATTTTTTCAAGACGTGACCTCGGCTGAGCCAACGAACTTCGCAATGATAGGGAATATCTGGGTACTCGCTTTCAATTTCAGCAAGAAAGTTCTTAAACTGACGGTGACTGAGAGCACTTTTTCGAATATAATTTACATTCTGCACAACAATATTCATAACTTCAGATATTGGTGCATTTTTCCCACACAAAGCTTGCTGGTGTATTACGCAGTGAATAGCCATTGATACTGCTGCACCAGTCTCCAATACAGCTTTACAAATATTTCCAACCAAACCTGTATGTACTCCACTCATGTTGTGTCCACCATCAGTAGTTACGCCTTTTAAAATGCTAAATTCAAGACCCAAAGTAAAAATAGATTCTTTTACCTTCAAAAAAATTTCATTACCAGTACATGAGTTTTTCATTGAGTGGACGGCGGCCAATTCTTCGGTTATTTCAAAAGATTCATTGACTCTGCGAACGAATAAAAGCACCTGCGCTAAGTCTGAAGTGTCGGTAGATTCATCCAAAGCAATTGAAAAATATTTAAAGCTTTTAGCAATATCTTTTAATTGACGAATAATATCATTTCCGAGATCTGTGGTACGTCGCGCAATTGTATTCGCTGACAAGCTAATACCGGTGAATTAATTGATTTTATCGGGACAAATCTCTTCAACTGTCTTCAAAATGCACTCCTTTACAATTTGGCCATCAGTAAACGGTTTTCCGGCTATCGCTAGAGTACGAACTACTTGAAAACTTGCTTTTACGAGAGATTCATTTTGACATGACCGTTTAGTAAAAATTGACTGTTGAGCTAGTAAATTCTGTTTTAAGATTTCAAATTTGTCCGATCATAGCTTACCAGATAGGTCGTTATATGTAGATCTTTTATAATGTCTACCAATATTATATTCTTTCAAAACAGCAACCTTTTCCTTGCAAATAACGCATAAAGCAACATTATTTTGTTTAATGAAGAAATAGTCATTATTCCACTTTTTTTTAAAAACACGGCACTCTGTATCGACTTTCCGTTTTTTACTTAAACTCATATTTATTTTAATACAGCACAGAGCACTACACTCGATAATAAATGACACTTAACTACAATAATCATAAAAACTGATTCTACATAATTTATAAATTATACCCGATACACTACAGTGGACTCACGCAGTTAGAAAAACCCGTCGATTACACGTTCGATAGCAGTATTATTACAACGGAAAAAGTCGATCATATCTTATCTGACAATCGCGTAAGTTTTGAGTAGAATATTAGGCAGATAAGTGTGATTGACGAGTTTTTCTATTATTAGTGTTAGTATATATTTACAAACATTATAAATTGTTATGAATAATACCAAAAGAAAAAAAATAATAAATTTATTTTATTTTATTAATTAATTAAAAAAATAAAAAATAAAAATAAAAAATAAAAAATAAAAAATAAATTAAACTAATGAAAATTAATATTAATATTAATGTTTTTTTATATATTATTTTTAAAACATTATTTAGCTAGGTGGGCCGGTGTAAAAACCTTGGCGGGCCGGATTCGGCCCGTGGGCTGTAGGTTGGAGACCCCTGTCCTAGAGAATTAGTTCTCGTATTTAGAAATGTATATCAAAGGTTATGAAGCAACAAAAATAATCATATTCTAATATATACCCATAAATAATCAATGTTTAAAAATATCTGACTGATCTAAATAGATAAGTATTTGGTCCTAAACATTTTTACATGTATACAATTTTGAATAGTTTACTGACGCAGTCAGTCGAAAATGTTGATATTGTATATATATATATTATAGTATAGTTTCTATTTCTAGTTTTCAATGCAATTTCCATCGAACGATAATAATAAATAATCTACAGGGTTTATAGTATCAAGTGCCCTATGTGTACGTTCTATATAAGTAAGAATATTAACTTGCCTTTAAATTAAAAAAAAATAATCCATCTATACCTATTCCAAAGGTGTGCAGAACAAGTCGTTAAAACATTGGTACATTATAATTTATCATATATTTTAATTTAACAATTTAAATTAATGCATGAATAGAAAATTAATGGATTTAAAGAATAAACCGCTTGCTCAGTATTAATTTGTGATATGAAAGGTCAACTATTGTGCTAGTATAATACATGCAATACAATTGCATATGATAAGTTCCGATTGAAACGTACACACATACTAAGTTTATTTTTATTTATGAACTTTGTTTTTACTGTGGATCGTTTTAAAATCATTTGAATTATTATAATCTGTTGATAAACATGTTTTAAGAATTATAATACCATATATCTACTTAAACTATGAGACATTTTATCAAATGAAAGCAATATTGGTACACACTTTCAAAATCATTGCTTACCTAAACCTTTTTATACATTACTATATGTTTTAAGAATCAATCTGGTGTCAAATTACCAACTACATTTTCTTTATTTAAGATAAAAAAATTTAAAATCTCAATTTTTTAAAAATATTTTTATTATTGTTTCTATAAACTTAATTATAAAACAAAAGTCCAAATTACAGATACCTACATAAAAGATTACATAAGAAGACAAAAGTTGATAATAATTGTATAATAAAATAATGTATGGTTATTGAATGAGTATTTAGCAAATTATTTTCATTATACACAGTTTTTTCACACTTTTTTTGTTATAGTTTTTAAATTTTAACTAATTGTTCGTCTAATAATAAATTCTAATTGTTCAATTATAATTTTTAATTGGATTTATTACTAGTCTGATATCGAAAATTGCATTAAAATAACTTAATATAAATAAATTAGTATATACTTTTATATTTTGTTATCATATTATTGTTTTATAATAATAACTACAACATATTACTAGTGAAAAATAAAATTTAGATAAATTTTTATCTTTACGACTTTTAAACAGCTCTTGTTAAACAAGTTTTGCAGTCACAGTTGTAAAAAAAAATATTTACTCTAAAAATCCGACTTATAGAATATTTTTCTTAATTCAAAAATTATTATTTATGGTGCTGCAATGTTGGATACGTTACAAAATTACAGCGTGCATTGTTTATCGTGTTTTTTAGTTACCGAATTACTTTGATTCTGTGAATAGAAATGAGTGAAAGGGAAAAGAAAGATTATTAAAATCGAAAAGTTAACCACATTAACATTGATTATAAAAGTAACCGATATAGTCACTTAAACGTGATCTCATAAAATCTCGATTTATTTACTAATTAATATTATTTTAAATTTTTATGATTTTATATTTCTGTTATCACGAGTTTCCAATACTATAATAATAATACTTTTTCAATTATTTGGAATTAAAAAAATTATACAACGTTTATCATTCGTATATCTAATGTCCAATTACATTCATTTTGATGATTAATAAATTTAGTTTATTAAAAAATTAAATATTCGTTAAAAATGAAAATAATAATTGATATAACAGATTTTCACAGATATTAAATCATTAAAACTAAAGATTTATATCGTTAAAATTTCAGTTTATAAATAATTATTTGGTAATTAGAATATTGAATGAAAAAAACCGCCTCACTTTGATCAATATATTTTTAGAACGTTAATCTATTTTCCATTTAGATGATGGATACGTTTTTACCCGGGATGAAAGCACTGAAAAAAGGACATCTTGTATTCTTGTCTTCGATGGCTGGTATCATTGGTTTGAAGAACTTAGTGCCTTATTGTGCGTCCAAATTCGCCGTGAGAGGTTAGTGGTAGTCGACCCGCAACACGGATATATCAGATATATTAGTTTCTAATCATTACAATATATTTCACGCTGTTGTTTATTAAAGGTTTAGCCGAAGCCATAAAGGACGAATGCAGGCAAGACGGCCATGTAAATCTCCATTTTACCACTATATACCCGTATATGGTCGATACCGGCTTGTGTAAGAAACCATTGATTCGGTAAATATAAATTTGCTTTTTAAAATATTATCTTAAAAATCATACACAGCAATACTATATAATAATAATAATATTAATAATAATAATAATAATATTAATAATACAACTTCATATAACTCAATCAGTTGATGTCCTTAAGTGAATATGTTCGACTTGATTAGTAATTGTATTCAAAACTTAACATGAAAAAATGCCTAAACTAATTTTTTAAAATGAATTCAATTTGTTTTTAATAATTATAAATAAATATGACTATACATTTCACTTACTATTTTGGAATAGAAAGTAATTATATTCTTAACAGTTATATTTTATTCAAACATAAGTTATATTGTTTTCCTCTACTCTTTTTTTAATTTAACTAATTCAAAATTTCAGGAAATCACTAGTATACTATAAATGCTAGTATTTTATTTAAACAAATTAACTCCAATTAGTTCGAAAAATGGACACATTTACCTATTTTTGTAAACTTACCTTATTCGATTATATTATGTTATATAGTTTTCCGAATTTGTTACCGCTCATGACGCCCGAATCAACGGCGAAAGAAATAATAACTGCGGTGAGAAGAAATGAACTTGAACATTCCGTTCCGAATACACTGCTCGGAATCAATAATATCTTTAGGTAAATTCTAAATAACAATAATTGTATAACAATAATAATACATCGCATATTTTTTTTTGTTCCCAGATGTTATCCTAACAAAATGGCATTGGCTTTTAAAGATTTTATGGGCGGTGGCGTTGATGCTCATGACGACTGAATTGTAGGTACATACCTGCACCGAAAGATACCATTTTATTGATTCCTTAATAAAAAATATTCTACAGTTGTTATGACTATTGCTTAAATTGAAATTGTTTACTATCAAGAACTCTTAGTGCCTAACTAAATATTTTATAGTAATATAATTTTTATTGTTAACCATTTAAAACCTTGTATAATTTATTACAAATAGTTTTTAAGAACAGAATAAGTGCTTACTAACATTTATGCACAGTATGCTTAACAAAATATTTTTTTATTCGTAATGATTAGCATAATAAGTAATGATTTTTATTTTAAGTAAAACAACAGTCCATGTATTCATTTAATTTTTTTGGTTTTGTTTGGTGTAATTCTTCTTTTTTATTGTCACTAGATACATAAACAATAATTTTATATAAATATATTTTTAGTTTAAGAAAAAAAAATATTTATCCAATTAAAATATAATTTATAACTTAATTACATTAAGTCTGTTGTATTGATTTGAATAAATTATTTAAATTTACTTTCTATTTAAATATTGATAATGTATTGCAATGAATAAGTGTTTGAGAATGTATAAATTTAAAAATTTAATCAATGCACATTTTGGCAATTCATAAAATATTATTTATTAATAATAAAAATGATTTTAAATTATACCAATAAAGTTTTTTTTTTTTAACTGAAAAGTATGTCTCAGTCTCAGTGATACAAGGTTCAAATGTTCAAACTCTTTCCTTTTATATAAAAGAAAAAGGTTAATATTTGACTTCTGTATCCAACACAAATTTTGTATTGATGTAAATTGTATATTTATAACGTCTTATATACTAAATAATATAATTTTGTATTTTATTACCCTTTTATAACAGTCAAATGGTAATAACAAAAATTGATAACCAAGAGGAAAGATAAAATTTTTAAATTAACATTCAACTTTTTATTTAATAAAATTGTTAATAGTGTTGATAATAAAGAACTAAATGATATACTCACAAATTATACTAACATATCTGTAACAATAGGTTTTTTATTTCTATCTAATGAATATGTTAAAGTAATATTACCTTTAAATAGGTGTAATTTTCTATATGCTCCTTTTATTCCCTAAACAAATTTACAAAATTAAACGTTTAAATATAGTTTAAATAAACTGATCAACATACTTTTTCAATTTTTTCTTTTAGTGAAGCATTATTTAAAGGATTATTTTTGAACTGTAAAACTTCTTCAGATGAAATTCCAATTAAATGTTCCAGTACCTACGGTAAATAATAAAATGCATTAATATACCCACAGAACCAAGCATAATATATTACAAAAGGATCATATAAGTGGAGTAAGGTAATAATTTAAATTTTATTATTTCATAGATTATTAGTCATTAAAAACTGTAATTGGATTATTCAGCGATTGTTCTAATAGTTTATAAATAGATACATTGGCACACACTGGGAGGGTCAAGAATGTTAACAAATACCTTTCAGAGAATTGGTGGGCGAGTGATTCTGGGTGAATTTGGATTTTATTTTGTTAAATATTTGTTTAATATTATATGTTTTGCAAGAAAAAACCAATAACACTTAAAAATAAAAGTATGCCTAAACTCAGATTTGACAGATGGGGTAGGTGGCTACCTTGAGATATATATTTTTGACACCCTTGTGAAAAATTTACTATGCGGAAATGGATTGATAGACAATGTCTTTTGAAATATAATCAAGGAGATTCAGATTAAAGAAGGGCTTGGTTTAAAGGGAGTCAAAGAAACAGTTAAGTTCTATTTGATGGTACCATTAAGAGCTAGTAATTATTATTTGTTCGTGATTAGTTTTTGTTTACTAAGTGCTGTATTTTTTTTTTTTTTTTTTTTTTTGAAACATTTGTTTAAAGTTTATGTACAGAATAAATTTTAGTTATTTTTTTGTGAAATAAATTTTATATAATATACATTTATATACTATGTCTAACATGTTTGACATTTACTATTCAACTCTACATGCATGGATTAAGTATTATAAAAACTTTATCATAATTGAATATTATTAATTTAAATAAATGTTGTTATATTTATAACAAATATATAACTTACTTTTGAAGAAAATTCAACTTCCTCGGTTTTTGTTTCTTCCTTAATAATGCCAGAGCATATCCATTCATTTTGTTTGACTTGTATTTTAGAGTTTTTAACAATAGACGCAGACTTAAAAACCTTAACTAGTGGGTCTGAAATATCAATGTCAACATTCATAGTAGACAGGTCCCAATCTTCTTCGGGAATGTGAATTTCAATTGATGGCCTTTTAGTTTTTGCTTGTATTGGAGAACTAGCGACTCGTTTTCCTGATGATTGTTTCATAGCCATGCAATTATTTTCTATTGATTCATCAGCTTGGCACTTTGTTGATCTGGCCAGTAAATTATTAGATGATGAAGAAGTACTAGGACCAAACATATCAAACATGTTAATCGGTCTAGTTGATTCAGTTACTGAACTACTAGATGCTGCAGAGGTACTTGAACCTAACATATCTGATATTTTGGTTTGTTTTATGGTGGATATAAGCTTTTTATTAGTAATTTTATTATTTTTAAGAATAGATAATTTTGGGTTATAGGCTTTTGTACTATTTTGTGTATTTATTGTGGCCGAAGGTACTGAATTCATTTTATTATTAGATTGCGAAAATCTTTTTTCAATTTCGACAACTTGAGTCAAGTATAATAGTTCATCATCATCACCATCAAAAAAATCATCAAACTAAAAATCAATAAATATACTTATAATAAAAGAAAATATAAGTAAAAATGTAATGCTTACTGTAATAACTCCATTTTTAACAGAATTACTATTATTAGTTTGATTAACACTATTTTGAGTCATTTCATTCATTTGTGGTCCATCTATTTGTCTTCGTGGATTTATAGTGTGTGATTCTTGTACTTCCATAGCATTCTTATCAACTTCTATATTTGAAAACATGTATGGATTTTCTAATTCTGGTTTGTTTCTGTTAAATAATAAAAACAAAATGGTAAAAATAAAGACATGGTTAATCAATAAATGAAATTGCATTTAAACTTAATACAAACAGGGCTCTACATAAGACATTTAATGGTGCATTTTTAATTAATAAATGTTCAACTTCGCCTCCAATAAAGTGCACATTATTTGATTTTAATAATAAAACTCCTTTTCTGTATTCAACTGGTCCAGTGACACCAATCTGAAACAGTTATTATAAATGTGTTGGGTTACAATAATTTATCTATATTTTATTGAAATATACTTTGAAACCAGATATAAATGGCTCTTTGAGGCAAGACAAAGGTTCATATTCCATAGCCATTACAGTTTGTTTACCATCAGTGCACATCATTTTTAGCATTCTACGTGATTTAGGTTCCCAAGGTGCTGGTTTACTATCACCAATCTCAGTATTACTGGTATCTCTTTTTACCAGAACATTATATTGCGAATAACATGATTGGCCAACATCAAGAATAGTATTTACCTGACATAAATATACAAAAATATAATAAAGTTGTTATATATATATATATATATATCTTATTATCTTAAAGGTGTACTAATTCAATTAATTACTTGAAGACAATATTTTCCACTCAATATTTTTTTTTCAAAGTTATTTAAATTGGGTGGTAAACTAGATAATGCAATCTCTTGAAAATCAGATAAACTTAATTGCTCTGTGACCATAGACGATAAATCATTTGCATTATACTGAAAACCAAAAATTAAGTGTTTGTTATTATTCATCAAACTTATTTTAAATATTTTTTAGTTGATTACATTTGGATTATCTGACATAAAAAAATCCACACATTGTTTAAACCATTCATTTTCTGGAGATATGATTATATGAGAATTCTCCAAAAGACGTGATACACTTTTATGCATTTCTGTATTGGAAATAGACATCTTGCAAATACTTGAATCTAATAAATAAATAAAATAGTTACATATAATCATAGAAAATTAGAGAAATTTATTAATATTATTTAAAAAAAAATGTGTGTCAATTGAAATTTACTTAAACAGCTTAAGTGCATACATGTTCATAGATTATTATTTAACCTATTAGTTCATAATATTAGTTAAGCATAAATGCATTAAAATCACTTGCCCAATTAAATGTATACATATTCAAATATAATTGATTAACTTAAATTATTTCAGTGTTCAGGTTTATAATAATTAATATAAATTCTTTGTTATTTTTAGACTAACATATTATTATTATTGTTAGGAATGTAGTTTTATAAAATGATATCATGAAATTCAAACTTATGAAAAAATTTAAGTATCAACTTAATATTATTAATTTATATGAATATAATAGGGTGATTATAATTTGCTCGATGTTTGATTAATCAATTAAGTATAAATAAAATTATTAATATCACTTTCTAAATTAAAAAAAAAATAAATGTTGACTTCAGTGTAATTTTTCTAACTTAATCCTAACTATTTACTATAATAAGGAGAAGTTTTACATTTAAAATGCACATTATTTTTATATCATAACTTACATTTCTTTTCGAAAGAGTTAAATTTTTAAAAAAAAATAGTGTATGTTATGTGTATATTTATAAAAATAATAATAGTATGTTATTAATATGTATCAATATTTTTCTCATAAAGTATTTAAAATAAAATTGTAGTAAAATAATTTTACTTACTAAAATATAATTATTACTAAATAAACATTTGAATTAATAAGTTAAAATTTATTATCGCACTTGTTTTAAAAAAAAAAATAGTAATATTAATTGATTAATTGAATATTAAATCTCATAACAGTAGAAAAATTAAAAAATTAAACGTCAAAAATAATGGAAGGTGATTTATTATTCACAAAATGATGGTAAATTATACTTTTAGTAACACAAGTAACAATAGATACATTTTACAAAATTGAGCGCGGTTCGAGTTTACAGCAATGTTAACCACCGACGAATCATGTTCAAATGTGTTATCATTATTATACATTATAGATAAAAATAATACTGATAAAGAAAATTGCAGAATTGACGATAATCCAGTGTTAAGGTACTATGAATCAATAATATGATAAACATAAAATAATTCCAGAAGTCGAGGCGTGAACGACGTGAATTAAAACGATGGACAAAGCTCGAAAATCAGACCCGAAAAATCCAAGTAAGTCATGGCGTAGTTGAAAAATATTACGTTCGGTTTAAAAACTCGTATTAGTCGAGCATATATGATTATTTGCTTCAAAGTTGTACGCGTTCGAATTTATTAAATACTTACGGGTTAGATTGACCAGTAACACCCATAGGTCCTATTTCCTAAACATTTTAATTTTTCCCAAAACCATTATGTTTTTTTATAGCCGCCTTCTATTAGGGTATTTACCGTTAGTATGTGTGTATTGTTTGTTTTGTTTTTAATTATTTAATCGTAAAAGTCCTGTTCTGAGAATGTATACAAAACGTACAGTGATGACTGGTGGACAACCAGCGTGGTCAAACTGTAAACATAAACACCTCTCGGTTAATGTCTTAATGACTCGTGATAACAGGTTATCACTGCACGTTGGTAAACATTTAAAATAACCATGTGTATTCATCTACGATAAACGACAACGCCGTCGTAAAGAGTCATAATATAATTTGACGTCTTGTTATCTGTGGCCAGAACGTCAAACAAGCTATTATTCTACTGATTTCGTCATGTTGCGCCGACAAGCCCGACTCCGACGCGAGTACCTTTATCGCAAAAGCTTGGAAACCCGTCAGAAAGTAATCCAAGATAAGAAGGAGCGGCTCAAGCACTGTCTAGACGAAAACGTACCCATTCACTACGACTTACGGTCGGAGGCGTTAAACTTGCAAGAGAAACTCGAGTGGGACGACGACTCCCCTTCAGTGTCGGCCGCCGGTGGTGGTGAAGAAGGTGGTGTGGGCTCGTCACACGAAGATGACGAATATCGTTGGGCTGGAGTCGAAGACCCTAAGATTATGATCACCACGTCGCATGACCCATCTGCCAGACTCAAGAAGTTCGTGAAAGAACTTAGACTGATATTCCCAAACTCTCAACGCATGAACCGTGGTAACTACGAGATCAAGCAGTTGGTGCAAGCCTGCAGGGCCAATGATGTGACTGATTTCATTGTTGTGCATGAACATCGTGGTGTACCAGATACTTTGATCGTTTGTCATCTGCCATATGGCCCAACAGCATATTTTAATTTGACAGATGTTGTTATGAGGCATGATGTGCCCGATATCGGTACAATGTCAGAACAGTTTCCACATCTGATTTTTCATAATTTTGAAACACAACTTGGTAAAAGAACAATGAATATACTGAAGTATTTGTATCCGGTTCCTAAAGATGACAGCAAGAGAGTGATTTCATTTGCAAACCATGATGATTATATATCGTTTAGACATCATACTTTTAAAATGGTACATATTTTTTTTTTTTTAATATTTTCAATATTACTATTCTTTGAAGTATTATAATTTTAATACTTTTAGGTGGATGGTAATAAAATTGAAATGAGTGAAGTAGGCCCTCGTTTCCAATTAAAACTTTATCAAATTAAATTAGGAACATTAGAATTAGCTGATACTGCAGATACAGAATGGATGCTTCGACCTTACATGAACACTTCATCTAAACGGCGATATTTGTCATTAAATGATGGATGGACACAAGATGACACCTTATTTTCATAATTATTATTTGTTTGATTTGTTAATAAAAATTAAAAAAAGACGAACAAAATGTTATTTGTTAATATAAGAAATAATATTTTTCAACATAATGTCTTGATTATACCTCAGATGAGAAAACATTTTTTAATTTTATCTTATCCGTAATTATAGACCACTGTATGATAGAGCTAATATTAACTTTAAGTAATTATGGAGTTACTCCAATTTTTAATATTCAAATAACATTGTCCATTTTCATAAAACAATTAAAATTTATAAATAAACACCTAATATTCTATAGATTAAGAGTTATTAAGCTATTGAGGTAAATGCCCCCTTTCATACTATTTTATACAGTCGTGCCCCCCTTGCCATAATAAGATTTAATTATTAATATATATATATCTTCTAGTGTTCAACCCTATGGTTGATTTAACAGACACATGCTCTCTTCTCTTCCCTATTACAAGCTAACCTCTTTAGTTCCATGTATCTTCAGAGTCCAGCATTGAAGATCATTTACTGGACATAAAGCTTGGACATCCTAGGTCTCTTACTTTCAATTTTCCCTTCTATTATTTTATTAACTACTTCTTGTTTGTACCTAAATATGTGATCTATCATGTTCCTCTGATGGTTTGAAGTTCATTTATTTCACTAATTTTGCTTTTGTTGACTCTATCCAACTCACTCGCAGCATTCTTCTACAACACCACATTTCAAAACTTTCAAAGATGAGTTATGCCTTATTTAATATCTAAGTTTTGCAGCCATATAGCACTATATTCAGTCTATATAATTTTATAATGTGTTTCCTCACATATTATTTTTAAAATTCTAAATCATGCCTTCATTGTTGGTTATTGGATAAATATAATAATTTAAAAATCAATGAAGTCGTTTTGAATACTTAATGAATTTATTTGTTAGGAAAAAGTATTATTATTATTTAAATTTATTATTATGAAATAGATAGAAATTAATCGGGTTGGCACTGCTTAGTTCCGCTTAATAATGTCTTGATTAAATATCAATAATCAAAAATAATGTTTTCATGTTTCATTGATTTTTAAAAATATTCACACCTCCCTAGGGTTGCGCATCCCTTAGATTGAGCACCGCAGCTATAGATAGTATAATTTTACTAAGTTACATTTTAAACTTATCTCTGAAAAAATATCCTATAAGGTTTATATTTAAATATACTGTTTAATTTATTAAGTTGAAATCAAAATAACTTCAAGTGAACATACCTCTTCAAGCATATTCTTTTATTTCTAACAACTCATTTGTAAATAAGAACTGTCATTTTTTATAGAATAAAAGTTTTGTAAAAGAAAAACATTTTGTATTATAAAATTGCATGGTAAATATATTTTTAAAGTTATAACTTAAACTTAAATTTTATAATGCATTAATTAGTTTTACAATACTATTTAACTTACAGTTAGTAATGTAATTTAAATGAAACTGAATATCAGTTGGGTTTGGATCCTAAGAAACTGAACCACCTTTGCCAACTACACAGAAATTAATGAACAATTAAAACTGTCTAAGTATATTATGATTTATATTTTTTTCTTTTTGATTGTCAATTATATGTTGACCTTTATATCTTTACTTTATTGGCCTCTATTGATTTATTAAAAGAGACATAATTTTTATTTTATTTATATATATATTAACAGATTTTATAAAACCATTAAGCAAAATAACAAAATAATTATGTGTACATTTTTTGTCCAACTTAATTATATGAGTAAAACATAATTTAAATTAAATTCATTATATATATATATATATATATACAAGTATGACAATAAATTAATGAGACTTTTTAAATATTACCTTAACTATTAATCTTATCTATAAAGCAATTATTGAAATATAATTAGGAAACACTTATCTAAGAATAGGTACTATAAGTATTGATGACATTGGATAATTTTTTTATATTTTATTAGCCTTGTTATCAGTGTTTAACTAAATTACCGGAAAATGTGAACATTATATTTCTCATTAATTTAAAAAAGTAAATGCTATGGAAACGTTTTGGATTTTAGGTAAAGCTTATGGCAAAGAATGTTAATCATGATGTCGCGTTTTTGAATGACAAACGATTTTGTTATAGAATAAGGACGTTGAAGACGATAATCGTTCTGAGCATCCTCTCACGTCTTTAACAAAAAACAACGTTGAAAAATCTACAAAATTATACAACAAGATCATTGATTAAATTAACAGTCAACCAGTATTATAATAAAGAGGTTATAATTAAATTGAGAGAACGTGTTAGAAATAAGCGACCAGATCTGTGGAAGAATGATTGAATGATTCATCATGACAATGATCCAGATCACTGTGCATTTTCAATTAATGTTTTTTAACCAAAAAAAAATTGTCTATACTTCAGCAAACTCACTACTCGCCAGACCTTGATCCTTATGATTTTTTCCTAATCTCAAAAATTAAATAGGAAACTCTTCTGCACTTACCAAACCTCCACCAACTATTTTTATTCATGTGGTTAATGATTATAAGGCTTTCTGTGAACACATAAAACAACTTACGAAAAGAGAACCCTTCTTATGTAAAAGTTCTATCAACGGCATCAAACTCTTCACAAGTTTACCAGATTCGTATCGATCTGTCATTAAATTTCTACAAATTATTAAAGCTGATTTTCACACATATTAACTTAAACAAGACAGATCCTTTAAAATAGTTATTAGAAATTAACACCACTCCGTTCCAATTACTGAAATAAAAAAAGAACTCTCGAATCTCGGGCACATGCCTCGTAACGTTACAAATGTTCTACATAGAAACACTAAACAACCGCTCCCGATCTTTTTCGTCTATTTGGAGCCTGATATTAACAACAAGGATTCTGTTTTTAAAATTGACCACTTCTTTGATTTAGTAGTTGGATAAATATAAACAAGGACCAAAATATACAGGACTGATCGCGAAGACTATGACAAGGCCGAGGGGTGTGGGGGGAATGCCGATGATCAATACAACTGAGTATATATATTATATATATATATATATATATTAAAGTCTATGACTACTTAGTACTAATTATGGGAAATAAATTTACTACGACCCAAGTATATTTACTCACGGTCATGGAAAAAAAATAAAATCTTCAATGGGGGTGGACTTCAGCTCGTTAGCCCTCCCCCTGCGTACACCACTACTTTTTAGTGTTTCATGTTGATTGTTAAATATTATTTTATCTGAAGGATACTTGGTTCTTTGCCAAGTTGTCCTAGCCCTTCTATTTGTACAATTAAGTATGTAAGAGAATTTAAAACTGATTTTGGTTGAAAGTAGTATTTGGTGTGCAAGAGCTCCAGTTAGCTGATTTAAATTGTTACATATTAATATTTTTATCGCTGTTCTTGTTTTATAATCAGAGTTTTTTTTTTTTTTTTTATTAGAGTGTACCTTCATCAGTACAACAGAGTTTAGCTTAATTGTAGTTCTATTATTTAATTGAGTAATTATTTATTTTTCAATACTCCATGGCGCACCGCAACTCGTTTGCGCACGACGAAATCAGTCGTTTACCTGAAAATAGATAACTCATTTGGCGCACGACACATTCACACACATAACACGTGTATACATATATCGACAGTGACGATTCGTCACAGACTGCAATACAAATTATCAAGTATATTATCTTAATATTATCTTATAATCGACTGTGTAGACTGTAGATTATATAAATTTGAATTTTCCAAACAACTTTTAGTAAAGTTTCAGTTGGTATAGACTATGGATATTGATGATACAGTGGTGACTAGTGTGTTGACGACGTAAACTTAGAAATGTCTAATATTTTTGAATCTCAGCGAGGAAAACGATTTTTTAATATTGATAATTATAAATTTAGTAGATACCATGTTTTAATGAGTGGATGTTCAAATTTTAGATGCACTAATAAAAATTCTCCTGTGAGAGTTATTGTTAATACGAGTAAATCAAACAAAATAACAGGGGTGGCCAAACCGCGGCTCGCGTCATAGACTTTTGCGGCTCGCATCTTATCGTAACATTTAAAAAAAATTTTTTTTATATGAATTTATGTACTTGAAAAAGTATAATATTTTATTAAATTAAATTAAATTATTAAAATACAGTGTATAGAAAAAAATTTGTAAAAATAAAGTATTCTTGATATAATTTTTCTTAATTGACTATTTTCTTATTTGTTGCTTGTTTATTTTGCTTGTAAGCTTTTTAAAATCAGGACTTTATGTTGTTAACGCAGTCCTTAACAATTCAGTTAAATGATCATCCGTTAATGTTGATCGATGTTTAGATTTAATCATTTTCATGGTTGAGTATAAAGACTCGCAAGAATATATTGTTCCAAAAATCGATATTAACTTTTGAGCGCAAAGAGTAATTTTTGGATATTTAATAACAGGCACATGTTTCCAAAATTCCAACAAAGAATGACAACTGTATTTAAACTGCTTCAGTCCTTCATCTTCCAATAATTCCAAGAGTTCAATTTCTAAAGTTGCCGTATCCATTGAAATTGATTTTAATATTGGACATCCATTTTCAATAACGTTAATTACAAAGGGATTTTCTAGAAATGCAATCGAAGGTTTAAGTAATTTCAAGTTTTTAAATCGATCTTCAAAGTGAGTTGGTAAACACTCTAATTTTTGTACATAATCTTCACAATTCAATTTTGTTGCTATTCCAACTAAATAATCCTCAATTTTTTTTAAATACGGAAAATGGTTTAAATTATTTGTTCTTAAGTCTCTTTGAAAAAGTTTAAGCTTATTTTGGAAACTAAAAATGTCTTGTACTAGGTTATTTTTAAATTTATTTTTACCTTGAAGAGACATATTTAATGTGGCTAAGTGATGCACAACGTCAGTACAAAATGACATATCTCTTAACCATTGTGGGTCTGAAAGTTGTGGAAAATTTTTATCTTTTTCTTTTAAAAATGTTTTAATGGGTTCTAATAAATCGAAAAATTTTATTAAAACGTTATTTACCGATAATCATTGAACTAAACAATACCACGGAATATCATTTGGAATATCATCCTCTAAACTTTCAACAAAGTAAATTGGCGATGTATTTTTGAACCTGAACGTATGTAATTCACAATTTTAAGAACAATTTTTTTTAGTTAGTTAAATTAGTTAGTTTTAATTAGTTTCGTTCTATGAAAAAGAACTCTTCTTCCCATTGTAATTTGAATCCTCTGTGTTCTTCATACTTGCGTTTCTTAGACAAGTCTTTTCTTGCTGGCCACCTCTGCAAAATAATAAAAGTAACCAACTATCATAGTCACAAAGAGTATAATAATCAACGATAATAAGCAAACGAGTTCTGACACTAGGGATTTTCGTCACAGGTAGCCAAAATATATGTGCGCAATCGAGTTGTGCATTTTTGCGCAAACGAGTTGTAAAAAAGGTAAATGTGCGTAAACGAATTGTAGCCCTATGGCGTACCGCGGCCAAAAACAGACACGTGCTCTCCCCAGGCAGGCATCTTCACTCTAAATCAGTCTAATTAAAATTAAATGATACTACCATTATATGTGGTTTTTATATAAAAGAGGAAATGCGACGATTTAGCTTCACGGCTCACATTTTAATAAATTTTCACTTCCCTCCATTTAAAAATACTGAAAACACCTCTGACTGCTTTTTTTTCTTGTTCTGTATAAAGATTTTTTTTGGGTATTTTGGATAAGTTTCTTATTCTATATCATCGTACATGACAGCAATTGAGGCTTAATGTTTTGAAGAGACAAATAATTGTTTGGTTTTCTTTTTCTTCTTTTTACTCGAAAATCTGGAGAAGGATAGATGGCGTTTAGATTTACATCTTCGGTTTTATTACTGAGTTCTGATGTAAAAAAGACAAAACCACTTAAGGTGCTCTGTATACAGGAGTTGCTTGTGACATTATTAATGTTGTGTTGATACGTGAAGTTTTTTATTCATAACTATCTAATCAGTTAGATTATATAATTAAGGAGATCATCGACAGAGATGTTAAGCCTCCGGGCGATAGCATGAACTCTTGTGTTTTGATATTGTGTTATAATTTGTTAATTATTAATTAAAATTACTAGATTTTTCGTAAAATCAGTCAAACAATATAATGATTTGTACTCTTTAAATAAGTACTCATATAGTAACGCCTCGTTTTTCTTATTTACAACATTCGATGATTTTATGAAAGACGTATTTATATTTTGATGATGTGCCGACTTCAAAATAGCTAAACTCTAGACTGTGGCAAATATATGAATAAATCATAATATTATATATAATAATAACCACATAAATCGTAATTAGTAAGATCGGGAAATGATTATGAATAATAAAGAATTCACAATAATATAGAAAGGAACTATAAATTTAATTTGAGGGTAATACGATGTTCTGGACATACATAAAAGTAGGTCCTTACAATTACCAATAAATAATTGAAATCGGTGAACAATATAGAAAGGAATAATTAAAACCCGAAGGTATCATCGAACATGGCTACATATTTTAATTACTGCAATTAAAAAAAACGCATATGAGAGATGTACGAATAGTCGAATAGTAATATTAACAAGGTCACTAAAGTAATTAATCTTATATTTATAATAATCGAAAACAACTTTCGCACAGCGCGGTACGATTGATTCCCACGAGACCTAAGTATTTAAGGGGGTTGGGAATAGACCAGTATTTAGATGTGGTTTATACGAGTAGAAGCGAGCACCTCCACGCCAGATCATCTTTTAAATTAATTAATTGTACTTAGAAAAATTTTAAATAAACTGTTTAACTTTATTGAGTATTTTTATTTGGAATATTTTCCTAAATCTTCAACATTTTTACGATTGGACGACGGCACGCAACAATGCTATGGCAAAAAATAATTAACAACTTCTGCATTTTATTGAGATGTACAGAAATTTACCCAAATTGCCCTTCATAATTAAATCGTCATTAACTCACTCAGCAAATGACAATAGCCGAGCAAAAAACTTGTTTGTAGCAGAAACCAATTCTTGTTCCAGCGTTCACGGGAGCTTTTCTTTCGCTTCTTCTTCGAACAGCACTGCTGCAATTACACAACACAATACTGCCTATTTTATTTTTGTCACTCGTATGTAAAAACGTACACTAGACTATGACTACACCGTATGAAAAACTTGATAAAACTGTGAACATAACTGTGGAAAAACCTAATGTAGTATACACACTTTCTGTTCAGATTGTGGTACATTTTTTACTCATTTAATTTCACAGATAAACCGCACAGTTAAACGAATCATGTGTGGGCCCTTTAACATACGTAATATACTTCGAAAAGTAAACTTTGGTTTCTTTTTTTATTCTTTTATTCGCCTAACGACAATTTCGTTCCATTTTTATGTGTACATTTTAAAATACAGATAGATATTTAATGTTTTTCGATAATAAATTAACTCTATTTCTATATATCTCAATATCTATATCACTAAATCAATAAAATTATATACTAGCTATTACTTATCTATAATATAAAAATGAATCGCAAAATTTGTTGGTAAGCGCATAACTCAACAACGCCTGGACCAATTTGGCCAAATCTTTTTTTCAAATGTTCGTTGAAGTTCAAGGATGGTTTTTACGGCGAGAAAAATTAGAATTATTGCTAGAAAAACCCTAAAAATAGCCCTTTTCTTTTTCTAATATAAATGATTTGTAACTAAAACGTAGTCAATTTGAGCTTTATTGCTATGGTATAAAGTCTGTGCATTTAGAAAATGGACAAAGAGTGTATTTTCAGCACAGAACGCAGTACAAAGAGCTGCTCAGCCACCATCTACTACATTAACCAGTTTTTTTGAGACATGCCAAAACGATGATTTCGCACAAACATTGCTATATTCTGAAATGCCAAAATATTATACCTGGAATCAATCCTCAAGGAGATTTATACGACGGAAACAAGGAAAACCAGTTCCAGGATATACAGATGTATATTCCACCGATGCGATTGGCCGGATTTATTCAGTACATCCAAGCAATGATGAATGTTTTTATTTACGACTGCTATTAGTCAATGTACGTGGCCCAACATCATTCCAACAGTTACGAACTGTTGATGGTGAATTGTGTGGATCCTACAGAGAAGCCTGTCAACGTTTGCAATTGCTTGAAAATGACGCTCATTGGGATCAAACTCTCAATGATGCTGTAATATCATCACACGCTCATCAAATACGAACATTGTTTTCTATAATCATATCTACATGCTTCCCATCAAACCCAATTGATTTGTGGATCAAGTACAAAGATTATATGTGTGATGATATTTTGTATCAAATACAGAATAGAATGGGAAATCCAAATATACAAATCAGTGAAGAAATTTACAATGAAGCATTGATTTCAATTGAGGACATGTGCTTGATAATATCAAACAAACTATTAATTCAATTAGGCCTGACCGCGCCCAATCGTCCAATGCATGACGCTTTTAACCAAGAGTTGCATCGAGAAAGACTGTATGATCTCAACGCTTTGAAAGAATTAATTCAAACAAATCTTCCACTGTTAAATGAACAACAGAAGTATGTATTTGAAACTCTTATGAAAGTAACAAATGATGAAACTGGAGGGATTTACTTCTTAGATGCACCTGGTGGTACAGGAAAAACTTTTTTGATTTCATTAATATTAGCAACAATTCGCTCACAAAATAAAATTGCACTTGCACTCGCTTCGTCGGGAATCGCAGCAACTTTGCTTGAAGGTGGTCGAACAGCCCATTCAGCACTAAAATTGCCATTAAATATGCAAAGCAATGAAACTCCAACCTGCAACGTTTCGAAGAACTCTGCAATGGCAAAGGTTTTGCAGCAATGTATATTGATTGTTTGGGATGAATGCACGATGGCACATAAAAAATCTTTGGAGGCTTTGGACAGAACCTTAAAAGATCTACGGAGCAATAATAACCGATTTGGTGGTGCAATGATTTTATTAGCAGGAGATTTTCGTCAAACATTGCCGGTGATTCCACGATCAACGCCAGCTGATGAACTCAATGCATGTCTAAAGTCCTCCAGTTTGTGGAAACATGTCAAAGTACTTCATTTAAGCAAGAATATGCGTGTCGAGTTGCAAAATGACCAATCTGGAAACATATTCTCTAAACAACTCATTGACATTGGTAATGGCAAATTTCCTATAGACATGTTGACTGGCTGCATTAACTTTCCTCAAAGTTTTTGTCAGTTAACTCGATCAAAAGATGAACTTATTCAGAAGGTGTTTCCAGATGTTTCTCAAAATTACAGAAACCATGATTGGTTGAGCGAACGAGCTATACTGGCTGCAAAAAACATAGATGTAAATGAATTAAATTTCAAAATTCAAGAACAAATTACAGGCGAATTGAGGATATATAAATCAGTTGATTCGGCTACTAATCAAGATGATGTAGTCAACTATCCACCAGAATTTTTAAACTCGCTGGATTTGCCAGGATTGCCACCTCACAATCTTCAATTAAAGGTTGGATCGGTGGTTATAATGTTGCGAAATATCAACCAACCGCGTCTTTGCAACGGTACACGGTTAGCGATAAAAAAATTACTAAACAATGTGATAGAAGCAACTATACTCAAAGGAAAGTATAAAGGAGAAGATGTTCTCATACCGCGCATCCCAATGATTCCGACTGATGTGCCATTTGAATTTAAACGACTACAGTTTCCAGTGCGTCTTGCTTTTGCTATGACTATAAACAAGTCCCAGGGGCAATCATTAAGTGTTTGTGGTATTAATCTAGAAAACCCATGTTTCTCACATGGTCAATTGTATGTTGCCTGTTCCCGTGTTGGAAAACCATCAGATTTGTTTATCTATGCGCCAGGTAATCAAACAAAAAACATCGTATACCACAAAGCACTACAATGATAATAATAATAATTATGATTCACATGATTAACAATAAAGCGATTACTTACTTTTAAATCCTTATATATGTTTTATTTAATTATTTTTTATTCACAACGCCCTATCACCAGGGTGACGGTTCTGTTCAGGAGAATTTTTTAAAATACGTAGGCACAAAAACTGCCACATTACAAATCTTTTTGACAGGACGAAGTCTGTCGGGTCAGCTAGTATATAATATATAATTATTATTATGATGTTTACAATTTAATCACAAAAATATTTAAACTGGGGAGTATAATATGTGCGTTGATAACGCAAATAGATAAATAAATTATCTTCTTAACACGTGTTTTTAATTATGTATAGGCGAACCAGAAATACCTGCAGTTTCGAGATCAGGACGCATTATAAAGAAGTCGACTAAATTACTCGGCTTCGAGTCTTCAGATATACGTACGTACTTGTTATCGCATGATCTATTTGTTGGTGGTAGCTACATATTTTATACGAAATTAACACTTGTTTTCTAGCAGAAGAAAAAGAAAAAACACCAAAGTCATCGAAACAAAATTCAAAACGCCAATCGTCTAACCACGAGCCACTTGATCAAGTAAGTGTATAATATCTGAAATAATAAAAAATGTAATCTTAATTTTTTACCCTTACAATAATGTAACACGTCATGATCATTATATTAAGTTTTAAGTGTTAATGACATAACGTTTTCCTATTTTTCTTCAGTTCAATGACGATGATAACAGCATGGAATTTCTAGAAGAACAACAGAATACAGAGAGTGGAGAGTGGACTGTTGATATTAAAGCTTGTGAGTTAAGAAAATTAAAATTTTTTTTACCCAATGAAACATTAACATGCTTATATAAAAATTGTGTACTTTTCTGTTATCCCGACTACAAATTCCGTCTCAATTCCATTATTTCGACTACCTCTTCAAAGTCTCGACTAATATGAAATTGTAATTTTATAATTAATACCATGTATATTATAGTATAAGGTTTATTATCACAAATTCTTACAGAAGTGAAGAGTTTTTATAATATATGTATATAAAACATTCATTGTATTTAAAATTCATTATATATAAAACATCTACAAACAGTATCATTTTTCCTGATGCATAGTTTTTTTTTTTATGACCATTTTTACATTGACGATGTCTTGGAAGTAAACCATTCTCTTGAAAGAATTCAATGGTATCTTTTTCAATATTTGGTAAATTCCAAAGATTCATAATTATAAATATTAACTTATAATTAAAATAATAAATTTGAACGTCAGTTAGAGTCGACTAATATTATTATACTATTGTTTAACAGTGCTGATGACAGAGATTGACTGAAATGTATAGTCTAGATTAGTGGTCGGCAATTGACGACCCATGGGCTGCATCAAACTCACATGTCTTTTTTATACAACCTACATTAAATTCGAAAACTAGCAAATATCATTGAATATCATATACATTTTTGTAATGTCTGGCCCATGAACCATTTTCAATTTGTGAATGTGGCCCAAGGGTCCATGAACGTTGCTAACCACCGGTCTAGATAACGAAATTAGACCAGCGGTAGTCACTGCATCGGCTAGTAGTCAAAATAACAGAAAAGTACCAAAAACTGTATCAGTTGTAAATTTAACCATGTTTTTAAAGGAATAGATCATGAAAAAATTAAATGTATAAATAATTTTATTAATATAGTATCATAATTTAGAGTTGAGAATTCAGTGATTCTTGATTTTCAAAATATTGATTTTTTGAGAAAATATATTTTAATATTTTGTTGAATTAATCATAGATGACGACACAGAGCCCAGCGGTACTTCTGTTTCAGTAGGAGAACACAACCAAGTACATACTTAGTCTTAATTAATTTTTTAATATAAAATACATTTTTTTTTTTAAATATTTAGTTTATGTATGCTCTCAAAAACTTAAGTATGAAAGAACCCGGATTTGTTGCATATGCGTTATGGGCTAAAGAAGTACGCAAAACTTTGATGAACGCTTATCCAAATTCTAGTAAGTTTTTGGTTTTTTAATTTCTTTTATTTGATGTTTAATCAATAAATTATTTAATTAAGGTACTTCACAAATTAATCAGCAGCTCAGAGATATGTGGAAATCTGTACCGACGGAAGACAAAAGTGTTAGTTTTACTTGTACAAACTGTTATGTTAAAAAATTTATTTTAATCTTTTTTGTTTTTAGCGGTGGATACGGAAAGCAAAGAGATTATTAGAACGTGAAGGTGTAGAAATCACTGACACAAATGACTCTAAAGTAATAGCCAAAAAACCAAGTGCAGAAATGATGGATAGTATTATGGACAGTAGTAGTAACAAGTAAATGTTATCATATTTATTAAATATAATACATCTGACAATCGTAATATACACTTATAATTAATTGTTGATTGAAAATGTAGAAACAAAATCAAATCTGAACCTCTAAGATCAACGCAACCTATTGATGTAGCAGCTCATTTGGCATTACTTGGTGAATCATTAGGTATAATAGGCCAAAGATTAAAAGAACACCAAGTAAGAGGATAATATATTTTACAAAATTATTTTTCTACTCCTATTGTTCACTATATATGTTCTATATTTTCAGGGTCAAATAGCAGTGAATGGTAGTGTATCGGTCCTTTTGGATTCTCTATTATGTGCATTAGGACCTCTACTTTGTCTCACTCAACAAGTTACAGAATTAAATGTCAACTCCCAAGATACTATGTCTAGACTAATGGATGATATAGCTTATATAATGCCAGGCTTATAAGAAATTGAATTATGAACTATTAATAATAATTTATTTATACTTTCAATTTACGTTAAATATGTAATGTTAAACATTGTACGAATAGTGTACATTATGTTTATCATATAAAAATACTTTTGGCAAATGATTTATTTTTATTTTTTAGTACAAATAATTTTGCGTAGTCACTTTTAATTGATTAACAATTAGTAGTACGTAAAATATGTGTAAAATACGGGTATATTTCTGCTTAGAACTATTGTATGGCCTTCAAAATGTAGGCCCCAATTGTTTTTTGTCAAAAGTTCTCCATATGTTTTCCTGTCTAAAGTAGTTTTAAACCATGTAATATCTTCTATATGGTTGTAATATTTTTATAATTTTTTTTTTTTTTTTTATATATAGTAAGAATAATGAACAATAAAAATAATATATATATATGTACAAATATTTTCAAATTGGTCATCATAATATAAATAATTAGTTGTCATTGTTTTTTCCAAATGTTTTTGGTGATCATATCTAAGGTATTGTTTACCAATACTTCAACATCTGCCATTTTGTCAATTAAAAATAAATGTTAATTGTCTTACAACAAATTTTTATATGCCAAAAAACTTCTTTTAACATCTACAGGTGTTATGGAGAATGTTGCATAAAATTATTTTTGGCGTTTGTACGCTTATCATACATCAAAGTTATGTCTATAATCAATTGCTAGTTTAAACAAATTACTAATTTTATATATTTTATATTAACTTTTAATTATATTATTAAAACGTCAATATATTTATAAAAAAATGTTAATTATATTTATGTGTCCAATTTTTAGCGATCGTAGCAATGGTGCGATTACGATGGGAAAGAAAACTGGAAAATAATACAGTAAACTAAGATGGACACTTTTTTCAGTCTCACATTTTTTCAACAGGAAATTGAACTAGGTTTTGGCGCTTTTGTCTGCGACTGATTTTTCACCGTTTTTATCATATATCTTATAACTTGGCTTAGGGATTTCTAGCATTTGCATACTTTTTTTATTATTGTTAAATATACAGGGGTGGATTTAAGGCACTGCGAACTATGCGGCCGCATAGGGCGGCAAAATTATGTGGAGTATTTATTTTGATTTTGTATAATTTTATCTATCAATTCAAAATCTTTAAATTGTGGATTTTATATTCGTTTATTTTTAACAAACTAATATTTATATTTTCCCAGGAACTCGTCTATGACAACGACGATTGTATTTTATTATAGCTTATCTTATTGTTTATGAAATGTTTTGTAATACTATAATAAAAATCTATAAAAAGAAAAAAAAAAACAATTCGCCATGACGAAACTCGAAATGGACAAGTAGAAATATCGGCGAAAGATAATTTTAGAATTAATACATTCATGTTTTACTTGATAAATTAGCTACTGAATTGAGTAATAGACGAAAAGCATATGAAATATTCTGCAAACCGTTTGATTTTTTTACTAAACTTCATAAATTGGAAAACTTTGAAATAATGGTTAAAGCAAATGAGTTGTGTTGCATTTACAAATCTGACTTAGAAAAAAATGAATTTTTATTAATTAACTACTACATTTTCGTTCTCATCAAATTACAAGATTTAATGAAAATAAAATTACACCATTATTACTATTGCTTGCAGTAGCAGAGCTACATATAGATTAAGGTGTGATTTCACACGTGCCTCGGCATAAGAGGGACCTCAAACGATTTAACTTAGAAAATTATAAACATTAAAATTAAAAGAATTTAACTAAAAACCTCATAAAAGTTTATTTTTAGTTTTTAGCTTTCCATTTATTTTTGTAAGTAAACTATTGCATAATTAGTTATGGAGTTTCAGAATAATAGTAATCTAGCAATTACCATAGTTATTAGATCTTAGTACAATATGAAGATAGGTAGGTATTTATGCATTTATTCGTTTTAAATAAAATATCCTTTAAATAAAAAGAGTTATAACTATACTAATTCAAAATAATAATTTTATCATATAAATAAATTATCGGTTGTAACTTGACATTTAATTCGGCAGAATCAATCAATCAAATCGAATCTTTTAGAACGTTATTTGCTTTTGAGCTCGAAACATTATCCAATGTTTTTAATATAACTAAATTGTTAGTCGTTGAAAATAATAATCTTATGACAAACTTTCCAAAATTACTAAAGGCATTTTATTAATTTCTCACTTTACCAGTAACTGTAGTCAGTGCTGAGAGATCGTTTTCAAAGCTGAAGTCAATAAAAAGCTACCTCAAAAACACTATGTCTCAAACACATCTAAGTGGTTTGGCCATAATATCTATTGAAAATGAACGTGCAAAAAAATCAAATATGTCGGCATTGATCAATACTTTTGCATAAAAACCAAAGCCGAAAATAAATATTCACAACTTAATTTCAATATTTACTTATTTATAAATATATTATTAATAATTATATATATATTAAAGAATAGAGATGTTACGTGAGAAAAACAAAATTCTTAGTCTTTTTTTTAAATTTTGGCTTAGAAATTCGCCACGAAAACTTTTTATACGGGCCTTCAAGAATCTAGTTCCGCCACTGATTGCTTTTAATTTATGAACGTAATATGAAGGATCTATATCCAAATATTGAAATTGCTCTTCGAATATTTGTATCAACTCCAGCTACAAATTGTACTGCCGAACAAGGGAGGATATTTCGATTCCGGACCCCCCTCCCCCCATTGAAATTTCTACATACTCAACTATTTAATAGTAAATAGTATAATAATAGTATATAGTGTACTTTAATTTCCCATTATCAGATAAAATAAAATTTTGGACCCCCCATAATCAGTTGCTGGGTAGGTACGTTCCTGCAGCTGAATTTTCCTTTTCGGTGTTAAAAAGAATGAAAAATTATTTATGATCAACTACGATAAACTATTATAGATACATATACTAATTAAAATTTTAAATTATAATACCAAACTATAATTTTTAATATTACCGAAATTTATTTAACTTATTAATTATTTCGAAAATATGAATTAATCAACACATTTTTACAGGCGTGTTGTGGTTTCAGCCTAATTGAAAATATACTTTGTTGGTTTTTATATTATTTTAAACCATTAATTTTTAAACTTTTGAAGTTCTGATCTGAAAATATCTTGCGTCATAATTCTTTGTGTAAAATTAAATTGTAATTGTATAGAAATGAAAATTTTATTTTTCCCAATCGGTAAAGGGGTAAAAATTTAAATTTGCTTACAAGTTTGATCGGAAAAAATATGAAGTGTAATTTATACAAAATCTATTACACTTAGAACATTTTTTCATCGAAACTTTAAAAATTATAATATATACATTAGAGTATTATTTTTCTTGTAATATTGAAATTGATTGTTGCTACTAATGAAATTAAAAAAAAAAAAAACTGTTTTATTATTTCTAGCTAAATTTCACTAATGGGAGAATGTATACAAGGTGTTTCTGAAATGGTTGAAAAAACCCCTACGTTGGAGTGGTTAAATGAAGAATCTTTTGAATTTTTTTTATCTTCAAAATCTAGGTTTTATTTAATTATCTTTAGAACATTATTTCGGATCTAAAAATTAATATTTGTGAAATATTTCTTGCAAATTTTTCACGTGATTCGTTATATTATATTTTAAAGTAGTGATGAACGAGCAGTCTGTATATTATCTATTTTAAGCTATTTTCAAATTAAAGGAACTCTTAGTACATAAACGATAGTTTTAGATATTTTTAAATATTAATATGAAAGTTATTGAAAACTCAGATTATGTACAGAGTCATGTTAACAATTTTTTCATTATAAAATATTGAATTATGGATTGATTAATTAATATTAATATATTTATTGTGTTTAATTATTTTTTTATTTTTTTTTTATTAATTATTATTGATTTTTTTATGGTTTAGTTATAACTAATAGGAATTGTTTATTATTCATCTGAAAAAATTAGATGACGTTAACAATCATCAAACTAACCTTGTCTATGAGTTAACAATGATTTAAAATAATATACGAGTAAGCATTTAAGTAACTATAGTTTCTATATTATGAGTGGCAAGGTTGATTGATTTACCTTTTTAAAACAATTCTTATTATCTGATCCTGTTTATACAACATGCGCGGGGGTGCGCAGTAAGAAACAAACAAACAATAAAGAAGGGACAAGGAGTGTTGATAAACATGTTTTATGAATGACTGTCCACAGAAGAAAAAATTCTAATCTGTTGTCAAAATGTAAATAATTCCATATAGGTATGAACAATTAAAATGCCCTTCGAAACTTTTACGTACCACACAGGGCAATTAACTTTGATTCCATATGACCACAAACAGAAATCTAGAAAAAATCTGCATGTAGTCATCAATGAGTTAAAAATGAGTAAACCAAATTCCTAGGGGTTTTAGGAAACTTTACGTACCTAGCTGGGATGAAGATTGTGTAGCGAGCGTTGTGCAGGCACTACGATCGGTAACACATTAATTATTTAACGACGTAGCACGTTGTACGTAATCTTGAGACGTGTTGAGAGAGATAGGTAATATTAATAATTGAACACTTTTAATTAAATACTTAGAAAAATTACTGGTTTATTGATTTAACACTTAGAATAAACACAAAATATTAATAACAGTTAAAAACTGGGTAGAGAATTATTACTCGCGGCGATGTGGCTGTTACAATGTCCACGACGAGCAATAATTTATTTAACAGGGGAAATGATCAGTCTAACTACCTATCTACATCTGAATAATGCTAAATGCTCAACCCGTATTTATACAGGTTCCAATGACGTAAAAGTGGCCTAATTCTAATATTACTTTCTTTTACTGTCGATTTAGCATTTCTATGTTCATAGGTGGAAACTACTTGTTGTTTTCACCTTTGCCCTGGGTTTCCTACACGTAGGCACATTTATTAATATTTATACTTAATTAGATTGATTATTAAATTATGCTGAGCCTTGGGCTCACTACAATTGTACAAAATTATTTGAAGATTTTCAAGAAAATAATAACAGCACAATAGTAAATTATCTCATTGGTAGGCTTAATTATAAAAAGAAGTATATATGGAGTGAAACTACTGCGGAATTAGACTTCACACACACGAGTCACAAAGCGTGGAGCTTGATAAAGAGACTAGGCTAACTATAGCCATAGCAAGAAGAAACAAGAAATTCTGAATCCAAACTAAGTTGTATCGAGATGGGCAAAACCAAATCATGCAAGGATCACAGTAGGACCATAAGAGCAGAGCTTAGACGTCAAAAGAAAAAACTATAACAACATACTATGATTGGTGCACCTTTCACGCTCGATGAGATTAATAAATTTATTAAGGTTTAAGCCTTAAGAAAACCAAACTAAATAAGGCAGCTGGTTTTGATGGGATATACCCCAAATTCATCAAACACGCTGGTCCCAGAGCACGGGAGTGGCTAGCTAAATTCTACAGTGACATATTAGATGCAGCAAGCATTTCAAAAGTTCAAAAGGGCTAAAGTAATCACACTTCTAAAGCGGGGAAAGTTAGGAACCGAGGCTGCAGATTATCGCCAAATCTTACTGCTAAGCATCCCATACAAGATCCTAGAGAGAATACAACCTCATATTGACAAGATTATTCCGGTAAAACAAGCAGGCTTCAGGAACAACAAAAGTTGCGAAGAACAGGTTATCGCCTTAACAACACTAATTGAAGCTGGTTTCCAGAAAAAGCTAAGAATCAGCGTAGCCTTCTTTGATCTCTCCGCTGCTTATGACACGATCTGGAGACATGGACTGCTTTAAAAGTTTAGCAAGGTTATCAGTAAGTTATTGTAGTAAGTTAGTGGCGTTCTTGGAAGGAATCCTTGCAAATCGACGTTTCCAAGTTTACCTGAGTAATAAAGGAGAAGCAAATGGAAAACAGTAAATAATAGGCTCCCTCAAAGATCAGTTCTAGTCCCAACATTGTTCAATGTATACATGCACGATATCCCAATGATAGAATGGCTTAAGTTCCAATTTGCGGATGACATAGCTATAGCGTTCCGGTATAAAGATTTAAAAGATGGAAGTGCAATCTTAACCAAAAACCTAGAGTTAATGAACACGTATTTCCACGTATTTAATTAGCGCCTAAATCCAAACCCTAGGAAAACAGAGGTTTGTACATTTCACCTCAACAATAGACACGCTTATGACAAGCTTAAGATTGAATTTGACGTAATAAGTGTAAATCATAATATTTTCCCTAAATATTTGGGTATAGCGCTCACATTTAATGAGCATTTGAGTAACCTCAGTAAAAAGATTCGGTCTCGGGCTAACCTGGTATAAGTGCTTGCTGGTTAGTGGAGTGCAGATACTAAGATCTCACGGGTAGGTAACAGCATTGAGCCTAGTTTATAATACAGCAGAGTATGGGTCCCGAGTTTGATTTAACAGCACACATGTAAGCAAAATAGATACGCAGCTCAATAGCGTAATGAGAGTAATAAGCGGAACTGTTAAATCTACACCACTGCAATGGCTACCGGCACTGGCAAACATTAAACCACCATACATTCGTAGGAAAGATGCACTTGTTAAAACCATTAAAAAGTCTGTAGATTACAATCGTTCTCTTTTATATCAGATGATGCTTCAAACACCTAATCAACGGTTAAAATCCAGGAGTCCATCAGTCGAGTAAGCCAGAACACTGATAATTTTAGGGTTTGATAGCGCTGAGCAGTGGCGTAATCAAAAATTTTATTGCCCGTGGCTAAATAATCCAATAGGCCATTAGTTTTACAAATTTGGAAAAAGGAGTTATGATGAATTGCCTACAAAATATAACCACCTACAAGATTCTGCCCTTTAAAGTTACAAACGATTAAAAACATGTTTAGTGTAATATTATTTTTATAATTTTAAAAACTTTACATTGAAAACTAAAGTGCAAATAAAATTATAATTTTCAATTTGTTTTTTAATCCTTTCAGCTTCATTTCGTTCATCTAACTTCGAGCTGCAAAGTATACATTTTGTTGAAGCTTTTTGAGTTTCAACAAATCTAATTTGAAGCGCAAAAACTGCATCATAACGACCAACATCATAACTATATACATATATATATATATATATATATATATATAACCAGTGCTCGGGACTTATAGTACTTAAAATCATTAAAATAAGCGCTTAAAAAACATAATTATAAGCACTAAAATAAGCATTTAAAAATTTTAAAATCAAGTAAAAATATTTATTAAAAAAAAAAACTATAAAATTCTAACTAAAAAATCAAATAAAATAAAAATAAATCTTCACTTTTAAGACTTTAAGGATTTCATGGATTTTCTAAGTGATATTTCTGAAAAATAAAATGTAAACTGTTCTTTCTGCTTTGATCATTCTGACGTTTGAGACTCAGTTCTATTTTCAGCGTTGGAATACATTGTTAATCCTACAACAATACTTCGGGCGGCGACAAACTACGTGACAACGTAGATAAGAAGAATTATTTTTATTTTTAATTCTATCAAAAACGACTTTGCTGGAGAAAACTATCAAAACATTAAAAAAAAAAAACTGGTCAAATAAGCAAAAATAATCAGAAAAACTGGAAATAAGCAAAAAAAAGGCACTTTTAAATTTCATAATTGTACGTGTTATAACTTAATATACACTTCTATATCACTCTGCTACATTTTAATTCAATCCATAAAAATAAGCAAATGCTTTAATTCCCAATCCCTGTATATAACTATAATGGTAATTTGTTTTTGAATTTGCTATAATTATTCTTGATGGGCCTCTAGAGTCGTAGCCCGTGGCTCATTGCCCGTCATGCCACTTTATCGGTACGCCACTGGCGCTGAGAAATGGTGAAAAGAATGTGCAAGCCTTACTGCATCAAATAGGAAGCTACTATGTGACCCTAATAATAGAGTTCTAGAAATGAATCTTCCTCGTTGTACCTGGTCCACGTTAAATAGACTGCGAACAGGTCATGGTCGGCGTGGTTACCTCATACATTAGGTTCCAAGATAACCTAGTATGTGACTGCGGAAACAGGGTACAATAAATCATATAGTAGTCAATTGCCAAGATAGAAAATTTAATCAAGGTTTTGAAGGCCTGCATGCAGTGACACCCGTAGCAATCACCTAGATAACAAACCTTGACATGTGTCTATGAACCCACATCGCAAGAACTGCTCATCTTTAATATTTATGATTTTTGACTAATTATAGTTCTATTTTAAGTTATACCATTATATCTTTACATCTATATCAGGTTTTTTATTGTTTTAGTTTATATTTTAGTTAAAGTTTGATATTTAAGTTGATTTGTGTTAAAAGTTATATGAAATAAATAAATAAAAGTTAAAAATGTATGGTGATCATTCAAAGGTTTATAAGGATGTAAACAACTTGTACATTTTATATATACTTGATCCTCATTGTATCTAATATCCAAACAATAAATGTTCAATGTTTGAACTGAAGTGGAACAGTATAAATAATAACTAGTTGATATTCAGTAAACAGTAGTAAAACATACTTTTAGTGGTTACAATGCACTCAGAAGTATACTTTAATATTTTCTAACACGACAAAATACGCCTATTTATTTTTAATGGTTTTTATTATTTTATAAATAAACTTTAACACACTTTTAAATTTATTTATTCTAAACTCAACTAAAAGCTTGATAACACCTCATAATGATATTTATAATTAATTTACTTAACAAGATATCACTATAAAATATACGTTACCATGAAAATTAATGAATTACATTAGTTATACAATTTGATTTACATACATTTTATATATTAAGTTTGTACAGAGGATTACAAATTCAAAATAAATGCTAACATAACATTAGGTATATATTTTGTATATATATGTATAATTTTTTTGAACATTAATATAGCAGGTTATTAATTGAGTAGTTAAACGAAATGGTCAATACAAAAATTTACTTGTAAAAAATGGAATAATATATATATACACAAGGTGCAGCAAAAGTAAGTTCCTACTATCTTGTTTTTGATGTACACGCAACAAGTATGAACTTTAAGCTGCACTAATAAAAATGGCAGCAAGTTGTATTATCGGTAAAATTAGTAGACCTTGTGTTATGATTGTTGTACAAACGTGTGATATATATAAATGTTTATTTGCTTGCAATAAACATGCAAGCTTATAACGGTAAATTCGTTTTTCACGATTTATTTGTTTTGTAAATCAGGGAACTGACTTTTGCCACACACCTTGTATATATATATATATATTAAATTTGCCATATAAAAAAGTATGATTCTTATGGACAATATAATCTGCATTATTAATTTGTTTAATTATACAATTATATGCAGTCAATAAAATGTATTGAAAATAAAATAAATATTTTGATGATAAATCATGACTATGTTATCTTTTTTTTCTATTTATATTAAAATTAAACACAACTGTAATTGATAATTTTACCAATTATATCATAATAGCTGCTACTAAATTATAATAAATTATATAACAATTATACAACAACATTTTTCACAGTAGGAAATCTTAGTTACTCCAACCCAAAAAAATTGTACATAATGAATATCTTGTATTATATTAATAATATCAATACAATACTAAATTACTAAATAAAAAAGGCAATATTAGTTAAAAGACAATAATAAGAAATTATTTTTAGAATTTTCTAAAAAGTAAAATTAACTTATTGTTAACATATGATAAAAAAAAAAAAAAAATGTTATAAATTTCAACTGTAAAATAAATGAAATAAACATAAATATTGAATGACAACCTTTATTAATAGTATACAATTGTAAAAAATAAATAATAAACAGAATACATCAATAGGGTATTGTAATGAATTTTTTTTTATGTACATGAATATTTCATTATATATGGTAATAAAAGAAAAACCATGATGAAGTTGTCAATATATCACTGTTCTTTATATATAAAAAATGTAAAATAAAGAATGAGATGTTTTTGTAACTTATATAAAATAAATAATAATAATTCATAGCAAAAAACAACAGTGAATTAAATAATGAAAATATATTTGAAAACATTTGAAACACCAATTGAGCATTGTAAATTCAAATATATTTTACTTTTTTTGGTTTAAAAAAATAGAAATGCAATTAATGTAGTGATGTAGTCATATGAATATTAGGAAATATATAGATCAAAATTAAAATTCTATACAAATCTATAGTATTAGCTATACATATTTTTGTTATATACATATCATGGAATACTCTGCTCCGTGTACCTGCATGTAAATACATTAATACAAAACTAATTATATAGTTAAGATGAGATGAGATGAATACACAAGAGTTAAATGGTGCATTTTTTTTTTTTTTTTTGGTATAAGATATAAACCAAGTGCAGGGTAATTATGTTCAAAATGTATGTAAACAGTTCAAACATAATAATAAAAGTTATTTTTCAATTTTAGCTTAAAAAACCCACTAATACCTTTAGTTTAAAAATGTTAAAAATGAATTATTTTGCCAAGCACACAATTTGGAATATATAATACAAAAGACACATTTACTCATTTAAATAACTATAAAAATTAACACAACTATAAGAATTTTTTTTTTTTTTAACAAATTATACTATATAAATTAAATTTATTATTTTTATTTTATTCAAAATTACAAAATATAATTCAAATAAAAAGGCTGTTGGGAAAGGCATCGAAGGAAGATAAATTAAATAAATTAGAAACTGATTCTAAATTAAATTTGTTTAACTGAACAATATAATGTTTATGAATAGTTAGTGTCAAACAATTATTAACTACAGAGCATTTATCAGAATTTTTTATATGTAGTTAGAATAAATTTAATATATATATATAACAGTTAAACTTGAAAAAAAAAACTTAAATTACATTAATTAATTTTTAATAAATCATATTAATGTAAATAATTCTCAACAAATTGAATCTGAAGAAGAGAAATATATATTTCAATTCAATATTCTAGTTATTCTAGTAAATTAATAAGTAAATCAAAAATTTTTATTATATTTTTAAACCACTATTCTTTATCCAGTGATGATATGTTTACATCATAAATTCAGATTTGATCATAAGACATAAACATGGTATTGTCAAATAAAAGTAAAAACTACTTATAATACTAATGTATCTATTATATTAATACACAAAGGTCATACTTTTTTTTCTATTGAATTTTTGAATTAATTTTATAATTTAAAAATTATATAAGTATTTGACATTTTTCAAAGTATTGAAATTAAATAATTTGAAATAAGTTTTAATTCACATGAGTAATAAATAATAATGGTTAACAAACTTGCAAACCCTATTAATTTTTCATAAAAACAACATTGGAGACTGACAAAAATGAAGGTACTTTTTTCTAGTAGTTCAATTTAAATATTTGGATAAGTAAATAAATCTACTTTGTATCAGATTGGAGAATATCATTTTTTTTTTTTTTTTAATATTCAATATTACAAATTGGCAAATTTATTCTCGTCAAGAATTTGCTAAGTTGTAAAAGTACTACAGTATATACTTAAGTGATACAATTAATCTCATTTAACAATTTTAACATTTTAAACTGAACCACTAGATGTATTTTTATTTTTGTCAGGCATACACCTATTTCATGTCTATAAATTGCTCTTGAATATTTTGATTTAATGAATATAAATGACATGTACATGAAAGTGAGTGCGGCAGCATAATACATATATATGTAAACATACATCAATATATATATACCTAGTGCTAAAAATATTACATTAATAATAAATACATAAACACTAAGCTTTAAATGTATATTAAATATATTTATTTAGAATAATGTATAATACACAAACTACAAATATTTTAAGATGTCAAAAAAAAAAAAAAAAAAAAATAAAAAAAATAGTTATTAAAAATAAAAATAATTTGGTAAACAACAACAAAGAACCTTGCTTACAATTTGAACTATAGCTAAAGAAAAAATTAATTTATTATCACAGAAAATTAATTATATGCAATCATTAAATTGTAATTCAATTAGGTTAACAAAACAAAATCTACAAATAATACATGTACTAAATATAAGTGTACCAATTTATTCTAATAAAATAATATTTAAATAACCTTGTATATATAAACACAGCAGTTTATATATTATGATTTATATATATATATATATATATATATATATATATATATTGAATTTGTATAAACTAAATGATTACACAATTTTATGCCAAAGTTAAACAATTTTAAAAAACTTAAATTTAGAATTTTAAATGTTAAGTATAAGTTGATTTATAATTAAAAATGAATTAACAAATGATACTTGGCCTTCTGAGTATATAATTCACAACAATTATAAAACTTACTCAGATTGATACATTCGATACTGAGAGTTACGTCCTTTAACTGGAAGTGGGTGTGCTTCTGAATTAAAAACCCATTTATCCAATGGGATAAGATTGTCATCACTGAATAATAGATATAGATACTAAAATAAAATTGATGATTATTAAGATTGTAATACCTTTTTAAATTCATAATAAATACTTTTAGAGTTTCAGCAAAAAAGTAACTTTGCTGAACATCATCTTTAATTGAATTTATTTGGTAAACATCTCTTATTCCACTATATCCACCTGATACTCTGCAGTGTTTTTCAAAAGCCTTGATAAACATATTTATATAAATTAATACATTTGTTAAATTATTTAAAAATGTATATCTTAACTATTTATATATATATATATATATTTTAATAACTTAATATAGATAAGAAAAATAACTTACTTGAACGGCTTCCCAGCCCCATTCTCGGTATTTATTATCATGAGTTAATCGCCATAAAACAAAATATGACTCGACCGTTTCAGGCCGAAGAATATTATATTTTTCAGTGCCACGTATGGCAACGGCATCATAATTATCATTAAATCTAAAAGCCTCTGGTCCTAATTTTGTAGCTGTCTTATCATAAGCTGTATGACATGTTTCTGTTAAACTAGCTCCAAGTTCACTATAGTGTTTAGATGAATCACTGCCAAGGGTTTCACCAGCCAGAGCAAACATTCCACCTGAAATTGGACATGCATAATATAAATATATTTATTTTTAAAAAACCATGTTAACATGTTCAAATAAAAACTATTACAATACATATATAAATGTATATTTTATCACTAATTAAATTAAATATCAAATTTATAATAGATCTTAGGTTTTTTTATTATGGTTGCTACTAATAATGTTGTATATTTAGTGCAACAAATTAATACTATTTACCTGCAAAACACGATAAATGGTCCATTTTATGTTCAAGTCTATCAAAACGCATGTCAGCTAAATATGTTAGCCCACTAGAAGAAGTTTGAACTAAGTTATCCATTACACTAGCCATAGCATCATCAAACATGTCACGGGCAACTAAATCTTTGCCATTAGACTGTATATATGCTTTCAATAAATATTCATAAAAACTATCACCAAGGCCTCCAAGTGATATATGACCTAAAAAAATTAGAATAGATATATAAACTAAATACATAATATTAAATATACTTGCATATAAATATTATTAAGTCTGAATAAGTTTTAAACAAATTAATAAATAAGAAGTAAATATGAATAAAAATTGAAGTTAAAATAAATTAAATATTTTTTAAATGTATTGGAATATTTAAAAAGTATAACAACTGTATATGATACCATAGTATAAAATCTGGTTTAAATTAATTAATATTAAGTATATATACATATATTTAATCTTTGATTATATACTAATTATAATTTATATATTATAAATATTTATAACAACTACCTAATAATAAGCTACAGACACATTTTTTAATATTTTTGAGAATTAAATCAGTAATGTTCTGACTTTATACTTGGTCACTTTTGAAATATGTATATGAAATATAAATACGATTTATATGAAATATAAATGAATAGCTAACTGCAGAAACAGGACAAGTACACTTTTCCTAATTTTTCAGGAATGATGAAAAACTGAACATGATATGTTCCCTCTCTGCAGTAAAGTGAAATTTCCAAACGCTATATTAAGCGTTTGGATAGTCGGATTTGACTCCTTTCTACAGTAAACGATGTATTTACGCGTACTTAACAAAAAATGATAATAAAATCAAATTTGATAAAAATGGACTTATCCCGTTTCTGCAGTTAGCGATTCAATTGTATTATTTACGTTGTCCCCATTTTCCAGTTATTGGGTTTAAGAAATTTGGATACAACCCATTAGGTCGATCAAGACTTCTCACAAATTGTCTAATGTGTTCAACTTTTTGTCTATAAATATCATTGCCAGTGATGTCAGATAAATAAACAAATTCTAAATGTAGAGTACCAAATTCTGATAATATACTACTACCACCACTTGCCCATAGATAATTTTTGCTGTTCTGGAAAATAAAAATAATAAAATTACAAAAGTTTGATATAATTTTACAAAATAACAATAAAAATTGCTTATAATAAATGACCTATTTTCAACTTTGTGCAGATTTTTTTTAATTTTTTTAAAAAATAAATAATTTTATAATATTATAAAAAATACATATAAAGTATAAATTAATAATTATATTATTCTATTATTACAAATACAAATAAAGAGTTATTTACAACTACATTATATAAATTAATGTTATCTTTCTTTGTACCTAAGATTTTTGAACCTTTTTCCAGACCCCCCCCCCTGAAAATACGCTACTGCTTAAATTAATTAAAAATAAATAATGTATAAATTGAAAATTTTAAGTATAAGCAGAATTATAAATAAAAGTGCTGTTATTATTATAAAAATATATATAAAAAAAAGATAAAAAAATATGTTAAATATATTTTAATTGTATTGTTTTATAAAAAAGAAAAAGATAAAAGTCAACTAAGAAAAATATGTTTAATTTTATTGCTATTTAAAATATTGAAATTATAATAAATTCATAGTAAATATTTCTCCGTATAATAGAAGTCACTCTTTTAGTATACCAAAAATGATGGCATCTCCCAATTTTTTGCTGTAAATTGGCAAATTTGCATTGTAGCATTATAAACATTAAAATTTATTTTTATTGATTTATGATAAATGAAAAGTAGATGATAAATTAAACACTAAGTGAAAAGAAGTATGTTTTAGTCTTACCAGGCTATGGATTTTTTAAAAACTATAAAGTTTCTGAGTGAAATGAGATAAGTATAAGTTTTACCATGATTTTGATCAGTAGCATTACTCTAATTGTCATAATCATAATAAGTATGCGATAGAAAATTATGCCCAGTTGGTACTTTAAAATGGGTCATTTTAAAATTGACAAGTCATAAAAAGAAAACCATTAACATCAATGGTACTGGTTTATGAAAAAATCAATTTGTAATTCAAAAAATAATAGTAAATTTTGATTATTCACAGAATGATTATATTGCAATTAGCTGTAGATAGTATAATTTTTAAAAGATTTTTTAGGCTACATATAGATAGTTGAAAATTGAATGTTTCCTCATATTTTTTTACTTACACCAGATTTTAGATTAACTAGTGAGTATGGAATGCCAGTAGGAGTTTGAAATGCAGGCAATAGTTTTTTTGCAATGTACTCAGCTTTATCTCGGAAAATAGTATCACCTGTCATAGCATAACAAGTTAGAAAACCACCAATAAAACGAATATTTGTTTCAAAAACTGATATATCTATTTTCTGTAAAAAACAAATACAATATATTAATAATACATCAAATAGTCACACTTACAAATATAATAGAATAAGAAAAACATTTAAAAACGGATTTTATTTTATATATTTTTAAAGAAAATTCCTCAAAAATAATTTACTTACCACATTTTCTAAAGTAAAATTATTAGCAACCCAATCTCTTCCTAGTTTATATTCATCTTTTAAACCCATAATTAATAAAGTATCTAATGAATCCACAATAGTTGCACCCATATTTGCTGATCCAAATACACTTCCAGAATGATCTTGTTTTGATACAGGTTTTAATTCATTTTTACCCCATGCATATTTTACATAATTATCCCAACCATGCTTCATCATCTAAAAAAAAAATAAAAAAAATTATATAATGAATTAGTTTGAATTAGTTATGAATTTGTTTTAAAAATAGTAGCCTATAAATAAAAAATAATGAAATGACATTGAAAAATAAATACAAATCATAACCTCAAATAATAACAAAATATTTTTCAAACTATTTCATTTAAGCAAAATGCACTAATAATAATAATAATATACTAATAATAACATAATAATAATATCATTCAATTTTCAAACTTGTAAACTCTATTAAGTGAAAGGTGTATACTAGTGAAACTTTTTTTTCCCAGAAATAAGTAAACAAGTTGAAATCATATAAGATACAGATATAATTGTAGTTTAGATTCCTCACAATTTCTTCTATATATATATATATATTTTTTTTTTGAAACATAGTTAAATCCAGAGTTAAATCATTGTTTTAAAAAATTATATTGCAATCTAAAATTTCCAAAAATGCATTGATGTAAAGTTTTTTTTTTGATTCAAAGAATTTCACCAGTATCCACTCCAGTTTACATTATATTATTTTCTATGGATTTTAATTTGAATACCTATTTAGGAAAATATAATACATGCAATTATACGACTGTTGAATAAACTTATCTTCTTTTATATTTTAGACAAAAAACAAGACAGTTATCATTTTTTAAGAAAAAAATGCATTACTTATAAAAATAGAATTTCATTGCATAAAATATTAACAACTCAGTATTATATTTTATATTATTTAAAATAAAAAAAGTATAATACACAAATATCTAAAAATTAAAATTTTAAATACAACTAGGACTGATAGAAGAAATGATTTAGAAAAATAACATTTTAAGTATATTCATTGCTTTATTTTTTAGTGAGAAATTTGGCATAGCGTTTATCCAAAAATTTTATTACAAAAAAAATCTTAATTTTAAAATGAATTTAAATATCTCTGTTCTTTTTTTCAAGATGTAAAAGAATTTTTTTGAACTGAAACAATTTCTAAACCCTATATTAGGTCTTAGCATTATATTTAAATTTTAAAATGTTATTGTCATAAAGTAGTATTTCTAAAAATGTTAAGTATAATTTATATGGAATTAATTTTTAATATTCATATTGCTTTTATTAAGTTTAATTAGGTTTAAAATTTTAATGAATCATAAAATAAGTTTTGAAAGTTTGGTTTAATAACAAAATCAAATGAATGATAATGCTAAAATTTTATAGTTATCATCTTAGTGTTTAATAATCAAAGTAAATATCATGAAAATAAATAAATTATTAGAGAATTCTATTAATTTCAACAATATAATGCTATAACTTTTTTTTTTACAGCAAGCAATTTTAATGAGTTATGTACAAATCATAATGGAGTGTGAGAAGGGGGTGCCCCATGACATCTGAGAGAATTTAGAATTTATTTAAAGCAAGTCATGTGGCCAATTTCGTTTTAGTCGACGGGTTTGGTTGTTGGGGAGTCTGAAGGTGGAGAGATTAGCGATGAGAGTATAGGATGGTTAATGATGCTTTTGTGAAATTTTTTGTAGAGGAAATATGCTAGAATGGTGAGGGTTGGAATTTTCAGATCGTTGTTAAGCGTGAGATTAATTGGCGAACCATGGAGAATTTGAAAGAAGTCAGAGGTTTATAGATTGGAAAGCTTGGAATTGGTTTAGGTTGGATTTTATTGTTGTTCCCCACAGTTTAATACCATATGTCATTGAGGGTCGAATGATTTGTTTGTATATGAGAATTTTACTATCAAGAGAGAGATTAGAATGGGATAATTTTCTAAATTTGTTAAGTTTTAGGTTGAGGGAGGATCTTTTATTTTTTATGTGTGTAGCCTAAGTGAGTCTTTTATGTAGGTGTAATCTAAGATATTTGACCGAGTCTTGTGTTTGGATTATTTTATTGTTTATTTTTATTGGTTGGGTATTTTTTTGACCGAGAGTAAATATTTAAAGTCAAAAGTAAATGTGTTGATTTGCTTTCATTAATTTTTATTCTCCATTTATAGATCTGTTGCTGTTTCCAGACATTTATTTGAGGACATTATCACGGCATCGTTAGTGATGTTAGTGGCTAGGGTTGTGTTTTTTAAGTGTGGAATGTCAGCTGTGTAGAGGTTGTATAACGTTGGGATAAGAATACTTCCCTGAGGAACTCCTAATTTTATGGGGTGAGATATCCATAGTTCATCTTCGATGCGAACTTGAAAAGTGCGTTTTGCAAGAAAGAATTTAATGGTGAGATATAAGGATGCAGGTGAAAAAACGGATTTTGTGTAAAAGTCCATTATACCATACATGATCAAAAGCTTCTGCCATATTGAGGAATACTACTAAGTAGTATTGTTTATTTTCCAACGTAGTCGCATCTTATCAATAATTCGGTGGATTTGATGGAGGGCAGAGTGTTATTTTTAAAACCGAATTATGTGGTAGAAATTATGTTGTTTGCAGTTATAATTGTATAAATTCTTTTAAAGATGATGTTTTCAAGAATTTTTGAAAGGAAAAGGGAAGACTGATTGGGCGGTATGATAAAGGAAGGTCAGGAGGTTTCCCTGGCTTATATATTAGCACTATTATTAAATGCTTCCACGAAGGAAGTATGTAGGATAGGCGTAAGATAGAGTTTATTATGTGTGAAAGTTGAATGATGGCTTTTTTTGGTAGTTGTTTAATAATGTGATTATTTACTAGATAGTGTCCAAATTTTTTTTTTTGGAAGTTTTTTAATGATAAATTGTATTTCAGAAGGGGATGTATGCTGGGTTGGTAGTGACATCGGGAGGGCTTGATACAAGGAAGATTCTATTAATGATAAGTTAGCTACGTCGCATATGTCAGGGTGAGGAGTGAATCTGATTTCTAAATCAGAGGCAAATAAATTTTCTTTATCTATGTTGCTAGAAGTTGGAATATTGGCCGGGTAGCGTAGAGGGGATATTACATTTTTTTTGTTTCAGTATATTTGTAAGTGGCTTTTCGTAATGAATTGTTGGATGTGGTGAAGGAGTTTAAGTATTTTTGGTAGTTGTCTGCGATGAATTTTCGCAGTGATTTTCAGGGATGAGGTGAGGTTGTTGTATATTTTTTTGTCATTGGGTAAGTGTGTTCTTTGCCATCTGGAGCGAGCACATCTTTTCTCAAATATTAGATAAGAGATGTGTTGTGGTAGTTGATTATATTCAAAAGAAGTTGTACTGGGTGTAGAGGAATCAAGTGCTGCTTTTTGAATTTTCGACGTTAAGAATAGTACAGTCGAGTTGATGTCTGAAGATGTTTTGAGTGGTACATTAGGGGGGGGGGATTTGGTTTTATATTATGCTTCGGATTTTAGACCATATAGTTTTTCCTGGAGTAAGAGTTGGAATTATTTTAATTTTAATTGATGAGTCATTTAGTGTTAGTATAATTGGTGTTTGGTCTGAAGATAGATCAGCTGATTTTAGAAGTTTAGTATTACGTTGAAGGACATTATTTATGTTTGTGAAATTATGTCCTAAAATCATTAGTTCATTTTTGTATTTCTTCTACAGGGGTAGTTGGTATAGATTTCTTATTACTACACAATAGGCCCTGTCTTCTTTTAGTTGATAGGTATGAAAGTCTGCTTAATTCCATCGAAGAAATTTTATGACAGAACGACAAATTCTGCTGATTGCATGGATAGTTTCAAACCATTTAGTGAATTTTTACATGTGAATTGTTCTCCTTTTGTTATTTCTTTGATAGTTGTATAAAATGAATTTATATTGTTGATAGTGCGAATAAAGATTGGAGTGGTGGTTTAATTAAGATTTGATTCAGTTTCGTTTTCTAAATCCATGTTGTCATATTTATTGTCAGCGGGATCATCGATTATATCGGAATCTTCGAAAATAATGAGTAACGATTTTTTAAAACAAATTGTTGATGATTTTTATCTTGTTCAGTATTTGGTGATGTAGATAGCGAACTGGGACGCCTGGTTGGTGTGAGAGTGGTATTTCCATCATTCTGTTTAGATTGAAAAGACGATTTGGGAGAGTGATTTGATACACTCTGTATGAAGGTTCTTGATATTATTATTAGGCCCGGACTAGAAGTATACCGGGCTACTATTCTAGATAAACAAGTGACCCACAATGTATTATTTCGGGATTTTTTTAAATGTGGTTGTCTCCCAAAATTAATATTTGGTAGGGCTGAAAAAGGTTAAAGGGGGCCACTTTCTTATAACCTTTATATTTAACAATCATGATTAGTTATGGGATACTATCCATAATTCATGTCCCATGATTCTATACAAAATAAATTTACTTTTTACTAACCCCTATTTATGCTTTAAAATAATACACAAAAAGTAAGTGGGTTTAATAAAAATACAATATTATTTTTTGTGAATTGAATTATTTTATTTCGAATTAATAATTAAAAATATCTTTTCTAAAAGGTTCATAACAAATATTAAATGTACAATTTATTTTACTCTCGCGCCCGCCATTAGAAAAACTCTGATAACATATAATTTTGATAAGCAAAAGCAAAAAACAAGTATCACGATAGAACAATACCACAGAATATAATAAAACAGTCATACGGTGCGTCACGAGCTTAGTTATCAATATATTTATTCTGTAATAATATTAATTATTAAAACACGTGTGTAAAAACATATACAATATACATAATATATGATATGCATTAAGCACGGTAAATACTAGATTTACTGCAAAAAAGCTCCTTCAAAATAGATTTCAGTATAATATAATTTACATAGGGGTGCGCACGGGGTATGCAGGGTATGCCGCTGCATAGTCTGCGGCTTCATGTGAGGGGCCCATATTTATTATTAAGTTAAGAAACTTTAAATTTAATTACCGCCACAGGAAATTTAAATCAATTAAAGCTTGATAGTAATGATATTTCAATGTTGAAGGAAAAATTTAATTTGAATACTACATTTGAGTCTGAAATTAAGCTCATTACAAATATGTCTGATAGAACTTCTATTAGAGGGTCATCAACTAAAACAATAGTAGTATGGCTGAATTGATTATCAGAAAACGACCGAAAAACAATATTGTCAAACTTCAATAAAGCTTTAACACAATTTGCAACAATATCTGTGACAAGCTGCTCGTGTGAGAGGGACATTTCCAAATTGTCAATTGTAAAGTCTAAACTTAGAAACACTATGTTACAAGAACGTCTTGATTCACTGATGTTAATATTTATCGAGCAAAAGATGGCATCAGAAATCAATATTGAAGATGTAATAGATGAATTCAAAGCATGTGTGCCGATAAAAAGAAGACTTGAACTTTAGATTTTAAGTACTCTCCATAAAATAACAACATTATAAATATGTTAAAATTATTCAAAAGCATTCAATATAGTACATACTTGATCTTAAATAATAAATTTTTTTTTAATAAATATAAATCAAATTTCAAACTACTTATTTCTACAGTGCAATGTTTAATATTCTACTGTAAAACTATGTGTGATTTTAGATTCTAAGGGAAGTAAAGAAGCTAAGTAGTATATATGCAAAAACTTAGATTGTAACTTGAATCTTATATGCGTTAAAAAAAATGCAAATACATTAAGGGAAGATTAGAAAATTTATTTGTGGGGGGCCTTATATTTCTTATTGCATAACCTGCGAATAAAGTCTGCGCACGCCTATGATAATTTATAATATATATATATAGGATTTTTTATAATCTTGCCTTGAGATCATTTAAAAATTATAATTATGTACTAAGGTGCTATAAACAGTAGCTGTAGCATAGTAGGCCAGTTGAATAATTTTGTAGATCAAAATAATGATTGACCAATATCGAGCATATTTATATTAATAAATATAAATTTAATACAAACTTAAAAAAAAAACACTGAAAAAATACTGAAAAATAGAAAACTGAAGAGTGATTATACTGAACAGAAAATTGAATAGTAAAACACACTGTAAAAACAGATCACTGAAAATAGTAATCATCAAGATTAATCAACAAGTTTAATCTCATTCATTGATCAATTACCAAGTATATACAGAAAGAATAATAATAACAAGAAAATAAATAATACCTTCAACATTCAAATAAAGATGCTTTATATTCGTGTTTTCTTATCTTAAATTAACATGGTTGAGTGTCCCTTATCTTACTATGATTTGGTGTACATTATATTACCGACCATGATTGGGCGTGTAAAATGTAAAACTATTGTCATAAGTAGTTATGGGTATGGCAATTTTTTTTAATCATTTAAAAACAGCTAAAATTTATATTTTACACCTATATTTAAGGCAGTGGCGTAAACAGAAAATATTTTCGGGAGGGACTATTATGGACAAAGGTAAATTACCACTGCTATCTAAAACGGGCTACACACGTGCAGTTGAAACTGTACGATTCGACTGTACTGTTTTATCTGTACATATAAATATTTTTACACTTCAGCATGCACACCTTCAGTTAAAACTGAGTGATTTTACTGTACAATTAGAATAAATCGTGGAGTTATAGTCGATTAACATGACGAAGACAGATGACGCTCTTGCGGTTCTCGGATTAATGTGTGTTTAAAAAATAATAGACGTAAAAAACGTAACTTATGGTGTAAATAATGGTTGTTAAAAAAAAGTGAATATTCACATACAAATTTGATTAAAGAATTGAGAATTACTATAAAAGATTTTATTAATTACTTGAGGATGAATGAAGATAATTATTTGCACCTTTTTTTCTTTAGTTAGGTTAATTTTGCATAAGCAAAATAAATAAGCACCATCTTTTTTGCTTTGATCATGATAATCTTTTTGCTTGACTTTCCATAGACACGGTTCGAAACGATACATTTCGATAAATTCTTCCGTCCACTCACGTATTTTTGTTGCCATAATTTAAATGGCAAGGATAATAAATAATAATATAAAATACGTTGTTATTCAGTTTTCAAAATTACGAATCGACTTTGCCATGGGCTGTAATGAAATTAAAACTGTACAGTGTACAGTTTGCCTACACACGGATCGTCTTATTTGTGCAGTTTAATTGTCGCAGTTTTATCAATTAGTACTTTCAATTCATTTCCGATCAACTGCACAGTTCTAAAAATGATGTCATATTAGCCTACACACGTAAGACTTATCTGTACAGATAAAACTGTACAGTCGAATCGTACAGTTTTAACTGCACGTGTGTGGCCCACTTAAGAATTACTAACAAGACACAGTAGGTACTTATCTACAGTTAATTTACAGGTGTCCCAAAACGATTTGACGTTAACGCAAATTCCAAACAAGCATAAAGCACCACTAAAATATAACAAACGTTTAAAATAATTTTTAAGTTTTTTAAAACATTTTGGGGGGGGGGCTGTAACCCACTAGGCACCCCTCTTATATACGCCACTGATTTAAGGTATTATATTTAATTAAGCATTAGAAATAAATAATAATGATAAAAAATAACTAAAAAAATAAAAAATAACTAAGTACCAAATATAATTTGAATGAATATTAATTTTCTAAAGACAATTAAATTAAATTAAATTATGTATTTAGGCAACAAACAGTATAAAAGTGTAGTCACTATATAAATGACAACTAATGTAACTATTATATAGTAATAATAAATCATTCTATATAATCAGGAAGTTATTTGACGGATGAAAATAGCATATTCTGCCAAAGTGACTAATATAAAAACTAGGTTCTTAAATAAAAGATTAGAAATTTAACATTTTATATCTTTATATTATATACAAATATATTTAAAATTGTTAAATATAATATAATGATGAAAAAAAGTTTTACTAAGTAATAAAATATAGTTTGTGATATGTACATCTAATCTAGGATAAATGAATTGATTTTATTTAAATAAGATCAGTATAACAAAGATTTTTACATAGTTGAATATTGTTTGAAACTGATTTATATACACTATACCTATATACCTATATATATATATAAACATATATCCTTATATGTATAAAATAACAGGTCTTTTTTATGTTCCCATTGTGTGATGACACTATTTAAAAAATTTCCAATTTTTTTACAGAATTGTTCCAAATATTTTCCTGAGTGACACCAAGACACCCAATTTTTCATTTTTTTTTTCTATCTGATGGAAGAGGGAGGGGGGATTAGAAATCTATATTTTTAATTTTTTGTTTACTCAAATTTTAAAATTGAAATATTGTTGTATCCATAGAATTATAGATGTGTAAATACAAAAATTCACCTGAACCTTTCTATTATCTCACTATGGCCTTGATAACTGTTATATTAAAAGCTGAAATATGTGCAAATAAAGCAAAATGTACACATGTGCTAAATAAACTAAAAATGTAATAACAATAAGTTATTTAATATTTTATGTATCCAATGAGTTATAGAAATGTAAATGCAAAAATTCAACTGAATCTTTCTATCATCTGACTATGGCTGTTATATTGAAAGCTGAAATCAGTACAATTAATAGATATGCAAATAAAGCAAAATTTACACATGTGCTAAATAAACTAAAAATGTAATAACAATAAGACATTTAATATTTTACCAATACCAATACCAATACAATTTATATGTAAGAATCTGAGAACAGTTAGGTATATTAAAAATGATATTAATATGTCATAAACTATTTACTAACCAGAATTCCATGAAATGGTTTACAAATTTTTTATTAATAAAAAAAAACTTTTAAATTAATCATTTAGACTATATTGACGTCCAAATTAAGTTAAATGAAGAATAAATATCATAAGTAGACAGTAATTTTGAGAAATATTATGACATATTTGATGATAGATCATGATAAAAATTATTTATCGAAATTAATAACTGATAATTTGAAAAAAATTCTTATCTCTTAATATGGTGTACCTAATATTTTTACGTAAACAAAATTAACTAAATCAATATAATAATAACTTACGCAAATGTAGAAAGACAACTATTATTCTCACTTCATACTTTTAAAAATTCACATAAAAATATTAATAACAACCAAAATCAAATGTTTTTTTTTTTTTTTAAAGGGCATTCATGGCTATATTAAATATTTTAAAGCCATAAAACTCAGATAAGATTAAAAAACAGCAATATAATTGCAAATTAAGTTACTAGCATTGCCACTGTTCTACATGGATGTATTTATTTTAATATTTATAGGCTTTAGATCTGAGATTTTACTAATAGTAAAAAATCGAAAAATTATTTAATATTAGTAAGCTAGTAATACTACTGTAATAATATTTCTACTTAAGACACAATTTATTAAATTTATTTCTTAACATTTATAAAATGTTTAAAAAGCAATATCGATTTATTTGATTTGAATCAAAAAAAGTTAGATAGTTTCTTAGATTTATGCAAAATCGTTGAATCATCAATATTTGTTCTTTTTTCTAAAATAAAGAATTTTTTTTTAATAAATGGTATACTTCTTTCAATAGTTAAATTATAATGTTTTTATACAATGGTAAGGCTTATTAAAAATCATATTTATTGTATTAAAAAAAATAATTTCAAGAGAAATTCAAATAGTACTAAGTAGGTACACTATAATATTTTATCAATTGTTAGTATATAGTGTTTAATCCAAGAATAAATGAAGTATTTAAAATTCAAAGTACATAGATTTTTACCTATAATATTTCAAATGTATGAATAACTAGGAATACATCAAATAATATTAAGGCAACAACATTAACATTAACTAATGTAATTATTCCTAATGAGGTTTTAACAATCAAACATAAAATCAGCAGGCATATTCTTAATCAGTACATGAAAAATACTAAATACACTTACTTCTTTCACTTTATTTCGTTTCTGACTCAGCTCATCATTGTCGTACCTTTGACTGGTGTCGGCGGCGTTGTAAATTATCGATGATACAGAATTTAAATTGCTGTTCTGGTCGTTACGCTTGATGGCGGAAAAATCTGTATCAGGCCTCTCCAACACCTTTCGCTTGTCCGAGTAGTCCTCGTCGATCTTAGCCGACAGGGCCCTTTTGTCGTAAGCTGCATGCGGGTCCTCCAGCACGCCGTCATGCCCAGCGTTGCCGCGGGCTGGCAGCAGCAGCTCGGGTCCGGCATTTTGTATCTGCTTGTACACCGTGTTGAAAGTACCACTGTACGTCGCCTTGAACTCGGGCAAGTAGAACACGGCGCCGAAACAGATGATGGTAAGCGACACGAAGACCAGCACGACCAGGCACAGTTCGCTGTTCCTGCGTGTGCGCCGGCTAAACGGCACGGGCGCGCCATTCAAGTACTTGTGGTACTGAGGCAGCATCAGCGTGGGGTTCGTCATGGCGCCTCGCGCGAGCTGCTAATGCGGGAACACTACCGAGATTTACCGTGCACTTTCACGTAACAACGACGACGGCAGTCATCGTTGGACGCCGGACAACGCATCAATTGCGGCGGACGCGGGCGTGCGATTCTTTCACTTTTTTTTTTTTATATTTTTCGCGAGAACACTTATATTTCCTAACCGCGACGGGACGACGACGAAAACCACACGGCAACGGACCCCAATACGTGCAATATCAACAACGCAATGATACTGACGAGTGACTATTATTATGTCGGTATTTTATTTTCGTTTCACCCGTCCCGAACAATAACAGCGGCGATTATGAGCAAATGAAAATAAAAATAAAAACGCATGGATTAATGATATCTCGCGCCTACGGAACGTCGACGATCACCTAATGAACGCGCCGCTACTGTCCTACGCGCACTGCTCAGCTGCTGCGGCGGTCCGGTAACAAACCGTAATATTATATTATTGTTGTAGTGGCGCAGCGCATAAGGCCACATCGGTTCGACACGGATTTCTCTTCCGCCAACAACAATAACAACGCTCTACGCGGACATATCAGCGATCAACGGACGGCGAGTTACGACAACGACCAGTCCGTCGCGATATTTTTTCACCTGCGCGCGATAACGGTCGACTGTCGAGATCCATCGGAGGTTATATATTTCACATACGCACCGACAATATGTGGTTCACAACTACGCGCGTATCGCAAGAGATTCAAATTTTCCCGCTCCCCAATCTCGTTTAGCATCTAATGTGACCACAGATCAGTGGCATAGCCAAGGAAGGAGGGTGCAGCCCCCCCTGAAATGTTAAGAAAATTATATTAATGGTCTATGAAAATCGCTAAAAAAGTAAAAATATTTAAAAATATTAACACTTTACAGCTATCTATCTGTGGTAGTAGGCAGTGGCGTAACTGGGAAAAAACCTAGGGGAGAAATATAATATATTTATTATTACCAAAACCCTGACACCCCTCCCCCTTACCAGTTAAAACATATTTTTATTGTATGTATTTTATACACTATATCTAATTGTTTGATTTTACATAAGTCTTTTAACTCATTTTATAGTTAAGATAAACATAAATTGTAGGTAGCATGTACTAGGTACCAATATTGTTAAATAATATTCATAAGAGTTCATTAATAAAGGTTTTAATAAAGGTAATAAGGTGCTATTTGTATTGTTGGATTATCTGGGGGAGGGGGCAAAATTATACCTTTATCTCTCAAAAAATGGTCAGAGAGGGCACTTGATCCCCCCCCACAATTACGCCACTGGTAGTAGGTATATAATGCATATAATATTGTGCATCGGTCGCGAATTACGAATCACGAATTCAACTTCATAATCAAGACTTGTCGGACTCGTATTATTATCTATTCATAGAGACATTGAAATTTCAGATGATTGAATATTTGATACATTTGTTAACAGCGAAAATTCTCAAAGGTTAAAATTATCATTTAAATTTTTTTTAATTCAAAAAATAAAATTAATTCTTTCTTTCTTTTCTTTCTTTTGGGTTGAACGGCCGCTAGGACCATTCCGTTTCACAACCAATTCTCCAGCCGTCTCCATTCATCGCCAAATTCTTTCAGTTTGTTCCGCCTCCTAAGCTTTCCACATCTTTCTTAACTATATCTTCCCATCTCAATTTTGGTCTTCCCAAGGGCCTTTTTCCTACTGGATTCTATTCCAGCACCATTTTTAGTAGAGAGTCCTGGCTCCGCATTACATGTCCTGCCCATCACAACCTTCTTTTCTTGATCGTCTCTGCTATGTTATTTTCATTAAAAATTTCTTGTAGTTCTCTTTTCTTCCTTTTTCTCCACTCTCCCGTGATGTCATATTTTATTTAACCAAAGATCTTCCGTAATATTTTTCTTTTTAGAATTAAGAACTTATTTTCATCCGATTTCCTTAGTGCCCAAGATTCCGATACATACAATATCACTGGTCGTATTAGGCTGGTATACAAATGTCTCTTTATCTCTCTTGATAATGATCTAGAACTTAATAGTTTCACTATTAAAAGTTTCCACTATTTCTTTTTTTTTTAAGTCCGCGCGTGGAAAATTCTTCTAGCAGCCCTCACGAGGTAAATGATAAATTATTAATTATGATTACCCGTTCTGATTGATGTCTCCATGTCTTAGAATCAACACTATGCTAAGATGGAGGTTTTACGCCCGTACGAGCTTTCCTCCACCATTTAAAAAATGTATTATAATATATTTATATTTTATCCATAATATTATTCTCGTTATTGTTTTGAATATTTTTCTTTTGTTTATAATATAATTAAACATGATATCAAATCCATTTACTCCGGTCCCAAAAAGAGTCTTGGTATTTGGTGGGCGACCCATGTACATTTGAATGTGATCGTTAACGGGCGTTCAACAAAACTTTCTATAATGAGATGTTGCACAAATTATGGTCAAATTATGACAAATCGTAAAAGCGATTAATGAGTATGCATATTGTTATTGGCTGTAGCTTCCGTTGCACTCGACCGATCGGCGAATGTACGAAAACGCGACTGATGGCAAAGCCTACGCGGTGATATAGTTGGTCAGTCTCCAATTGACAACCGGACCCGGACATTTCACTTCAGACCGTTTTTCCGTGGGATCGATTCAAGGGCGTATTTAGACTTACTTCTTACTTCTACTTACATTTTTCTTTAATTCAGGCTTAAAATTTACAAGTAAAATGTTTGCTAATATGTAAATCAGGTAAATATAGTGGATCCGACATTAGATTATATAAAAAAAAAAAAACACAAATATTAAGGATTCACTTGATTTAAATATTACCAAAAATTTTACTTTTTAATTTTGAGCTTGACTCAAAGAAAAAATTTAAGTCCTCCCCCCCCCTTAGAAGTAAATCTAAATATGCCCCTGGTAATATGCAATACTCGTATGCATTTTAATTTTTATAGAAACAGAATATATCTTATGTAGCACAAAATTACGGCAAAGAAATTAATGTTTCATTGATCTACGAATCAGCAAAGGGGTTTGTATAAGTTAGTTTTATGTATTTTTAATATTTATAAAATAATTGATAATATACTAAAGGAAAAACAAATTGTTTGTTTTATTGTTAAGTTATGGAACAATGTTTAATACAGAATAGTGAATACATTATATATTTTATTATAAAAACATAGATAGATAGTGATAGATAAATAACATTGATAGTGTTTTATATTGGCAATTTTACTGTATTATATATTATTACGATTATTTATCCATCATAAGTATTTTTTCCCATAAATTTTCTTTCATAGTTATATATATAAAATTTACTTAAACAATATGTTTTAGTTATCGTGAAATAATTTTAATTCTGAAGCTTTATTTCATTGTTTTTCTGAAATATTAGTTTTTACACGAGTTTTTCGATTTTAGTATTTTGAAATGTTTAAAATTCAATTTCTGCCGCAAGAGCATTTACTTTAGTTTTGAGATTTGAAATCGTAGGATATCTATTGCGGTACGGTTATTGTTAAAAGTAAGATAATATTTTTTTGTATTTCCTATTAACTATTTGATAATATAGCAATATAATATATGAATTCGAAAATAAATAATTTTAAGTTCCAGAATTTTTCGGGAAATATTTTAATGTGATGAGTGCGGATAGATTGGTGGGATTTTTATTTTTCTAAATTGGCAACATTTTTTAAGAATTTTTCTGATATACCATTTTTTCTTATCACCCCGGAGAACTTGGGTATCGCTTATCAAATTCTTATTTTTTTTAAGTGAACTGAATACAAAAAGAAATACGTAATTGAATAGACAAAATTTTATCTATTCTATATAGTGTATAAGTACAGAATAAAAAAATTAAAATTAAAAAATACATCAATATTTAATCATTTAAAATATAGTTAATTAATTTTATTTATATTAATGAGGGTTGAACGTATTTTTATTTTTTAAATTGTATTTCTAATTTATCCTAAAAACTATGGCTCTTCGAAAAGCTGCTGGATTTGTTATTTATAGAAAAAACTGTAATAATGTAAATGAATATTTACTTATGCAAGCATCTTATGATAATTATCATTGGACTCCACCTAAAGGTAAAAAAAAAAATATTTAATTTGAAATATCAACAGTATTAAATTGTGTGGTATCATTAGGTCACTTGGAAGAGAATGAACTCAATATAGATGCAGCTATTCGAGAAACTGAAGAAGAAGCTGGAATTAAAGCGCGAGATCTCAATATACATCATGATTTTGAAAAAGTGTTGACGGTAATAAAACTTATATAAGCATTAAATAACTATAACAAGGTCTTAGTGTTAGAAATTGAAGGAAGATTAAAGTGAATCGTTTTCCAGCTCCCTATGTGAAATTAAAAAGAAAAATAATAAATTTTACAATAAATTTGTGTTTAGACTATTATTTACAGATTTATTTTATATTTTTGTTAAATTTAATACAATGTCCTAAGTACTAAGGAAATTGGAATATATAATTATGTTATTTGAAACGATTCTAGTTTAGCAACCTATCGATTTTATTAATTTTTTTTTTTCAAAATGTGTGTTTTAGAATGTTTTATAAGTATGTAAAAAAAAAAACCCAGACAAACTTCGTTTTGAAGTTATTGATGAAAAACTTGAAGTGATGTCCTTTGTGATATTTTCGCTTTCCGAATTATGATTCGTCGATTTCAACAATTGACCCCGGTTCACTTACATATAAAGTATTTATGAAGAATAATGCACTAAAAATTGTCTACTAGTGTAAAAATGAAAATTTTTTTTTGCAAATGATGCGTGTGGTATCGACAATGGCCAATGAAACTATATACAAGTGTTTCGGTATTCGTCGCTTCGCTGTGCCAATCGAAAATATCCCTTTACTTGCTATTCAAAACCACCTCAAGTAGATATCAAGGACAATAAAAATATAAATATGTGAAAATTTAAATTAAATATTCAACTCTTAAGTATTTTTTTAAAAAAAATGCGGGTTATGAAAAAAATTAAGTTTTTAAAGTTTTTCATCAATAACTTCATAATGAAGTTTGTCCGGGCTTCTTTTTTTAACAAACTTATAAAACACACGTTTTGGAAAAAAAAAATTAAAAAAATCGATGGGTTGTTAAACTAGAATTATGCCTATTATTTATTTATAAGTATTGTGTATACTACCATTAACTGTAAAATTTTCATTTTATAATGAGTATATTTAATAAAAGGTTTGATTTTTGAATAAAAATCATAATATTTTTAATGGATGATATAGGAAAAGCTGCGAATATATTTCAACTCTCTCCAGTACAGATAAGAATTTAAAATTTACCACTATAAAGAGCATTGAATATTTATAATTTAAGTAAATTAATGTAAAAATACCAAAATAGAATTGAAATATTTGTATAACTTATTTAATTTTTTTTTTTTTTTTGACAGTTAGATATAATATCAATGTTTAAAATATTTTAATATTTATTTTAAATTTCTGTCATTCAAAAGAGTAATAAAAATGCTGTAAAATTTACATTTGCAGCTGTTTTCTGGAATATAATAATTTTAAGCATACTTTACTGTCATAATTTATCATAAATTTAGTTGAATATATATAAAATGTCCTTATGCCTAAATTATAAACAATAATTTACTTTGTATAGTTTTTCAAAATTTAGAACTAGAGTTTAAAGTGGCAAAAAATGGCAGGGGGAACTCTAATTTGTATATTATTCTCAGCATTCCATACAATTACTAGGTAATTAATTATAAAAAAGTATTCATATATTATGAGGTTTTATTAATGAACATTCCTCAACATTAATTCCTCTACAAACTCTACTCAAATCCATGGGCTGTAAAAAAGTAAAAATTTGTAGTAGAATTATCGTTTTAAATAATATATTGTTAATACCTTAATAAAATAAAAAAAAATTAAATAATGTATTTATAAATATATATTACTATATAATTTATAATTTTTAGTAAATATTAGTTTTGTTTATAGAACATTGTTTAATACTTAGTGATATAAACTAAATTGCAAAACCAGTTTTTCAAATGTTCTATTGTGTATAGTTATTTTTAACTAACAGTTGATCGTTTCACCAAACTTTTCCGAGAAATATTAAAGGGAACGTTTTATAAGCGATGTGAAAGATAGGTGCACTGAGTCTCCTAGTTTGCCTCTTCACTTTAGCCTGGCTTAGAACTAATTTTTGATATTAATATGAAAATATTGAATTAATTATATAGGTAACTATAAATATGAATTTTTACTCAAATTTTGATTCATCTATGAAATGCTTTTGTACTCGTATTTATTTTTTAATTTTAAATATTCAATAAATAGTTAATTGAAAATCCTATTAATATAGTTTTATTTTAAAATGTTAATTTAAAACTAACTGTTCTAGTGAGATTTACTAAAATGAAATAAAATGTTTACAATGACAATGAACTGTTAAATATTTTCAGTTAGATTGTACCTAAAAATTAATTTCATTGTATAAATATTATTTTATATTAATATGTTTTTTTTCTTTTTGTAGTATGCACCAAAAAATAAGCCATTTACCAAACAAGTTACTTATTGGTTAGCTTGTTTAGTTAACCCTGATACACCAATTATATTATCTCATGAACATAAGGATTTCAAATGGCTGCCCTTAACACAAGCCAAAGAAAAAGCTGCATTTCCTGAATTGCAAAAATTACTTGATGAATGTGAAAACTATTTAATTAAAACTAATGCTTGAAAGCACTTATGTAAATCTTAACTTTATAGAACCATTTTAATTTTAATTATAATTCTATTATTTTTCATCATTGTAAGTACTATAAAATTAAAGTAATAAAAAAGTTTTTAAATAATTAATATAGTCCTGTATTAACATTAACAGAACAATTTTTACTTTAAATATTACGACCGAGCTGTTTCCTCCTGTTCAAGACAATCTAGTCTGTTTCCTCATAATTATTACACAAACGGAAAATTTACTTTTCGTTTATTCAATAAAAAGCTTGTATAGTAATTTTTTGTTAATATGAAAGATTGAAATCAAACTATGGTGTAATAGATTTTTAAGAATAAATTGGAATCTTGTTTTGAATAAGTATAATATATTTGTACCTTTATTCTGGCTGAAAAATTATGTAAGTCAAACTGTGTGATTTTATCAAATATATAAATAAACAAGTATCTAATGACAATATATTATTAAATGTAATACTGCATGTAATCACTTTTTAAGTATAGTATCATAAAACTTGAACATACATTTATGAAAAATGTCCAAAAATTTTTAATTGACATTAAAAAAAAAGAAATTGGTAAAATTATTCATTGTTGCGAATTTAATGTTATTTTTTTTTTTTAATAATAAAACTTTTTTCTTACTATTTGGATATATTAATAACTATAAATAAAAAATGTTAAGTGATATTCTAATGAATCTTTATTTATTTAAGTGTAGTATAAAAATATTTTTGTTTTATAAATTTTAATGTTGTAATAAATACCTAGGAACCAAACTATAACATAGTATGGCATGTCTTTTCTAATGCATTTAACAATACCATAGTTGCTTTACTTTGTATTATTATATTATAATAAAACCACATTTAAATATAAAGTAGGTACACATAACATTTTTAGTCTGAAGAGTACTAAAAAAAATGTAATAACAAAACTCTTATGGAATATATAAATGAGATATTATTTGAATTATTAGATATTATTGAACACTTATAATAAAAATAATAATATAAGTTCTGTTCATTCATAGAATCACACCAATATTTAAACAATTTTTATTTTAACACCATACAATTTCTGAATAATAGTAACTAATGAAGATCCATGTTAATTAGCAATCATTTTGCAATCAAGATTGTATAATCGAGTAACTTAGGAACTAAACAGCAAGTATCTAACACAAATACTGCTCATAGTTCCCATCATTAATAATGGCACCGATTCTTTGTATGTAAATTAAATTTTCTTACTTTAATCAAACTTGTTTTGTAAATTTATTAATGGGTATTCAAGATTATTAAACTAGATAATACTTAGATGTATTCTAAAAACAAAATGTGGTTCATTTCTCAAGCATCTTATCCATAAACAATTTCATCATTATTAGTCATTTTTAAACACTTCCACATAAAAACATTTAAAAAATGATACATGCTATGGGCACAACATATTAGTCATATTATATAAATATATTAAAAGGATAATTAAAATTATTAAATAAATCACAAATTATTTAAATACAACAGGTCAATAACTTTATTGTGGTATAGAAAATCAATTCCTGAATGTGAATTTATTGATACAAATTAGAATCCATTTAAAATATTATTATTATCATAATCTTTAAACAATATTTGTGAAAATAAACTTTAGCAAAAAAATTAAACAAAATTAATAGTTTAACAATAACTTTTTGTTGAAATTGCAGTTTTTAATATTAACTTATGAAAATAGTAATACTTGATTTCAATAGTTGAAGAGTAACCATTTCTTTTATTATTAATATACACAAAAAACTCGGGTGTTTTAGAGTTGTTTTTTTTTATATAGAAAAATATGATTTGTTCAATGAAGTTAGTTACACATTTTATATATTAAAGGAAAATAATTATAAGTAATAAAAATAAAATCAACACATTTTAAGAAACTTAGTTGTTATTTAATTGATTTTTGTCAATTATATTAATTGAGAAAAAGAAATTGTTAATTAGTTTTAAACACGATTTATAAGTACATGAATACTTTTAAATAAAACCAAAAGTACTTTAATTAAATTTAAAATCAGAATTAATATAATCAGATATATATATATATATATGTAATATACATGTATATCAACAGACAATAAATCATTAACCTCTTGTAATACTCTATTATAGAAAGGTTCTTTATTTTCCATTCTCGAGAGCATGGATTTCAGCCAATACTTCACTTTTCTTAGAAATTTTCACACGTTGATCATTATCTATTTTACCACCTTGAGCAACCTTCAATTCCAGCTCATCGATAGTCTTCAACTTCTTTTTAAGGTTCCTGATTCTTTTAGCAGCTTCAACTGAAATCTCAATAACAGGTTTAACAAGTGCTTTAGATTTTGTATTTGATTTTACTTGTATCTTAGGTTGGGCTTGGGTTTTAGATTGTTCTTGGGTTTTAGGTTGAGACTTAGTTTTGACCTCAGATTTAGTACTCTTTTCAGTCTTCTGGCTAGTTTGTACTGAAGCCTTTTGCTGTACTGTAGCTTTTTGCTGTGCTGGAGCTTTTTGCTGCACTTGGGCTTTTTGCTGCACTGGAGCTTTTTGCTGTACTGGAAGGGCAGTTTTCTTTTCATTTTTCTTAGCCTGGGTTCCATTTGTCAATACTTGAGTCTGTTTTTTGTCATTAACTTTATTAGGTTTGTTTTCTTGTTTTGTATCTTTTTTGTTGGCAGATTTTTTACCACCTTTCTGGCTTTCCTTCTTGGTTGGTTTTGGAGGTTCAGGAAACAAAACTCTATGAAAAAAAAAATTTAATAATAAGCCAACATTGAAATACAAGTACTAATAATGACATATAAGATTGCATTTATACTCACTTAATAAGTGCTTCAAGATTACTGATTTCCTTCAAAACCAAATGCTTTGTAGATATCTTTTTACGTTGATCATTATCAATTGAATGCCCTTCTGCTACTTTAACTTGCAACTCTTCAATATTTTTCAATTTCTTCTTAAGATTTCTTACTCTTTTCACTGGATCAGTTCCAGGCTCTTCCGGTTTCTTTTCCACAGGTTTAGTTTCTTTGACTTTTTGCACTTCAGGCATTTTAACTTTCTCTTGCTTAGGTGGTTTCTCAGCAAGAACCTGCTTAGGTTGCTGCTGCTGTTTTGGTGCCGCAACCATTGGAACGGGAGCACCAGGAGGTAATTTGGGTTTATTAATGACAAACTTCTTTCCTTTGGATTCGTAGAGTGCTACTTCGTCCTGGGGAATGTAGTTCTCCTTGAGTCGCCGTTCCTTACGCCAAGTGCCGTCCGGACGCTGTGTTGCTGGAACGTAGTAACCTTTATCGTCTCTTAAAATAGCTGATGTTTCGTTCAAGTACTGATGGGCCATTTGCTACTTACCAATACTGCTTTAAGTACTGGACTGCAACAACTAGGAGTCTCGGAAAGAATAGAAAAAAAAGTAAACTGAAATACCACGCTTCCGATAAAATGGCAAACACTTACACCAAAAACTTGTGGCGTGTGCTTCTCGATTGGAAAAAAAAACCCTCTTATCATAAAACCGTCGTTGTTACAAAGGATACAACAACAATGTGACCAACATGCGTCGAAAGATTTTACCAATGAGATTTCAAATCATTATTATCATTTTCAATTTTAAATTGTGGAAAAACACAAAAAAACTTTTATATAATTTCATAGATAATAAAAAATACCCCATGCTAGAAAGAGAATATTTCTAATAATTACTTCTCTTTTCTTTAAAAAACCACGACTCCACGTAAAGTAATTATAGGCGTGTCCAATCCATTATTCTATAATCTATGTGTATTTTTGGACTTCGTCAATGTGATGAAGTATCGATAAAGCTCTCGAATCTCGAATAACAATCGGTGGGAATACCATTATGTTGGGCGTTCGTTGTTCAATTTTGAAACGATAACGACAATTTAAAATATTCGCAATCATTATTCTCTCCGATGGTTTTGCTAGAGAACTATATATAATAAATATTATAGTTCCTTAGCTTTGCCCCACGCATGAAAAACCTATCCATAGCCGTGATGATAATACACAATTAAGCCATTCGAGCACTGCATATAATATTGTTACTTTTTAATTTATTATTTTAATATTATGTACCTATTTACATTATCAATGTACGTTATGATTATAAAATTGCTAGCTTTGCACATGGCGGCTATGATTCATATCCTCCCGTAATGTTGTATAGCAGTGATCTTCAACCAGTGGATCGCGACCAAACTTTGGATCGCGTAAGCTTTAAGATTAGGTCGCGATAAGTATTCTGTTTAACATTTAGAAAATTTATATTCATATATATTATATAATGTAGGTATGTCATATGATATTGCATAAAAATATTTTCGAATAAACCCGAAACCGTACTATTTTATACTATTTTAAATTTGTATAAATTAGAATGAACATTTTTTTTCTTATACACTTATACCTAAGTAGAAAAAAAAACCAAAAACCACTATGCGATACATGCCACCAGTGGCGTTCTCAGGAATTTTCAGTGGGGGGGGGTTCTGAAAATTTACTAGAATACAAAAGTGGGGGACTCTGCCCCTACACCCCCCATAGTCATAATAATTACAAATTTTGTACTGTTTTAAAAAACCACATTATCACCAAATTGTTAAATTGATAGCGCGGTCGTGTCATAGAACATATTCTATGGTCGTGCTCCAATCCAACTTGATAACCGTGATAATGCTAACTAATGACGTATAAATCACTAAATTATAATCAATAAAATAAATAATAAATTATTATTAAACTATTGGAATAATTTTAAAAAAATACAGCCAATGGTGGGGGGTTCAAACCCCATGAACCTCCCGTGAGTATGCCACTGCATGCCACTAATCATTAACTGTCAATCACATATTGGAGGAGTGTACACAATATATCTCAATACAGACCGACCTGAACATACCATACATCATGTTCAAAGTACTTAGCAAAAACCAACTCTGAAAATCGTCACATTCTTAAGTACCTATCACAAATATTATTAGTAAATCTTAATTTTACACCTAACTTCACCTATATAATATTATAATATGTCATATGAAATATTGTAATTTTAAATCTAACACCTAATACATCTAATATGTAACATCTAATACCTAGCTTATAATACCTGCTGTTGAAGCCATTTTCAGAAAAAAAAATGAATGAACAGTCAAATTAAGTAATCGTGTAGTGATAGCCCGACAATCCATAAAACTCATTTACTTTTCATATATAAATATATACATAGGCGTGCGTATGGGGGTGGCCGGGTGGGCCGCGGCCCCCCCTGCGGACTCTGGTTTTTTTTTAATAAATGTATATCTATACTATACAAGATAGCGAAAATTTTTACATTTTACATGATTAAAGTAAAGCCAGTTATAATCTTGTAGTATAGAATTGGTATCTGTGAATAAATGTAATAAAGTTACTAATCAGAACTTGTATATAATGTAATAATTGAAGATGTAATTGATACATTCAAAAACTTTACTCCCGTGGATAGAAAGATTGAGTTGTAAATAGTATAATATGTGAATAAGGATTTCTTAAATATAAATTGTGTGAGTTTAAATAGTATTTATTTTTATATTTGCATATTGAATTAAATAAATAATTTATAAACTTTAAAATATTTAATTATACTAGTAGTCTTTAGTACAAGAATCTTTGGTTCACTTTTTTTAAGGCCCCCCTGCGGACAAAGTCTGCGCACGCCTATTTATATATATATATATTAATTTGTGTGAAATTGAGCTGAGGTGGAGGTATTTCGTGTGAAAAGAGTCCAGGACAAATATCGCACTAATTTCTTTTGTGTATTATAACATATACTTCTTTCGGTATCATTACATGCATTTTTTTTTGGTATCATTAATTATAACAAAAATTAAATATTACCTAGATACCTAGAAAAAATAAATATATATATATATTAATTTATTCGGTTATAAAAGCACTTCTCCAATGACATATATTAAGCAATTTTAACTTTTTTATTTGGTTTTAATAGCTAACGAAGTTGACATGGGTCGCGAAAATGTTTGGTAAGAAAAGTGGGTCGAGGATAGAAAAAGGTTTAAGACCACTGTTGTATAGAACTGCGGTTCCCAAACTTTTACGACCTCCGTGGTCCTTAAGAAATATTTTTTGTTTCGTGGAACCCCAACGTCTTTAACTTCAACTAACTACCAATTCTGTAATTATTTATTGAAAAACCAATAATCTAAAAAATGTTTTAAAGATAGTTCATGATTTTTGTTTACTACAATTACTGTTCTCAATATTCAGGTATGTACATCTTTCGGAATAATCAAGATTGTCCCACGGAACCCTTAGGTTCCGCGGAACAGACTTTGGGAATCACTGGTATAGGAAGTCGGCTATTTAGTTGTTTTATATGAATACCTGAAAAAAAGTACCAAGAAAAATAGTCCCCTGAAAAAATAACAATGTTATATATATGTATGTGTTAGTAATAGATAACTTATAAATCATTAAATTAGATTATAAATATTCTGCTAAACATCTTATGTGTGACACTGGGTGTAAATATTAATATAAATACCTAATGATGTAATATAATTTATGAATAATGTAATTTTAATAAACATTTTCTATTTTTTTTTATATTTAAGATGAATTATTAGAAATATAAGAAAATTAGCAAATAGTGAATATTTAAAAACAAATGTCTAATACTAAGTTTTTATTCAGTATAATAAAAATCATATTATTGAAACTTTTACAGTACACATATATAGCATTAGTGTTATTAAACTTTATAATAAATGGATATTTTTTGGACTTATATAACCGGCATTATGTGTTAGAGTTAGAGTAGGTACAAAGTAGATTAAATATTTAAAATTCACAACATCATATATAATGTGTACTGAAAATGACGGTTTCACAATTTCACAATCATAAGTAAAGATTCTAGGCATATGAAATTTTTAAATGCTCATGGTTAAAAGAATTATGATTTATGATATGAATATTTTCTATGATAAGGTTAATAATGTAAGCATTGCCAGCTCTGAATACTCATAGGACATATATTATGTATTATATCATATATTCTATGGCATATGGCGGCTTTGCTTCAATGGTAATATCGAGTCAGCTAACTTTTATAATTGTTTTATATATCTGTGTATGTAACAGACATATCTGAAACTTTTCTTTTGCATTTTTTCATTTTAAGAGTATTTTTAATATTTTTCGATCATTTTATTTTTTTTACAGTAAATTTGAACAGTATACTAGTATGTTGTATAGTATTTTTTGCATATTACAAATTTAAAATATAAAGAACAATTATTTAAAAGCACCTTTTATAGTTTTGAAGTTTAAATTTATGGGTCCAACAATTCCTTTACCAACTCAACCAAAACTGACACATTGAAAACTTGAATAGAAGTTGCAATATACTGCTGTGAATATTTTCAATTTATTAAATTTTAGCGTATTTAAATCCAAACCTTAGTCATTATAATACTTAAATTACAGTTTATAATCAAATATAAATAGTGAAGTAGAAATTATTAAGAAAAATGTTTCTACAATATAAGTAAAATAACAATCAAATTATTATTTTTCTATAACCTAACATATTTTTAACTCATTGATTATTGCATGAATAGATTTACACATTTTTTCTCTATATTATATTAAGAAAGAAAATAATTCATTTTTAACTATTTTAATATTATATTTTGTCCTACTATTACCAAAAATGTATACCAATAAGGCTACAGCTATTTTATAATTTTATTTAAAATAGATTGAAACATTATTATTGAAAATATTTATGTAGTGTATATTTCATAGAAGTAAATATTAAATAAAACAATTTTTATTGGAAAAATAATATTTAATGAATGAAAAATGATTCACAGTTATAATGTTACTTAGTTCCTTCAACAAATAATCCAGAAAACAAATATCCACCGCCATTGTCCATTGTCACGTCAGGATGCGTTCTACTTGGAAGTACTTGATGATATCTCATAAAACTATCAGTCAATCGAAGGAAAACTACATCTCTTCTCGTCTTAAATTCAGCATATAAGGAAACTAATATTTCTCTGTATGCTGAATAAACAACAAAAGGTCTTGACAAAGATAAATATGGTAAAAATGTTTTAACAATTTCAGTGGGTTCCTCTCTGCATACAACAATTAGGCCATCAAATTTGTTAGACTTTAAGAAATTTAAACCATCCATACTAGTTATTGACCTATGTTTTTTCTTAACTTGTATATATGCTTCATCACTTTTTCTTTTTTTATCTTCTGAACAGATAGGTACATCATCTTCATCTTTTTCTTCCTTAATATCAAGTTCATTTCTTTTATTTAATATTTCATACAAACTTACGGTTAACATTTGTTTCATTTTAGATTCAGAAAAATTCATAGCTTTCACTGCTCTCAATGCATTTTGTTCAGCTGTTGAAGAGAATATATGTATTAAGCATCCATCATCATGCAGTTGGTTAAGGAGTGATGCTTGTAATAATCCTTGACTTCCATTCTCATAAAGTAAATACTTGCCGCCAGGATCCAAATTAACACGACATAATATCTGAGCTAATGTATCAAACCTTATAGGTATAGTCTTAGGAATGGTTTGTTGCTTATATAATACATCAGTAACAAGTCTTATTGTAGGCTTAAATATTGTCAAAAAGTCACAGTACTTCCTTGCTTTTTTTTTCAAATACTTTTCCTGAGCATACTCAGTTTTCAGCTGAAACGTTTTGCTATTCTCCAACAGACGTTCAACAATATTTTGACCAGTTTCTCCGCTTTCTTTAAGAGCTATTATTTCATCCGTACTAAGCAATTGGGAAGAACTATCATCAGTTATTAGTTTGTTATCAGTACCACAACCATTTGTTGCCCATTGATTTCGTGCCTGATTGTCATTACAAATTACTAATGTATAATGTCTCTTTTTCTCCGGTATTGGCTCCAGTTTAAAGGTGGACGAATATGGTTGTCCTATAGATGCTTTAAGATCAATTACATCACGACCAAGTTTCAATGTGGCTTTGTTGGATACCTGATGAATTAAGTACGTTTCATTTTTATTGATAATCAAATAATTACCCTGTGTGATGATGTTTTTTAGATTTGTAGCAGTCATGATACTTCTTAAAAGTAATATTAACAAAATGTAAATTGTTTCACTATAATTTAATACAATAATTCATGACTAAATTCTATAAGTGAACTATCAGTAAATTTTAAAAGTATTGACAATATTAATTGTATAAAACTAATGGGTAATAAATTAAGTAATTAATAACAAACTATTAGAAGTTTAAAATTCTTTTAATTTAATTTCTTTTTAAATTCTTATCATTGATATACGATAAATTCTGAATATTTTATACCATACACATGGTTTAAAAACCGTACGACAATTTAAAACTAGTAATAAGTAATTATTCTCTGATAGGATTTTAATCGTAATCTGTAAGCATTTAGCATTTAGGTATAATTATAGAACAAATAAACTTTATAGGATTGTTTTTGATATTCCATTCATAGAAGATTGGCCCGTTAAATATTATCGAACTATTTTAAATACATCATATTTTCTTTTATTTTTTTGTGATTAAGCCTTTTAAAGATAAGATAAATTCCAAACTTGCCGATTTAATCAATTCCCATTAATTTGTTAATTTATATTGATTATTTACTATAACTAATGTAATTAAGTAAAATTGATAATAAATAGTGAAATATTAATATATATTTAAATTTAGCCCCTAGATACACGATAGCACACGTAATATTTATTAATATATGTAATTCGTGTTTATAATACTATAATCATTATGCGCATTAATACATGGACAAATATTAAATTATATGTTGCAATTTAAATATTTAGGTTTTTTATTTTTATTTTTTTGATATATGTGTACATTGTTGTTAAATTGTAGTCTACATTTTTTTTTGTCCAACATTTAAGTTCACACTGATTAATCGATGATAACAATCACGGACGTAATTTATTACAGGATATTGTGATAAAAGTTAAATACATGATACCTATACGATATTATTGATTGCAGTGGTTAAAAACTGCAATTTAGTAATTTTTGTTATTTTGTGTTTGTTAGTTTTATTATAATGTGTATGTAACATTTATTTTTGATAAATTTGATATATTTTGTATTTTAATAGTAATATTTTCGTGTTGAACACCATATTTGTCAACTGTCTATTAGGTATAGAATTATTTCTGCAATAAAAATTTTACAAATAACCTTAGACAACCAAAATATGCATTTATTTTAAAGATTTCACTGATTCAATATGCAAACCGATCAACAAATAAGAAAAAGATTGCGAGATGAGTTTAATGATATTGAAACCAAACACATGTGGAACATTACATTCAGGGTAAGTAAATTAAATAACTATAGAATTATATACACTATAGGCAAATTGTGTTTTGTTTTGTTATGTTCATCATGAGTAAAATAATTTTAATTATTTATTAAGTATAAGTATAAAAGTTATGTATTTTGTTATTAAATTAAATCATAACATTATTTTTAATTATATTCATTATTATGGATTTATACATTAAGAAATACATCTCATATTAAAACAAGTTAACGAAACTTATTAAAAAGTTTATTAATTTATTTAATCATGCATATTAAATGAAATTAATAATAGCAACAAAATTAAATTCCTTTATAATACCCTATAATAAAAACTATTTTAATATTAGTAAGGAAGATTTACTTAAATTATAAAATCCTAAGTTATATAATTACTTATTGAATTATCATTATAAATATTTTTTATCACTATTTATACTTATTTTATAAATATTAAAATTGTATCAAACTAATAAATAATAATCATTAACCTTTTATAATTAATCATGTAATATGTATTTAGAAAAAAATATAATATTCTTTATTTATTATTGCATCTATTTTTCATTTTTACTTTAAATGCTTTTTACTTTGGAAGAACAATATTTAACTACACAGCTTCTGATTAAATTTATGATTTACTATGATAACAGTTATTAGTTACTCTTAAATGGTTATACTATTGTGTACTATGGATGTAATAATTATTGTCTTAGAATAAAAAATATGATTAAACATTATGGAATATTTTATAGTTTGTTGAATCAGAAAGTTCAAAAATTAAGAAAACATCAGATGAAGCAAAAAAGCCTCAGAATAAGGGGTTTAATCGATATCAAGATGTTTCTCCTTATGATGATACTAGAATTATTCTTAAAAGAGGAAATGTTTCTTATATAAATGCTAATCTTGTACAAGTAAGAATATTAGTTTCAAAGTTTAATTATAATTTATTGATAAAAGTTTATTATAGTTTTGTATTAAGTATTTAGTTGGTATTTGATATTTAAATATACATATAGATTTTTTTTCATATAGATCTGCAACTGTGAAAGACAGTATATTTTAACTCAAGGACCATTGGAAAATACTACTTCACATTTTTGGGTTATGGTTTGGGAACAAAATACCAAAGCTATTGTAATGTTAAACAAAGTTATTGAAAAGAAAAAAGTAATAAAGTTTATTTAGATAATAATTAATTTATAAATAAAAACATTTTTTTTTTCCTCTTAAGCTTAAATGTCATCAATATTGGCCTAAGAAAAGGAAGGATAATGATAAATTTATCTGGAATGATGTTAGTTTATCTGTTGAATTTATATCTAAAATCAATCATGGATTTTATGCACAGAGTGTATTGAAGTAAGAATTAATCATATTCCTTGTAAATGTTTTGAAAAAAATCTTTGACTTTTGTTTTACAGACTCAACGATTTACATTCAGGAGAATCTCGTGAGATTTATCATTTCCATTATACCGATTGGCCAGACTTTGGTGTGCCTAAAACTCCTACACCTTTTTTACGATTTCTAAGGGACGTTAGACGTAGTGGTGCTCTTGATCCATCTCATGGTCCATCTATCATTCATTGTTCTGCTGGAATAGGACGCTCAGGAACATTTTGTTTAATAGATATTTGTCTTATAAAAGTGAAAATTAAAATTTTAAGATTTAGATTAATATTACATTAATTACTTAATTATTTTAGATGAACACACCGGAAGGTTTAAACTATGTTCACATACGTACATTATTAGCTGAAATGAGAAAATGTCGTGTAGGACTTGTTCAGACTTCAGAACAGTTAAGATTTGTTTATCAAAGTGTAATTGAAGCTCTTGATACAGATTGGGAAGCTGATAATGAGGTAAATACTTATATAAATATTATATCAAACAATTTTAACATGCTCTTAATTATAATAATTGAAACAAATTATCTATACTAATATTTATGAATGTAAATTTAATTGAATCTTAATAGTTAACTTGAAAATTACTTGGCCAGTTTCTATAAAAGCTTTATAATATATATTTTTTTAAATCTGTTAAATTTTATTGGCTATACTTAATTTTATTATTGGTTAAAAAAGGGGAAGAGATATACTATTGTAATTAGTTATAACACTTGTTGAATATATTTTATTTATTTTTTTTTGTGGAGTACATCAAATATTTTTATCTCTCACCAGTTCCACAGTATGACATTTTTATTTTTTTATGGCAAGTATAAAAAAATGTCCATCTTACTTTTCAATTTGGTTTTTTTTTCAAACTTAAAACTGTAAAAAGATAATTTTTAGAATATACATTAAAAATATATACTACCAAAATTAACTCAATCGGGTTGTAAATATTTTTGTTGTTTTAAAGAATAATATTAATACTTATTTTGTAACTAATTTATCTTCAAAATACCTGTGTACCAATTTAGTATTAACAACTAATGTTATAGAAATATTGTTATATAAATATATATTTGACTTTGGCAAAGTTGGGTTTTTCAGCTAGTATAAATATACCCAAAAACTAAAATGTTCTCAACGTCTGGAATCATAATATAATTAAATTCTATTTTTTAACTACACTAATAAGTTTTGATTTTTATAAGTATTCATTTTAAATAGTATTAAATGAAAGCTTTTTTAAATATTTTAAAATTTTAAATAAAAAGTTTTATTGTTTGTTAAATTTACCCAATTTCATTATAAACATAAGTTTAATTATATTATAAATCCAAACGATCCAATGTATTTGTGAATTGAATGATATACTGTGTCTTTTAGCAACTTGTTCAGTGTGCAGCTCACTTTTAATTGAAAATTGCTTCTTTTTCAGCATTTTAAGTATTTTATAATATTCAATAATACCATAAATAATAATATGTTTTTGTTCTAGGATGATTTACCTAATTTAGATGGCACATTATTAAATAATGCAAGTGGTTCTGATTGTGGAAGCAGTGATAGTGAACTCAGTAATGAGGCACCTCCTTTACCACCCCCTCGTATGGAATCATTAAGGCCACAAGATGAAGATGATTCTGTGGATGAAGAATCATCAGTATCAGAATCTGATAGTGATGAAAATGAATCAACTCCACCTCCATTACCACCTCCTAGAGATCTCGACTTAACCAACTTTGATGAGTATGGAATCATATAAAATTTTCATATAACATTTATTTTAATAAAATGTTTTGTTTATTATTAGGCATAAGGATACACCAAATACCAAAGAAGAGCGTAATAAAAATAAAGTTGAAGGAGAGGCAGAAAAAACCAAATTTTTGGCTGACAAAATAAAAACTATTAAAAGAAAACAAAAAGAGCAAGAAGAGTGGGAACAAATCAAAAGGTCGTGGTTTTATCCATTGAGAAATATAGGAATTGGAGTTCTAGCTCTTAGTGGTGGTGTTATGATTGTTGCTTATTTGATGAATTATAGAAAATAACATTTTGATTATATTATTTAAACTCGGCTTTACAGTTTACAAGTGCATTAATAGATATACACATTGTTTATTTAAATTTTAACATTAAAAAGAGTAGTATTGCCAACAATCAAATATTTATCAAAGTACTGTATACCATTACTATTTGAATAATTAAGACTGAAATATCCATTATAACAAACACACAATAATAAAGCCAAATCATACTTTCAATTCTACACTAATCTTAATCTGTTTTATATTTTAATTAATTAAAATAAAATATGGGATTTATTTTGCTATAAAACAAATTAAAATTATTTTTGTAGATTGTATATGTCGAGCTTTATAAACAAATGTAAATAATTCCAAATAGCATAAATAATACCATTTTACATTATTTTAGTTAATGACACATCATGTAAACTACAATATCATAATATATATTTATAATTTATATATTTTCTTAACGAATCAATACAAATTATCATTCTGGAAATGATATTTTACTGTATCTTTAATAAAATAACTTATATAATTAAGGTTAATACAATTTATATTTTAATAAGAATAAAAATGCTGAATTAACATAAAAAAATGTAATGAAAAACAACATAGTTCAAAATCACAAATATGTATGTTTTCATATTTTTTTAAACAAAAACTTGTACGATTATAATTTCTTTATACATTCATACCATACATTTTTTCATTGTGTATTGATGTGAATCCATTAATTTATATTTCTTGTATAATTTATGGAATATGAATATACTTGTAAAGTTATAAAATTTATCTGAGCATTTTTATTCAAATTTTATGTTAAAAATTAATTATACTTCATTATTATTGAATATTTTGAAATTTATCTAAAAATGTACAATAGTATAAATTTGAAAAATTTAAGATTGAATTAAAATTTAAATAAATCAAATTAATTATATTTTCAAAAAAAATTGCTTGGACATATTCATCATTATTTTTTTTTAAATTGTAAAAAAAATATTATTTTTATTATCTAGTATATAACTACTCAGTGTAACTAATTTTATTAAGAAATAAGCAATTTAAGGTTGAAACTTTAATTTATTTTGGTTATGTATTATAAATCTTATTGATTCATAGCTACTTAAATATTATAAACTATTATATATGAAATTAATGTAATACTGTCTGAACTCAAAATTATTACTAGTATCTTTTTTTTATTTTACACATTTATGTTAATTACCGTTGTATTATTATTCTACTTATGAAGTGTTAATCAGGTTTTAAAAATGTTCATACTGTAAAGACTGTTTTATCGCGTTTAAAATTCAACTGATTATAAAATGATTAAAATTTGACATTACAGATTTACCTATTCATTATAACTATATGTTAACAATATAATTTACATGTTATACATTTTTCTATTATTCAATTAATACTTAATAAATACATTTGAATACCATTTAATTTTATAAAATGTTTTGTTTTAAATTTCTAGGCACTGCAACAATGGAAACCAAAGTAAAAATAAATGAAATGGAGTCGTTTCATCACGTTTTTTGAAAATTATTTAAAATGTTTTTATCTATAAATAATAAGTTTATAAATGAAATTTTTTACATTATGAAAAAATCTATATCATGTTTTAATCATTGATTTAATTTTCTGAGATAAATGTTAAATTAATATAATAATAGTTTATTCTATGACTACTTAATTCATGTCACTAAATGTTTGACTTATTATAAACAATGCATTTAGTAAATTTTGCTACTATTATAAATATAATATTATCTTGATGATAAATTGAATTAAATTAAAATTGTATGTACATTAGATAAAGAAAATTGTAATACTTTATAACTATTAAAATTTAAGTTATTATATTGATATTTGTTACTTATATGTGTACAAAATTAATCATAAATAGTAGTCAAAAAAAGTAGAAAATATTAATTTTTAGATAAAAATGTATTAAATTTATATTGTAGTTAATGCAAAAAGAAAAATTAATTACTAAAAGAATTAAATATTTTTAATGTTCTCAAAAACTTAAATTTTGTTTTAATTATCTTTAAACAATTATAATATATTTATACTTTTAATTTACTGTTTCATGTACTAACTGCAGGTACCTTTTACTTTATTGAAAACTGTGCTTATTCATATATTTTACGAGAGAACTAATTTTTATAAAAATGTCTTTAGTTCAACCATTGGTTAGAGAATATAATATAATTCTATAATCAATAATTCAACTTTTAAAAATAAGAACATTTTATAAATTATAATATTTATTATAAATAAGGAGTTGTATATGCTGGTTAGGTATTATTATTTTATCTATAGATAAAATTGAATAATCGTTAATGACCGATAAAACTGTATGCTCAAAATATTTTTACAATAGGCAATAACCTATAATATTATATACTATATAATATTTTATAGTTAACATTTTTGCGTGCCCACAAAATCTTTTAGCATACCATGGATTTGCCATCCCTGATATACACTAATATTTCCATGGATTCATTTTGATTATTACAGTGAAGTGATTGGAACAATATCCGAACTGGTATTAATCTGTACTATGTCATTTTTATTGATTCAACTTTATTAGGTGATAAATATGTTAAAGAATTTTCAACATTAGTTTCTAATAAATGAAAGGATTGAATAAAAAAATGTTTATTGGTATTTATATGTAGGTATCAGCAGTGCCGTCCCGAGGGTAGGCCAAACGGGGCATTTGCCCAGGGCCTCGCGTTTATAAAATAATATATATATATATATATATATATATATATACAACATACAACATACCATGTATAAATAAATTATAGATATATGGATCGAGTACCGCTATTCTGGTATACCTATGGATTTTGATATAATATTGTAGGGCCTTGAATTCTAATGATGCCCAGGGCCTCGCAGAACCTAGGAACAGCACTGGGTATCAGTATTTATGTTTTTGTTAATTCTGAATCACTTAATGTTAAAAGTAGAAAAATTTTGGAAAGAATTTTGGATATAATAATCTTCATTAAACAATTAATCTAATACAATCTCTTGTAATCTTTTTTATTTAGTTCTACTACTTTTTATAATTTTTTTTGTTTAGCTGTAAAATCAAATCAGTGTTAATAATAATTTAATCAATTTTATTTTATATTTGATTAGTTATTATAAAAGAGCAGATTTTTAGGTTCTTAAAAGCTTAAAATATGATGCTAATATGTTCTAAAAAACCTTAAAATAATCTCTAAATATTCCATAAATTTGTAAATATGCGATAATATGATTTTTTTTTCTTAAATAGTTCAATAAAAACATTAAATTACTGTTATGGGCCATTCCTTTGGTAACAGGTAAATTATTTAAGTATAAAAATTTAAAACAGTTCATACATAGAAGTATAAATATAATAAAATTATGTATAAAAACAAAATAGTTAAATAAAAACAATAAACAACTTGTATGCACCATTCCTTGATAAAAAATAAATTATTTAAATGGAAAAATGAATAACAGTTCTATACATAGGAATATAAATAATCAATTTTTTTCCCTAGAAAAATCACAATCCGAGAAATTAATAAAATATGCTTTTTTGTGAACAATAATTGAATATATTCAAAAATATAAAAAATAGACTAAATATTTTCTAATGTCTAAAATATGCAAAATAAATTTTTTCCTACGAACTCCATGATGGATAAATCGTCCACATTTTTATCTTCGTAAATCTGCATAAAGCCAATAAAAATATGTAAAAACCTAAAGATCTGCTCTCTAGTTTTTATTGTACATTGATAATAAAAAGATTTAAATTAATTTTCAAAAGTTTCTATGACTAAAATCTCTAATATTGTTTTAATTTTTAAAATAAAAGTGTACCTATCATTGGGTTACCATAATATTTTTTGACCAAATCCTGACATCAGTTCCGTTTCACCGGAGGGGGGGGGGTAAATATTGAAAGTAAACAATATTGTTATTTCATTGATACAATTTAAATTAGATTTATGAATAAAATGTCTACATAAGAGTTATTAGGTTAAATATGTTAAAACAATACAAATATAAAATATAAAAAAAAAATATAATTACATATTGTACATTTATACAGAGTAAACACGAAAATCTGTCACCTGATATAACATCTTTGTAAAATCCGGACTTTTTCAAATCCGGACGCCAATCCGGACAGATGTTTGAAATCCGGACTGTCCGGACGAAATCCGGACGTATGGTTACCCTACCCTATCATAATATTATAATTTATAATAATTATAATGAACATAGTAAAATTCTTTATAGCATACCTATAGTTATGTAAGTTAAATATATTTATTATTACTTTAAACGTTGATAAAATATTAATTATTAATTTTATTTAAAAAAAATCACATACTCATATATGTGACAAAAAAATACTAATTGAAATTCAACAATAAACTCTAATAATAATAATAATAATAATAATAATAATAATATAATCTATTAATAATAATAATTATTTATTTAAATATTCAAGTACAATGAAAACGAAAATTTCCATGACGAAAAGTGTACGAGAGCTATGTAGTGATTAATAATCAACCGTATACTAACGGTTAGTGACTAACCTCAGTATGATTAATTATTCGTTGACAACAACCGTCATAAATGTAAATATTTATTACTAATGTAAAACGTGTATTGGTTCAATAGTCAACTTCTGTTTTCGATGTAAAATATTCGAATATTTTCAGTCAAATAGATTTTGAGTACTAAGGGTTTCCAACAATAAGTTTTTCAAGTGCGTATATATTACACTATACTCATTTATATGTGCAATTAAAAAAGTTTAGCCACAAGTTGATGATCCCTCTGTATTTTTTACTTTTAAACGAAATTCTAGTCTGGGGCATAATAGGTCATAATATTGTAGGTGTATTATTGATATTATTAAGTGAGTAACATTAAGAAAAAAAAACCGTTTGTTTGTATTTTAGACAGCAAAGGTTTTTGTTTTTTAGTTATAGAAATCTCTTTAAGAGAATTTTATGCAAGAAGTACAAATATGTTATTTTTCCAACCAATAGATACATAATATTATAAACGAACTATATTCGGGAACTATAATTATTCTTTAAAACCGGATTTTTTCTTCTAAACGTGCATAACTTAAAAATAAATAATAATAAAAATACACAATTCATAATTCAAAATATATAAGTTCATATTAGTACCTATGAAATTAATTTTTAAATTAATATAAAAATTCGGTATTAATGTTGAGTTTATCATCAATGAATTATTACTTTACAGACAGTACAGAGGTACTGATATTTATAATATATTGTATAGTATTTAAAAATTTGTTGAATAATTAATATATGTTACAGTAAAAGCGTCAACTTACTACAATGGATTTGACTAAAACTGTGATTACAAAAAAATTTATAGAAATAATGAATAGACTATATGGTGATGTGAGTTTTGAGTTGACTCCAAGTATTATAGGAGGTCTAATTATCGGTGCATGTACTATGATCGGTGGATTTATGGGTGGCCGTTTTGGATTGTTAATCGGTAAGTACTGAATAGTTATAGACTAAGTAATTTTGATTAAAAACCTGTTTTTTTTAGACATTCTAAATTAAAAATAAAATCAATATACAATTTAAGACGATGCCATTTTACTATATACATCTGTTTAACTAGTGCTTATCTAACCTTGTCCTAACTAACTTACTAACCTATAGGGTCGGTTTGGCCCACCTAGATACCCGGATGGATTTGAGAATTATTCTTAAAATAGGGGCCCAATGCAATTACGCTAATATAAAAAATGATTGTGATAACTTTCCTGAATTAAATTAAAATTATGTTATTCTTATCTTAAAATATTGTTGTTGACTCGATATAATAGAACTAGATACAATACCTATAATTTATACATTTTCATTCTCTTGATTAAAGTTGAACGAATATAAATATAAACACTTTGAAAAAATATAAAAATAAAAATAAATTAAAGTTTGTAGTAGAATTCGAGCGTAGCGATAAAACATTTTTTTAGTAGATACCTAGTTATTGAATCTCATTCCAATATTATGTTGTTTAGGGGCCCATTATACATTTTTTGCAGGAGGCCCAATCATTATTCAGACCGAAACTGCCTACATTTTATCTTATTGACCCGGTATATTCAGGTATGCTATATTAATCATCCTTTATGGTTGGCTTTGTTTTAGGAGGAAGTATTGGAAGTACCGTTAATTCATATTTTGGACCTAAAATTATAACTCTGCAGCAAATGTTACTACAGTTAGACATAAACCAACTCAAATATTTATATATTTTGTTAAGTGAAGAAATTAAAAAAATTGTAGTTAATGTGCTAGGTTGTGTATTCAAAGGAAATATACAATTAACAAATCTTTTAGAATTGTTTGGTGGTAATTCTACAGTTCGATCAAATGTTATTGAAATCATATCGAATTTTTTTAAAGGTATTTACAGTAAGCGTCTTCATTTAATTGCAACATAGGTGGCCATTATGTATACATTTATAATCCCTAATTTTAGTATTTTATTTAACTATATTTTACTAATGAATATACATGCTTACAAATATTTGTACAACTAGATTTAAATAATAATTTTATTTTTTTTTTACGAAAGATAAAGTGGAATTTTACTAGAGAATAATTATAATTATAACTAGGGCTCGGGACTTATAGCACTTAAAATTATTAAAATAAGCGCTTAAAAGCATCATTATAAACACTAAAATAAGCATTTAAAAAAATTAAAATTAAGCAAAAATATTTATTAAAAAAAAAAATCTATAAAATTCTAACTAAAAAATCAAACAAAACAAAATGTAAGCTGTTCTATCTGTTCTTAATCATTCTGATGTTTGACATTCAGTTATATTTTCAGCATTGGAATATCTTTGTTAACCCTACAACGATGCCTTGGGCGTACCACCAAAGTAACATGACGCGTGATCTGAAGAGTGATATGACTAATAACGTTTTAGTAACGTGTCATTCGTAAAATGTTATTTATAATTATAACGGAAAATCACTTAGGCCCGGTTTCTCAATCACATTTACTCGTCAGATAACTTGAGTTATCTGGCAGATAAGAAAAAATTGATAAATTTCAGTTTTTCAATGTCGGGATAAACCTTATTCGATGGATATTGTTACATATTGTTACGAATAAGTTATCCGTTACTTTTTGTATCAAATATATCTTATTCCACGGATAATTTACAGCTGATAACATAAAAATGGTTAGTTATCATAATTTATTATATTACTTTAAATATAAATGTGTAAATATACACAATTTCAATTTCAATATACATGGATTTATTTGAAGAGGATGATGATTATGAAATAATTCAATATTTGAACTATTGACGTCGTCTGTACTCCGTACACGATAGAATAAATCATATGCTGGCGTGAGATGACCATGACTTTAGGATGAGATTCAGACTTGGAAAAAATTTTGTTCGTAATTTATTAGTTAACACTTTATTTTCTAATACGTGACAGTTTTGTAGAGCATTTTTCAATAAAAGTTCTTTTGCATAAAATGTGAAATTTGTTGATCTTTATCTTTTATCTAATAACTAATATCGAGCAAGAGTCAAAACTTAACACGCAACACAATTAATAATTATTGATTAGTAATTACTAGTGATGGGCATAATCGAGTTACTCGATTGTTGATAATAATCGAGATATCTCGATTATTAAAATAATAATCAATTATGTTACCGAATGATTCTTCACCCGAACTATAATAACTCGAGTACTCGTCACTCGGGTACCTTATTCAAAACTTTATTTTTAGAATCCTAAGTCTAAAACTCCGAACAACGTAAACAATTGAATGAATAATATTAGTCATTACTTGATATAAATATTGTTTCATTTTGTACTCGCTAGCAAGCGTTAACAGTCGACACTGTTCACTAACTGTTCATTAGTCTTTAGTTCTTTACCTATTAATTAAAAATTATTTATTTTTAAAATTTAAAAATGAGGCCGGGTAGTAAACAACGTTCAATAGTTTGGGAACATTTAAAAAAAAAATGCTATTCGGAACGAGTATTTTCAAAAACGGGGTAAATAACTAACGACCGTCGAAGTTGTTTATTGCAGCAAGAACGTCTTCATCCTCAGACGACGATATTTTGGTAAATGAAAAAAAAAACAGAAATTACTTGTCATTAGAAAATCATGTCATTTTGGTGCGAGTCACACAAATCACTTATTACTTATTGGTCATATCATTCGTCAGATCATGCGTCATGTTACTTAGGTGGGCGCTGCACCTTAGATGGCCAAAAACTACGTGACAACATAAATAAAAATTATTTTTAATTTTAATTCTATCAAAAACTAATTTGCAGGAGAAAACTATTATAACGTAAAAAAATTGGTAAAATAAGTAAAAGTAATCAGAAAAACTGGAAATAAGCATTTTTTTTTTAAAAATTGCTGAAAAAAGCAAAAAAGGGGACTTTCAAATTTCATAATTGTACGTGTTACAACTTAACATACACTTTTATAGCACTCTGCTACATTTTAAGTCAATCTATAAAAATAAGTAAATGCTTTAACTCCTGAGCCCTGGTTATAACTATACAATAATCATCTGAAGTTTTTAAATCATGTTTAATAACCTAACATAAATTATGATTATCAAACCCATTTGAATTTTACCTGTCAATCGTATTATTTTATAATCAACTATACTTTAGAGTATAAATTAACATAAATGTTATAATTCACAAAATGTTTTATTGAACTAAGCTATCCTGCACGAATTTGATTTCATATTTATATATGTATATATTTATACAAATACATCTATACAATTATTTTAAGCTTAAAAGAAAATCAACGATTTCCTTCTTTTTTATATATAGCCAACACGGTAAATTTAGGAAAAATTGAAGTTGTTTATGACATTAAAGAAAAAAGGAAAACCGGTAGTACTATACCTATCTAATACATAAATTATACAAACTTATTGTACATACTTGGTATGTAATTGATTTGGTTTTTTTATTAATTATTTTATTATTTTTATTGTTTTTTATTGATTTTTAAAACTATATACACTTATTAGAAAACATAATGAATAGAAGTCAATTTATGAATAAGTAAAATATTTACTGATTAAGTAATTATTCACTGTTACTGATCACTTTGTTACAGTTAAGATATCCATAGCATATTCTTTAAACTTTTCGATGTATTTGTATATTTTTGGATAACCATTTACATCCTTAAATATATTTTTATTTGGAATTAATCGTTCTTCAATACTATTTAATATCAAGACCATTCATCCATAATAATTATAGGTAATTTATATTTATCGAACTACAGCACAATTATAAAACTGAACTAAGATAATAAGAAGTACGATTTACTTATTCTAACTATTGATTTAAAAATTAAAAGTTAAAATACTTTGCGACCACGTGCTCCTCGTAATTATATCCAAACGTTTCGTTGCATTAAAATATACATATAAAAAAAAAAGACGGGGGCCCAGGCAGCGATTGTTGCCTAGCTGCCTTGGCCAGGCCGACACTGTCTTTATACCATATCTATATATATATATATATAAGTGTACATTTTGAATACATTTTATAACTCAAGATCCATCAAACCGATTTCGATAAAAATTTCAGAACATAATAAGATTGATATGTAGATGGTTTTTGTGAAATTTGTACGCTGTGCGGTGATTCCAGAGTTATAGCCTCTTAATGTGCACACCTGGCGACGGCCAAAAACAACACTTTTACTACGGAATTTGAATGCATCAAAACTGTGTAACGGCACAATATTAGCTGTAAAAAGATTGAAGCCGAATTTAATCGAAGCCACAATATAGATTGGCAAAGCGAAGAGGGAAGTACTGATCCCACGTATTCCTCTGATACCAACAAACATGCCATTTGAATTTAAGCGATTGCAATTCCCCGTGCGCTTATCATTTGCCATGTCCATCAATAAGGCACAAGGACAAACGCTCCATGTGGTTTGAATTTGGAGAAGCCGTGTTTTTTGCACGGGCATCAATACGTGGTCTGTTCAAGAGTTGGCACTCCAAATTGTTTATTTGTGTATTCCCCAAATGGACAAACAAAGAATTGTTTACCCAAATGTGTTCGAATGATAATAAAGAATTTGGAAAAAAATAAATGATATTCTAGGAAAAATTATATGATTTTTATTGTATTTTTTTTTGGTACTGCGAAGCACACAGGGGTCGGCTATTAATTATTATAAAACTAACTCTAACTGTATGTATTGGTTTAGAGAAAGCAATAACTACACACGAGCGAAGCCGGGTTATTCAGCTAGTCAAGTATAAAGACATACATTATCTATTTCGCACACATGATAAAGTTAAACACCTCTCGGTTCTCAGTGTTTAAAATTGATTATACAGCATGCAAATACATTTTTTAAACATTTTAAGGTAGTCACTTAAATTACCAATAGCCCCGTGAAACATTTTTAAAATATCTTTTTTTAAATTACAGTTGTTTAAAAAATCAAATAAACGGTTTTTTTTGTTTTACATTTCTTTAATTTTAACAACATATTTAATATTTAAATAATGAAACCTACATTTATATACACTTCAAATTGATATTAAGTGTTTTTTTCTAAAACCACTATGAAGTAGGTAAGCAATAAGTAAGGTAAATAGGTAATAATTAATACGTAATTTATAATTATAGTTTTCAGTCTGTATGATTATTGATCTATGATAAAATATGAGGCATTTTACTCGATCATAATTTATATTATTATTATTACATACTGTTTTAAGCGGCACATTTAACAATAAATACAATCGTATTCTAAAATAGACTTAATAGTGCGGGCTGTCGGTTATAATCCCCTACCCCCCTGGATACGCCACTGTTGAATAGTACCTACCTAATAGATGAAATTTGAGTGATAAATTGCGAGCGACTTTATAATGGTTAAATTTACAATATAATTATTTAATCATGTTACCTACCTGTCATTATTTTGCTCTAACTTTTTAGGTGGTGATACTAACAAATTTTTATACTTTGCCCCACCAAATAAAATACAAGTCGACGTCACTGTATAAGTCTATATATCTATAAGATATTTTGTCTTCAAATAAATTCAATTTGCTGACAGCATTATTATTAGAAATGGGAAATAAGGGAAACTCGATAGGAGGAAAAAATTGTATGAATATATAATAAACCAAATATTAGAGATACAAAAATGTATGCACCACATTAAACAGTTTATCAAACTTTTCTTTAACAAGATCATTCAATAACTTTCACCATAATCATAGGCTGTGTTCAAGAATAAAAGGATTTTTAACTGCTTATTTTTTTAATATCCAGGTAGACATCTAAGCGCTAACTAACTATAGTTTGGCTATCTCTTCTACAATAATGTAATACATAATTTATGATATTCTGACTAAATATTGCCGGTAATCACAAATGTATTTGATGCAGTCAAAGGAGACAGACATAAAACCAAAAATATTCATTAAGAATTCAATAATGAATTTGTACATTTTGCTAAGTATAATTGTTTATATTAATATATAATTTCAATTAATTGCAAATTATGAATTGCTATTAATTTTGAACTAAAATAAAAATTGTAATAAGTGCAGCAGGTAATATAAACACTTCCGGGAAAGAATAGATATATGAGTATCTTACCATTGATATTTAGTAAATTATTTATCATTTTATACGATCCACCAAAAATGTACCTTCATACTAGTTATAAGCTTAAAATAATTAAACAACTATTTAGGAAGTAAATCAATAAGCAACTATTATCTAAATAAAGTGATTAATTATAATTAATTATTTAATAGATTATCACTTATTTTCAGAGATGACCAAACCATAGATGATGGATAATAGCATACATAATTGCAACTCCAGACTACTAAGTGGATTTGTGCTTATGGTATGAATAATGACCGATACAAAATATTTTAAATGGAATAATTGAATTAAGATATTCATAATATAATTATTTATTATATTATATATTTAATTAATTATTCAAAAGATAATTAATCAGTTTGATTTTTATAGTATCATTTTATATACATAAATAAAATATAGGTCAATAAAGAAGTATATTTAGTAAAGATTAAGGATATATAAAATACTCAAATTAAAGTAAAATAAATGTTTGATTTTAAATTGGTAAACACAATTAAAAAAAAAAAAAAATCATTTATTTATAGTAAATTGAACATTGATTTAAGATTTTTTTTTTCATCTTGGAGTAAACATTTAAAATATTTGTAAGTATAAATTTCATAGGAAAAAAATATAATTAATTTGCTTTAAGTTGTACTATTATAATTATAATAATTTGAAGCATAAAATTAAATCAAATTTCCAGACATTTGATACCATAAGATATTAAAAAGTTTCTAGTACAGAAATAGAAGCAATAAACATAGTTTTATTTTATAGTAAAAATGAAAACTATGTCTTTGGATAAAAGTATACAATGAATAAATAATAAATAGAATAGTAAATAATAAATAATAAAAATAAATAAGATGAAATAATATAAAATTGGTTAGAGTAAAATTAAGTCTAGCATAAGGTTAAACATTGATAAGTATAAAGCAATTAAGTGATTAAAATGGTTAAATAATATTTTTTTTTGTTTACTTGTGGAGTGTGGGAAGACGAATAAGGTCATAAGCATCGGAAATAAAATGATAATAACTATTTGGACGATTTCCAGCTTGTTTCTTACATGTTCCTGTTATAAGTTTAAATATATAAATATACAAAAACACATACATATACAATAAGATAACATTTAGAAAATGTAATTATTAGGTTCCAGCATTCTCATTAAAACTTCAAAAATTGTTTGAAAAAAAAATTTGCTGTAATAATTTAGATAATTAAATATTTTTAACTATAAGTTTTAGTATGACATTACTAGTAAAATACATATATAAATAAATAATTGTTTTATTCAAAGATTAATATTTAAATAATCAAAAATAGATATAATTAATAAGTAATGACTGATTTTTGTTTTGTTTTACTTAATTTTAAATAACACTTACATGACATCATTTATTTTAACTCCAGTCAGAGTAGTAACCATTTCAGGTACTTTATTAACAATTTGAATAATTTCATTTGTTAATCTTACAGCTCCTACATCGCCATCTCCGCTGGCTACCATGGTTACCTTTTTGGTGTTTTCAAAAGGTGCTGCAACTTCAGCAGCAAGCTAAAATTGTGATTAAAAAATACCCATTAATAATAAAAATAAATAAAAAATGTTATAACCATAATACTTAATACAATATAAATTACTTTTGGCAATGCTTCAAGGACCATATCTAAAATGGCAGCTTTTTTATATTCTCTCCATGCTTCCGCTTTCTTCATAGCTTGTTCTGCATCAGCTTTGGCTTTTGCTTGAATCGCAAAAGATTCTGCTTCTCCTTTGAGTCTTATTGTTTCAGCTTCAGCTTCAGCTTCTAATATAATTCGAGTTCTATTTGCTTGGGCCAATTTCTCTAATCTATTTTAAAAATTTAATACAAAATGATTGATTTGAATTAAATGTAATTTAATTTAATAATAGACCAATGAAAATGATGTAACAATTTTATATTAGTATATTATGAATCATAAATGATATCTTAGGGTAATATGTATTATGCTTATATACAATGTATTTAAATATTTCATAATATATAATTTTTAAACTGATTGCATTAATTAAAGTATAAAAATAATTTATATCAAAATGAATGAGTTAAATTCAAACTATTTAAACAATATGATCATATTTTAGAGCAAGTATTAAATCCCTAATATTGGCTTTAGTTCACTAGCATTTCTCATGAAAATCAAGATGGCTAGCACCTTTAGCAAATGTGTTTAAGTATTTTGCAATTTTTATTTTATTGTAATTTTTTTTTAAAATAAAAATGATATCTTATTTGTTTCTATTTATTATTCAGTAAAGATTATCATGATAATACATGAGATTTACTGAAACCCATAAACAAATTATTAAAAAAAACTAACTACCAATATTTTTTTTATTCTTTATTACCAATGTTTTAGATAGAATATATTACCGAAACTTTTCAGCTTCTGCCGGCCTCCTTACAGTTGCTTCTAACTCACGTTCTCTTCTTTGAATTTCTTGTTCTTGAACAGCAATTTGTTGAGTTCTTTCTACCACATCAATTTGCATTTGTTCTTCTTTAATGCGTTGCTTTGTTTTTGCAGCTTGAAGTTCATATGCTAATTCTGCTTCAGCTTTCTATAAAAAATTATCATAGTAATAAAAATAAATAAAAATAATTAAATTATATTAATAAAGGACAAATTTTTAAGTAATTAGTTCATTACTAAGGAACAGATTTATATGCAAACAAACATATATATTTAATTGTTAAGCTATTAGAAATCAGATAAGAAATATGCATGATTTAGATTTGTTTTTTTATATAATACAAGTTTTACTTTACATATTAAGTATGTTTTAATGCAATTTTTTACTTCTATTATTTTTTGTGCATGTATTCCATTCCCTAGTTTTAACATATTTTATTGTAATTTAGGCTTTTCAATAAAAGTTTATGATTTATAATTTATAGAATGATAATTTTGAAATCTAAAAAATTGTTTAATATTAAAGAAGATTATTTTAACTAATTATAAAATATATTTTAAAGGTGATGTTCTATTCGTTGATTTTTTTTTTATTCCTAAAAAATAAATATATAAATATAGGGAGATATCGTTACTAAATACAGTATATAAAGTTTTTTCAAAAATTTTATTAGGACGACTAGAACCACTGGCTGAAGAGTGTATAGGAAACTATCAGTGTGGCTTTCGGAAAGGCAAATTCACAATAGACCAACTCGAAACTATAGAGCAGCTCATACAGGAAGCAAAAAAGATTGGTCTAGAAATTAATGAGGAAAAAACAAAAGTAATGGAAACGTTGCCTGAAAAAGATGAGGAAGATCTTACAGTAGATAATTACGTATTTGAGAAAGCACATAGCTTCAAATACCTAGGTGTAACAATCACTGGTAACAATGACTGGGACACTGAAATAACTAGTCGCTTGCTCAAAGCGGAAAGAACTTTCTTCTCACTAATAAAATTTTTTAAATCAAAACTCTTCTCTAGAGGAACAAAGGTACGACTATATATGAGCATTGTAAGACCAACGCTAACCTATGGATGTGAGGTATGGCCGACGACAGTACAAATCGAACAAAAACTCAGAAGTTTTGAGAATAGAGTTTTAAGAACAATATGTGGACCGTTTTTTGATTCTGAAATAAACAGGTGGCGTAGAAGAAAAAACAAAGAAATAAGAGAAATCACCAAAGTACCTCCCATAACAAGTCATATAAAGGGACAGAGAATACAATGGTTTGGACACGCAATGAGACGAGACGAAACAAATGAAGTCAGAGCAGCAATTGAATACAAGCCAGCAGGCAGAAGACCTAGAGGCAGACCGAAGAAACGATGGATGGATGGAGTGCAACAAGATCTAGAGAGGTTAGAAGTAACAAATTGGGAGGAGAGGATACAGGATCGTGATTATTGGAGAACAGTGACAGTGGCAGCCAAAACTCTTACAGAGTTGTGAAGGCACAGAAAGAAGAAGAAAAAATAATCAAAATAGTCATATTTATTATAAATTCAAGAAAACTTAAAGAAGTATATTTTAATTTATGACATCAGGCAACACGGAAAACTAAATGACACAGATATTGTTAGTTATTTCAATAATTTTTTTTTTTATATAGTATGAATTAAAATTGAATGGTTTTATATAATTGTATTGTATGGAGAAAATATGAATAAAAATTAAGAATATTTCATAATTTAAATCAATACTTATGAAGTTGAATTTATAAAAGTACAGCTAATTATTGGTATAATTTAAGTGAGATAAGTTATCAATATTTTTTTAAAAAAATAGTACAAAGTTAATCAGTATTCAGTTACACAAAAGTTAAGTCATTCTAAACACTTTATTGATGCACTACTATGCGAGAAACTAGTATAGGTAGAACTAGTTATATATTTTATAGACAAGATTTGTTCATAAAGACCCATATTTAATTTGTTTTCTAAATAGTTTATTGATAGTAATATTATTAAATTATATTATCAATTGTTTTTTATAATCGTTATAATACATTAATTAATGTTTATTGATAACTATTTAGTTTTATCAATATAATTAGTTGATGAAATTAGTTTAAAATATTTTATATTATAAGTTAATGTAATTTAATTTTAATAAAAACTTAAATCAATACAAATATGACAGTTGGTTTAAATTTAAATTAATTATAAAGCTTATAAATTAACACCTACCTATGGTTTAAACAATGTCAAAAATCAAAACGTATTATTTGTATTAATTTTAAGTATAAATAATATTAATATTTAATATTAATTAATAAAATTCAAATGAAGATTGTCTCATTTCTAGAATTGTAAGCAATTATAAGCAAATTATAAGTAGAATTATAAGCAAAATTATAAATCAATAACAGCAATATCATTGAAAAATGGAGATGTAATTTTATTTATGCATATAATATAAATGTTATGAAACTTTTAAACTAAATATCATACTTTTGTTTGAATTTCAACATCATAAGCTGCTTTTTTGAGTTCAAAATCTCTTTGAGCTTTAGCAATTTCAGTATCATTGATCAACCTATAAAACAAATACGATGGAATATAAAATATTTTATTTAATAGTAATATACTAATAAACATTTAATTACTTTGCAGCCATTCTTTCTTCTTCTGCCATTGCTTGTTTTATTGTGGTTTCTTTTTTTGCTTCTGCTTCTCCTATGCGAGCATCGCGTTTCACTTCTGCTGTTCTAGCTAATCCAAGAGATTGAAGATAACCCTGAAGTTTATTCATAATTTACTAAATCTACTTAAATTAATACAATATAATTTATTATTTCATAATCAGTGTAGTAAACCATATGGGAAACGGATATTTATAATATTGTTATAATTTATGGTTATTCATTTATTCATGTAGTAAAATGCACAGGAAACTAATAATGATACTTATTAATTTTGATATACTACGCACATGTAAAATACCTACTTTGATTACGCAGAATCAAGTTTTCCTGTTCACAAATAATTGTAAACTCTTTCACATATGTTAGAATACCTACTGACCATATTGTTATCTTAAATGGCTACCTATAAATACAGTGTCCATGTACCCATGTTTTCAAAATAGGATGGAATAGGATATAATATACTTATTCCGCTTATTGCCTCAACGCTCATCTGACAATAAATTCTGCAAGCCTCACATTACCACAAGCTCTGAGAATCAATTTTTACTATTCTCAGGAAAAGTTTAAATACTCTATCTTCAAATATCTTATTATTATTTTATAAATTAAATATATATTTTTATTCATTATTATATTTATTGCTTTAACAGTAAACCAGTGTTTTTATTTAACATATCTCTAACTTACAATGTATATCAAACACAATTACATCACCAACATTAAGAATTAGTGTTTATTTTTCTATGGTGTCTATGTGTCGACCTCTTGCCGACTAGCATACTACAATAATCATAATTTTACATTTTAAAAAAGTATCCTTACTTCTTCATCTCGTATATCTTTTATTGTATATGATACCACAGTAATACCCATGTTAACTAAATCTGAAGAAGCTACTTCAAATACTTGTTTGCTGAACTTTTTGCGGTCTTTATAAATTTCCTGGAGAAAAAAATGGATTATTATAAATTATTATTATTATTATTATAATTATTATAAAATGGATTATACATTAAAATACTTAAAATTTGTTGTATGAATTTACATCTTTAATTTGATTACATAATATATAGTAAAATATCTACTTGAAGACACGGGTTAATTTATTTATTAAGATTAAGAAAAATGTACAAGTCATACTTCAAAATTAAATTATTTAGATTTTTATTCTTGTGTAACTTAGTCAATTTTTATAGATTTATATTTATTTGTTTTCTGTAAGCATAAAAATTGTAAAATCTACATATTAAAATAAAATTTCATCTTTTTATTGAGAAATTTTAAAACTTTCAAAAATGTTTTTATTTTATATTTATATCAATGTACTAGTATACAATTTAACATATTGCAATTTGATAGTAACATTTTTTTTTCTTAGAGTTGTAATTATAATACTTTAAACACATTCAACACAAACCTCTACAGTCATGGAACCCATAATAGCTCGTTGATGACCTTCAAGTGTATGCAATGCTATTTCATGTATCTCTTGCTTGGGTTTACCCAAAAATTGCTCACATGCAGTTAAAAGCATTTCTTCATTTTGTCCTTGTATTTTCACCTAAACATTATGTATAACTATCATTTTTTAAATGTCTATGAAATAAATTGATCAAAAACAAATAAGTTTAAATTCTACAATATAATATCTAAAATGTAAAATATTTTTTAGACTAATTTTTTTTTCTGTAGAATAATATGATACTATAAACTTAGAACTTTGAGATTTATATAATTTATTAAAAACTTTTTTACCTGAGCTATACCCGTAACAGATAATGGAACACCTTGAATTGTATATACTTTAGGACTATCAACCTGTATTGTCATAGTATTCAAACAAATTCTAAAAAATAATTAATACTCATTAATATTTAAATTATTCTTAGGTTCTAAAATTGAATATAGTGTATGTCACTTTTAGTAGTATTGATAAGTGATTACAAAAAAATATTTTTAGTAATCACCAATATTTCATGTATTTGAATTAATATAAAAATCTACAATTAATTATGTTTATAATTATTATTATACATCTAATAGTTAACTATAGCACAAGAGATATAATAATATTGATTTTGACATTTTTGATCTGATACTATTTTACAAATTTATTTTATAATTAAAAATAATAATTAAATTATGAGGGCCATAATCTGTAAATTAAATATATTTTTTTAATAATACTACAGTTCCAGACTAAGACAAAGATAAACTAGGGATTAATAATAGCAATAGTATCCGCATTAAATTTCAGATTTCTAGAATTGAAATTTTTACCAGATGAAAAAAGAAACCTTTTTGGAACAACTTGATAGTATTTTAGTTTGTGGGGTATCAATTTTATATTGATATCTATATCTATTTTACCAATATTGCCATAAAATAATGGATAAATAAAATTATAACAATAATTAAAAATATAACCTTGGCTGACACTGTTATTTTATTGGTTTGCTAAACCCTAGTTAATAATTATGGTTGTCATAAAATATGTAAGTATTTATAGTAAAAGAATTGCTATTTATATAAATATATTACGGTATTATTATTAATATGAATTAAATGAATACATACTAGATATTTTAACCATATTTTGGCTTTTGCCCACCTAATAAAATACAAAACATGATATATTTAAGGATTTAAATACTTTTAAAAACAAGTTATTTGAAATTAAAAATTCAATAAATATTAATTTAAAATGTCAGCATTATTGAAATAGTCACTTTAATTATATAGAAATATTTGGAATTAAATATAAGATTTTAATGTATTGTTTTTATTTCAATTTTATTTTACTTATACCTGTATAATAATAATGATTATTACCCATAATTAGTAGTTAATTTAATTCAATTTATGAATAATTTGATGTAAAATTTTTGTTTTTATGAAGCACCAATCATGTTAAGGTATGATAAAAATATTTTACCAAGTGAAATTAAAATTGTTTTAATTAACTTACTTCTGACAATATTGTAGAACAGGCCAAACAAATGCTCTTCCACCAGGTACCAAATTTGGTTTATTGTAACAAAATCCTACAAAAATCATATTTAAATTTAATTATTTTCAAAATAATAATAACAGTTTCACTTCCTTTTTCAACAGTATATGGTAAATAAATGAAATATGTATATATATATATAAATATATGAATTAAATGACAATTTAAGATAACATGAAAATATACATAATATTATTTAGACACATATTTAGTTTACTAAGTCACCCACAATTTCCTAAAAGAACTGTTATTATTTTGAATTTATCTCTAAAAGATAAATTTACTTCAAGTTATTTTGTTATATTTCATAGAAAAATATAACTGTGTTGTATGGTGAATTGTGATGCATTTATAGTAAATCACCGATAACACGAGAAAAATAAAAAAATCTATCACGAACATTGAACACAGTAAAATTTGAAAAACTTCCAAATTACCTGATATGACCAGAGCCTCATTGGGGCCACAAGTAACAAAACCCCAAGTCATTTCGACGGTTAACAAAATCGAATTTACTCAATTGTTCAATACGATAATATATATTTGAACAAAACAGTCATATTACGATGTTATGTAATAATTTTAAGTCACAAGACACTATAATTCACTAGCAATCGGGTGGGGAAACAAACAATTTAAATGGCAGTAAATAGTAATTAATAGGAATCGAATAATGATTGTCAGTCGAATTCAATCGCGTGAATCCTAAACGGTAAATAATGGGCGAGAAACAAAATAATTAAAGGAAAATAAAGATATGGTTATGACTAGAATTGCGATGAGTGGAAGGCGAAGTGAATTACAATGATAGCGTTTTATGATTGCAGATAGGTAAACACAAACAGCGGCCGCATTAGTCACCGTTTGGAGAAAAATTGTCATGGTGTGAACCAATCGCGGTTACATAACACGAATCGGGAGTACCACAAGGTACCATTAATGTAAACGAAACGGTTCAGGTCCGTATGACGTCACGCACAACACGTTGAACATGTACAGCGGATTGTGGCGCCGCGGAATACGGATTGCACGCTCCCCGATACAACGTACCTTACCGTTAAATATTTCATTTCGGACAAGTGTTACCGGGTGAGTGGTTACACTCCGTCAAACCAACGCTTTGCGCTGCCATGTACCGGCATTATTCGAAAATTAGGTATCCAACCAATGGCGTACCTGTGCAATATTTTTGGGGTGGGGGGCATAAATTAATTGCACAATTTTTTATGGTTATAATATAATCTGAAACTTTATTATAAATTATTATTAAATACTTAAAACTCATATTGATCATTTGATATCAATGATAACCACATTATAAAATAGTGACTATATGTAACCATCACTCCTAATCCCAATTCGGTTGAATATTGATATTTTATATTATATTGATAAGTGATATCAAAAACTTTTGATATCAAACACGATTATAATCAGTGAAAATTAAGAATATTTTTAATTTACATTATTTAAGCTGAATAATTAATTTGCATTATGGCATCAAAAAACTTCTCGTGGGGGGAGCAAATGCCCCTGTTGCCCCCCTACACTTACGCCTCTGTATCCAACAGGCAACACGAAATCGAACAATATTGAAAAAATATCGGATTGTAATTCTCCACCGATTGCGCGTCACTCTTTAATAGTGGTTTTTCAAACTATTTTTATGCCTCTCTTTATGTGCCGCGATCTTTTGTAGATTAAGTAATGATGAGAAAAAAAAAGTTTTGAAAAGATTTTCATTGCAGAGGCTGTGCTGTAAAAAAATTTGTGAAGAGTACAGTGAACCGTAATTAAAAAAAAGTGAATACTTTTGAAAGTATTAATAAATCGCAATTTTATAGAAACAAAAAATTCAAAAGTCGTTTTTCTAAAACGGATGAGGAATGATAGTATGAATTTGACAGTATGTCTATTATACAATCCCTTACTATAATTATAATAAAACGGAAATATTGGAAAAAATTCAGTTTAACAATTACGGACGTATTTCTATCGGAAAAACATGCTGGACTACTTCGATTACGTATTTTATAATATTAAAGCACGACAGGTATTGTATTTAAAAAAATTGGCTATTTGGACTAAGCTCAAATACGTAATTGAATTATTAATTAACTGATCATTGATTTCTCAAAAATTCATGAATTGACATATGTTAAAAAAAAAAAAATAAGACCTATACGATATTTCAACACTTTAAAAAATGTTTACACCTATTTTGCATAAATATCAAAAATAAAATTATTGTCACATTTATCGATCAGGTCGTTACAAATAAATGTTATAATGTTGGCAGACTTTACTAAGTTAAAACCGTATTCCCCTTCGAAAGTATCTGCTTTCCACATGTCAGGGGCGTACTGGGACCCAATCGGCCCACTGTTCTGCAAACAAAAATCGGCCCCTACCATACATTAACATCTAGAGTTCAAACAAATTTTACCTCTTCATATTTTTTTGTTTTTAAATTTATTAATTAAATAAAATATGTTTATATATTTGGATATTGTGATTTAAGTTTAATTTTCTTTAAAATGTAATATGTCTACATTATAACCTAGTTTCCCTGATTTTTCTTCCAAATGTCCATTTGTTTATAAGAATCAGAAAAGAAGGTACTCAAGCGATTCAAGAACCCAAATAAATTCTTGGCTGCTAAATTGTCACAGGTATCACAAATACACAAATTTAGAATATGTGCATAGCACCAAACATACTATTTTCGTTTTTTGCTTAATAAAATACTGCTAACCGTTAAAATCTCCTCTCGTGTTAGAAGCACCATCAAAAGATTCACCAATAACATTTTTAAAATGTATATTATGTTTGTCAAAGCAAGTTTTTAATAGTTCATATAGACTTTTACCTGCTGAATCTTCTATTTTAATGACGGCAAATAGGCGCTCTTTAATATCTGTATTATTTAAGTAGCGAAAGTAGATAGATGCTTGATCTGTAGCTCCAATATCTTGAGTACTGTCAAACTAAAATAGTAAAAACAATGAATTTTTAATTAAAAATGAGAAATATGTTGATTTAAAATTGTCAAACTTGTATACTAAAATACTGATCAACCATTTCTTCACGAATATGTTTCCTCTTAGTTTCTAGTATACCTTCAATTACTTTATTAATAGTAGTTTTGGATACAAGTGTAACTAATGATTCTCTTTTGAATTTTTTTGCCATTGATCCACATTTAAGTTTCGTTTTTGCTTGGCAATATAGCATTGTTTAAATATTGTCTTAAAATTGCATCTCTTTCAGAAGTAAATTTCAAAAGTTCCAAAAAATTACCTCTATTAACATTATCCATCTTGTACAACCTTTCTGTGTCACCAGTTCCACGATAAGGTAAATTTTGCTTACCCAAAAATTTTATTATTTCAAATACTTGTTTTAATACATGAATTCTTTATTCGACTTGTTTTTCTTCATATTCATCACATTACAATTGATCAAATATTCAATACTATCATTACTTGAAGCTTTGACTTTTCAACAGCACAAATATATACTTTGCTAATTTCATGAGATTCTACAGATGTATAAATATTACTGAAATTTGTGTAGCCAGTAGAAAAATTGGTTGATGATGTAGAGAAAGCAATGCATTACAAGGCAATACAATTACTGCAATACAAGGCCCACTATTTTAACTAACTCATTATTTTTTTCACATTGTAATGTCAACCATTTTCGCAAAACTGTTATGTACATCATAGTATTTTTCATAATATTATTATTATTAACATTTATATGTATGTATTAATATGTGGGGATAAATGCGGACTATGTATTTGTCCATTTTATACGTACACGTCTGACCACCCGGCATCGAGTAGTCAGTCGTGTAACAGCAGTGTATTAATTCTTGTGAGTGTATAAATATATTAATAAACGACTCAATAAAACAGTGTGTTAGTATTTATATTAAGAGGACGCCACACCAAAAGTAAAACGTATACAACGACCGATAGAACGCGCTATTAGGTGTATTCAAGACAGGCGCGGATTCAGGATTTCAATATGGGGGGGGGGGGCGAATAGACAAAAATAGATATAATACACATGAAATATACTTTACAGTTTTACACATTTCATTAAACATTTTAAAATTTATAATTTTATAATAATATATTTTATTAAGAAGGTATTTATTATTATTATTTAGTATTTATTTTGTATAAAATTATATTTAAGTTAAAGAATACATTCTAAACGATGGGTTCCTTGATTGGCAAATCTTTCAATAATGTTGTCGACGTTTATTTCTATATCTGCATGAATATATAGTAATGCAAGCCCATTCAATCTATCTTCAACCATAGTGAACCTTAACCAAGTTTTAAGTCGTCGTAATGTGGAAAAACTTCTTTCAGCACTAGAAACACTGACAGGTAAGGTAGCATATATTTTTAAAAGAAGGTTAATAGCTGGATAGATGTCTTCATCGCATTTTATGAAAGAATCTAATGCGTTATTTGGTATATTAAAACCATTGTCATTTTCTCGAATCCATTAAGTTTTCCAAAGATTGAACTCTGATTTTATTAATTTTGAAACAAAATTTAAATTTTTATTAAAAAAAGAAATATATTTTTTTAATATATTTAAAATAGTATCTGAAAAATCAATTTCAGTATTTTTCAAAATATCTGAAGGAATAAATATGACTAAATTATGTACTTCTAGAGTACTATTACTGAATCGAGCTTTTAAATCTTCAGCCACATATTCTAGAATTGGAATATAAATCGACTGTTGATAATATACTTGCAGATCATTTGTATTACATTTGGCTCGATATGTCTGTCTTTTATTAATTCTAGGTAATTTTAAGTCATAATCAATTTTTACTGCTATATCCTGAGCTTCATGAAAAATGTCATTAAATTCTTTTTCGCAGTTTTGTCGTTTTTTATTTATCACACTAAGAGTATCAGCTAAAATATTCTGAGCAGTTTTCAAATCAATATTATTTTTTTGGTATAACCGACTAAGAGGTAAGGTACAGTGAAGAACGTCCGATAAACAAACAATAGTTATGATAAATTCCGTCACGAAGTGTTTTAAGTAATATCTTTGCTTTAGAAGAACTGAGTGTGTCTTTCCATAGCGAAATTATTTCTAATGTTTGTGATATTTTATGAAATGATTCACGAAACTGTAGAACACCTTCATGTCATTCTATCCAACGAGTTTCGCAAAGTTGTTTAAGTTGGTGTCCAAGAATATTTTTTAAAACAATATTACGCTTAGACGATGCAGTAAAAAAAGCAATAATTTCATTCATTGCATCTATCGAGTTTCTCACACTTTAGACATTCTATGATTTAGAAATAGAAAGATTAAGTGCATGATTATGGTATGGTGAATAGACAGCATTTTTAGCTTCTTTTTGAACTTCAACCACAGCCCCACGTTGTTCAGAGGTCATAACGATACATCCATCGGTTGAAATACCTACACAGTTATTCAAATCGAAAGAATGTTTTTTTAATACATTTAGTACTACTACCCCGATATATATTCCTGTAACAATGGGCTCAATAACTTCAGTATTATCTTCTCTGTCATTTTTATTTAATACTTCTTTCCTTAAGTCTATAAATTGTAAAAAGTCTTCACGAATTACGCCATTATAAATATATCGTAAAATAAGAGTAAGTTGCGATTCATGCGATATATCAGTCGTTTCACATCAAATATTATGCTATATATTTTAGATTCATTTACTCTTTTAACTATTATATTAATTACTTCTTCACCACAACATTTAATCAAACTGTTTTGTGTAGTTTTACTAATATACGTTGCCCTAGAAGACGAATTTTGTAGATGTTTTTCTAAATTTGTATCTCCAGCATGATTTCTATACTTAAGCAATTCTTTAAAGTTTCCTTGGTTATTAAAATCAAGTGGACCGTCATCTCGGTGACCCCTAAAAGAAATATTTTGATTACCAAGAAAAATTATCGTTTCAATAATTGGAATTAATTGGATACGGTTTTCTTTAACTAATTGCATACGGTGACTATCTATTATATTAGCGATATTACTTTGTGAATTTTTAAGAACATTAAGAAAATTTTTTGCTGTATTTATAGCATCTTTATGATAGTTATGATTTGCATGTGTATCTAATATACCATTTTTACCAAAAAGCTTAGAAAAATTGTTTAACGGTTTTACTATTTACTACCAATTGATTTAATGGTGTTTGTTTTTTGCAGCCACCTTTTGTCGCAAACAAAAAACAATATTTACAAAAATAACCCTTTAACTTGTCAGATAACACTAGCCATTCAAATTTGTTTAAATGTTTTTGACTTGCATATCTTTTATCAATTTTATTTTTATAGATTTTATTATGTTCCGAGTACGGGAACTCATAGTTATTTGGTGGTTTCCAATGATTTAAAAGTAATTGTTGTTTGGTGTTATCATCAATAGATTTTCCAATAAATTCGCCAACGTCATACGACATTATTTTAGAATTTGTGAGCTGATTTTCTATGTCTATTGTACAATTTGATGGAGTTTTTAATTCATCAGATATAAAAGGTTGGTTTCGGGAATCTAAGATATTATTTGTTTCTCCGGTTCTTAAATGGTCTTGAATTATTAGAACAGGAGGAACTATTGGTAATGAATCTGATGTTAATGACTTCTTAGGAAGTGGTGCAAAAAAACTATTAATTTTCTCAGTAGATAACCTTTTTCGATTGTTCTTATCGTCAGCCTGAAAGTGAAAATGTAAAATTTAAATAGTTATAAACTATTATATAAATTCAGTCACTACTTCTGAAAAAACGCATTAGAAACAGAGACGGATAAAATGGAGAGTTGTATAAATAAACAGTGTAAAACATTGATATTTATATTATTAAAATTTAGCGTATTTATTATTAAAAGAACAACTCGTTCACTATTGAATACAGACTATATGTAGGTACTTACCATTTCGAAGAAGCAATTTGACAGAACACGTGATCCACGAATAAATGATAAATACAAAATAATATAATACGAGTAGGTATACGACTATACGAATGAAAGAGTCGTATAATATGACATAGGTACGTAAATATAATATCATTGATTTTATGAAAAACAGATAAGATAATGTGTATTCCGCTGTTTTCCCAACATATTCTGTGACTATTAGTAATTTATTATTAGCAATTGAACGATTTCCGGCGATACAAAATCAGATACTAACAGAATAATAAGAATCATATAAAAATAAATAACATGTCTAAAATTTAAAATTGGCTAATTATTATTTATTTAGAAATTACGAGACAACGTAAACTTTTATCTTATCTAAAAAAAAATGTATACAAGTATTTTTTTGTTAGTGATAGAGTAATACAAATTGTACGTAATAATTTTAAAGAATTCATGGGGGGGCGATCAACCCCCCCCCCCGTGGATCCGCGCCTGATTCAAGAAGTGAAAGCATGCGAGCGCTTACGTCGACACGCCCATCGTATCATTCGTAGCCTACGTGCACTAGTTCGGGTGCGCAAATTATTATTTCATGAACCTTCATCAAGTACTGTGAAATATAAAATGCATATACGCGCATACGTGCATAGTACATCATATTCTGCCGCAATATTTTTAATGCCCGCGTATACCTAGCTAAAACGTATAGTTACTGATAGCCTAATTGTCTTCACCAATATGTAGATTATAAAATCTTTATTATAATATATTTTAAACCATGTTTAACACATTTTTACTTTTTGAGTTATAAATAAGACATTCCGAATGAAAAAAAAATAACTATTATCTGATGATTAAATACTTACAGAACATAACACATTTTTACATAAATTTATAAGAATATTTCACTTACGGTTTTCACAAACTCCTTATATAATTATATACTGAAGAACAAAAATAAAACATTACCGCCGTTAGTAGTTATAAAATTTTAAAAGTGTAAACTATACAAATTATAAATATTTTTGCTACCTTTTTCTTCTTCTTCTTCTTCTTCTTGTGTGTTACGGCCTTCAAGGGCTACGGCCCTGCAAACAAATTTGCCGCCATCTTTCTCTATCTTCTGTAGCTTCGCTCCATTGTGTATTTGGTTCTACTGCTTTAACATCCTTTTTGATACGATACTCCCATCGTAAACGCGGTCTTCCTAACGGTCTTTTTCCAGTCGGATTTTCTTTAATAACCGCCTTAATGAAAGAGCCCTCTTTCCTCCAGGCATGTCCAGCCCACATTTATCTTTTTCTATTAATTTCGGATATAATATCTGGTTTTGAAACAAGTTATTTAGTTCATAATTGTGGCGTATTCTCCATTCTCCAGTGTCAGAATCGATACATGGTCCATAGATTCTTCTTAGAATTTTTCGTTCAAACGCCGCAAGTCTTGTTTCCTTTACCTTTTTCAGTGTCCATGTCTCAGAGCCATAAAAAACTACTGATCTTATCAAAAAAGTCTAAGTGTCCACCTCCATCTTAAGGTCACTATCTTGTGTTATTATAGATCCTAGGTATTTAAAATGTGACATTCTCTTAAACTTATGGTGATCTATTTCCATAAACTGTCCTTGTCGGTATTCTCTTCTTCTTCTTCCAGTTATGACATACTCCGTTTTTTTGTCATTGATATTTAGACCACATTTGCCTACCATATTTATTAGTTTTCTACAATTCTGTTTTACAGTATCTAAATTATTTCCCAAAAGGGCTAAGTCATCGGCATATGGTAGTAAACCTATTGTCGTGTTACCCATGGCAACCCCGTCAATAGAATTTAATTCTCTGACAATTTTTTCAAGCACTAGATTAAAGAGGACGAGAGAAAGAGCGTCTCTTTGTCTTAAGCCCGTAGACACTTTAACTGTCTCTGATACTGCATTCGCAATTTTAATTTTTATCGAAGTGTTTTCAAGACTAGCCTTAATCAAGTTTACTAGTTTTATTGGGAAGTTAAATTCTTTTAATATGTTGATTAAGGTAGGTCTATGGATGAAATCATATGCTTTCTCAAATCGATAAATATAATGTATAACTTTTTGTTATATTCTCATGACTTTTGTGCAATTTGGCGATTATAGAAAATCTGATCCGTTGTAGACCTGTTAGGTCTAAAACCTTCCTCATATTTTTCCAGAACACCTTCTGATAAGGGTTTTATCCTATCAAGTATACAATACGCCAGAATCTTATAGGCAACATTTATTAGAGCTATACCTCTATAATTTTTACAATCTTGAGGGTCATTCTTCCCTCAGGGGGGTACTAAGCAATTAGTACTACGGGTTTGGCGAACCCGGGGCCTTGAGCTCTGGTCCTCCAGGTTGGGGGTTAGGTGCAGGGCTAACAACCCTGCCTTGTAAAAAACTTTGTGTTCAGGTACTTACAAATTTGCCTCGGATAAGTGGAAATAATGGAAAAACGACTAGAAACTGAAAAAATGCTTTACTTTTTGGTACATGGAACGTTCGCACTCTTTTTAAGACTGGAGCTGCACAGGGTGTTGTATCTGAAATTGAGAGATATAGACTTAAAGTGGTGGCTTTACAGGAAATTAGATGGAGTGATTCAGGATCAGTGGATATTCAAGACACGAAAGTTTTCTATGGGAAGTGTAACGACCAACGACAATTTGGTACAGGTTTCGCGGTACATAAGAGACTAATACCAACTATAAAGGACTTCAGAGATGTAAACCATAGAATATCAATCCTAACTCTGACGACACAGTGGTTTGATATTAGTTTCGTTAACTTACATGCACCTACAGAAGACAAACGACAGAGGAAAAGGACCTTTTTTATGAAGATGTTATGGCCACGCTAAACTCAATACCAAGGAGAAGAATTCAAATTGATCTTGGTGATATGAATGTGAAGATTGGGAAAGAGACCACATTCAGACCAGTTATAGGTAGCTTACATAATACAAGTAATGGCAACGGACTAAGACTAATTGACTTGTTAACTGAAAGAGGTCTATTAGTTAAAAGTACAATGTTCCCACATAAAATGATACATAAAGGTACTTGGAGCTTACCGGACGGAAAGTATATAAACCAAATTGATCATATACTAATAAATCTGAGATTCAGCAACTGTATTCAAGATGTTCGGACTGTAAGAGAGGCAGATAGTGACTCCGATCACTTTCTTGTTAAAGGAAAAATTAAAGTAAAACTTAAAAATCTCGCTCGATCTACTGGGACTATCTTGGATAGATATGATGTATCCAAGTTAGAGTTCGAAGAGAAGAGTTGGTGTCTTAAAAATGGACTAAATGAACAGATGAGAACCATTCATTTTGATAGTATAGGGTTAATTGACGAAAGATGGAAAAAAGTGAGAGACTCAATAAAGACAGTATCAGAATTAGTTTTGGGTAAACCGAAAAAAATAAAGAAGCCATGGTTCAATGAAATATGCGAGAAAGTACTAGTTTAAAGAAAGAGTCTAAGGACCATATGGCTTGGTGATCCTACAAATAAAGACAAAGAAGAACAGTATAAACGATACCAAAAAGAAGCACATAACACATTAAGAAGAGAAAAACGGTTGTACGCCTAAAAATTGTTAGAAGAAGCGGAACAAAATTTTAGAATAAATAATATATGACAACTATATCAGAAGATAAACACGACAAGAGGAGGATATAAGAAACGAGAGAGGTTTCTAAGAGAAGATGATGAGACGCTAGTGACTGAACAAGGGAAACTTCTGGAGAAATGGACTGGATATTTTGAGAAACTCCTTAACTGTGATGACCCAGTGAAAGAATTTCCAAGATTAAACATAACTACAAACGATAGCGTTTATCCAACACCTCCTAAACAAGAAATTGCTGTACAAATCAAAAGGCTAAAAAATCATAAATCCCCGGGAGAAGATGGTATTCAAGCAAAAATTCTGAAGAAGGCTGATGAAGAAGCGATATCTAGAATTCACGAAGTAATAGAACTGATTTGGGAAAATGAGAGACTCCCGGAAGATTGGAACACTTCGTTAATATATCCAATACATAAGAAGAATTTTTGCTACCGTTAAAAGTTATTAGGAAGCACGGTTTATTCATTTATGAACAACCTTCGTTATCTATAATTCCTATGACTATTTTAATTACTAATGCCCAAATAATTTAAATAATTTAAAAATTTTTGGATTCTAAAAATATTTTAAATTGATTATATTATATTGATAAAAAACAAGGATATACTTAAGTATATGTTTGATGTTAAAGTCATTTGAATAAATTTGATGAATAAAAATAATGCGTAAAATCTTACTAATTTTTTTGCGATTCGAACGTTTTATTAGACGCGTTTTATTCACCATTTTTTAATAAAAGAAAAGAAACTGATATAAATACAGACTAAGGGTAATTTCTTAAATTACTTTTTTCTCGAATATTATTAATATATTTTTCTATATAAATTTGTAGTTATCAAAGTTAGAAATTTTAGGACTTTAATCTGAGGCCCCTAAAAACAATTTTGATCTTGAGACCCTGGTTATCCCGCCTGATTATAACCGCCAGCCAGCGATTGGGTTCGAATCAGCGACTGTGCGTTTATTAGCCGTTAATATAGTCGTCTTCTACTACCCGACCACGATGACCACATTTTTAAACTGTTGTATACTAAATTCTATGAATCTGTAGTGTTATACATTTATCATCGATAAATAAAACAAATAAATATATATTAAGTGTATATACACCACGATATTTTGGTAGGTACTATCTCGAGAATAATATTTACAGCAACTGCAAAAAGAAACAGAAAGTCCACAAACAGCAACGAGTACAAAAGGTCGATAGGTGTTGGTTAATTTTACTATAACAATACCTTTAATTGTCAACAATTAAATTTAGAATGCAGTACTTAGAAAAATGGTCGTATTTATTGTAAATAACCCGCAGACCGAAACTTAATTGTGTACACATTTAAAACTATACCCATGCATTAATTCTCTTTAAGTCATATGGTTTTATTATTAATATCGCAATACAAAAATAAAATTACACACGTGTTTTATTTTTTTATTTTAAATGGTTTTAAAATCGTTCAACATCCATGAAAGTAGTATAATTAGGACAGTTCTGACACCATATCCTGCATATCCTGCATATCCTCCTTATCTTTCTGAACCACCACCGCCCGATCAAGCACGTGCACGACATACGTCACAGACTCCCCACCTCCAATACTACAGACGT